TGCTATTCATAACTTGCTTCAGTCAAATTAATACTTCTCCACCCGAAATTATCCATCCATATTGAGCTCTCTTTATATCAAACGAATTTCAACTTTCCGTTGATATAATTAAACCTGTTGACTCTTGATGATGATCATCTTGAAGAAGATGAAAAAAAAGAAAAGACCACCTTCACTCTGAATAGACATTCACTGAGCCATGATCGTAAACAAGTTAGACAAACAAAGCTAAGTATATAATAATGAAATAATAGAAACACAATGTTAGACTAATATCAGTTTTGCTAAGAAAAAGAAACAAACAAAAAAAAGTGATTCAAGTTATCCTTTTCATTCTTTTAAAGTATACTTAATCCACCTTCATCTTCCTCCTCCTCCTCCTCATCACTCCTCCATTGGTGACAATCATTGTGTGAATAGTAGCGACAACAATGATGACTCTGATGATGATCACTGGTCACTTGAGATGCTAATTATCTTTGACAAAAGCTTAAATTTTTGAATCACTTCATCATCCTGATAATCAAAGGTAACTAAACCATTAACTTTCACTGGTAAAATGTCACTTATGTCTGTACTTATTATTAACCTTTACAATACAAATTGTGTTATATTTATGAGATGAACAAAATATTCACTCACAATCATGTCCAGTATCAATTAGTACAACACCTGAACAGAATATATTTTTTTCTTTGCTAATTTTTTTTTCTCTTCTCTTTTCTCAGCGGAAAAATTTTCACCCTGGTTGAGCTCCACTTTATTCCTGAGCTTCACTGTTGGACAGTCAAACGATGCATGAAATTACCATCTCTTTGTGTCCCTATAAAGTCCACTATTGCACCATAAAGTCAACATAAATAGGCCTGACAATTGTACTTTCAATTAGTCTGAAAGGTGAATTTATTAACATCTAATTATTTTGAATATTAATACCGATTAACTTTTAATTCATTTCAGAGCTTGAGTTGTTTTTTTTCTTCGGGAAATGTTGGCCTTATAATTGGAATGGACTGAGTTTTATTTCATTTTTTTCTTTGAATATCTTCAGTTTGGTTGGTCAATAGCTATCATTTCTCGAGTCTTCTTTAGCTGCTAACCAGTGTCAATCAAGCTACAGTTGACCAAACTTTTGGGTCCAAAGTTGAGGAAACAAATTATAATGTTGACTGTATTATTGTTGATTAGCAATAATATTTCATGTTTGAATGAAAATGTGAATAGAGGTTAGAGACGAATCTTTTGGCTTGAGCATCAAACTTATGATGAAAAAAAATGTTATAAAAAAGATGAGTGAAAAGATGCTGACAAGTCTGGGAAAAGTTTTTCAGTGATGAGTCGGTAATAGTTTATGCCCTGCTTTGATTGAAGAATATACATTTTTGTATCAAATTTAGGGCGAAAATTTGTTTTTCCTGGAAGATAATGTTCGATCTAAATCAATCTGGACTCCGTGTATTAAAAAAAACGACAATTTATTTATGATTAAAAGATTCATGGAAGAAATTGTTCGATCTAAATAAAGGTTCGGTTCTGAAAAAATTGACGAGCAACTATCCAGGTCAAATGCTCAACAGTTGCGTTGTGGTCTAGTGATTTGCCAATTTCCAAACAATTTATTATCTGGATTCTTATCATTTACAATCTCATGTAAGTAAATCACTTTTTATATCACTTTTTTCATTAAATCAATAAGTCCAGTTTTCAAATTTTTCCCAGTAGAAAGATTTAATGCTATTAATTTTGATGCTTTCACATCATTTTTTTCAAGATTCAAGAAATAGCTGTGTTCAAGGGAAATCAGGTTGGCTTGGAAGGCGACTTGGTTTGGGATTTGGTCCAATGAAAGACAAAGCCAGTGACAATAATTATACGCTGAAAAAATGGATTACAAGTTTCAAAAGATTCAAAACTTGATCATTACTTGCCATTCAATATAACATCCGAGATTATTCAAGATATGAGAAAATTTAGAAACGATAAAAGGTTATCAAGATTGGACTATGAAATTTGACTCAAAAGCGGGATTCATGAGCTTCCACATCAACTTCAGTTTAACATTGACCAGATTTTACCCGAGAAATTGTTATGAATGGGTTCTGTTTCAAGCATAACCAAGATTCAATTCATGGTTCATTGAACAATTCAACCAGTTGTAGTTTAATGACAAGGTGATGGCATAAAGGCATGGAAAGCAAAACATCAATGACTTGACTCTTTCAACTTGGAAATTTTAAATTTCATTTTCAACTTTGACTTTCCAGCAAAGCTGATACAAATTAATAAGCTAAATGTTCAAGATTAAACTTCAAATCACTAATCAGTATATACAATGAAGTTTAATGGATGCTGTTGAAACTATGACCCCTGTAAATGACCGGTCTGCTAAAGAACAATCATTAATGAAGGAAATAGAGATTCATCGAAAGTAGTGAAACAGTGATGAACAGTTATTTGATAATGTTTCTGATGGTGATGGTGGTAATGATATTAATGGTGATACAAATGAACATCTAGGCGACAACACCCAACACATGATACAATAAACAAAACATGATAATACAAATATCAATAATAATAAGCATAATAATGATAATGGTGAGGTCTTCGCCCGTTTAACTTTACCTTTCATCCTTAGCTATTTTAAAACGCTTTTTCAACAATTTGAATCAACATTTAAAAGATCATTTGGGACAATGTTTAAGGAAATGGCTATAAGTGTATAATATAACTAAAGATGTGTTAATGTTTCTTATGTAGCATTTCATACAAACTGGGAAGAATCACATTTACAATTGAATCTACCATTGTTGTCACCATTATAATTACAGTTCAATTTTATACTCTTGTTCGGACAGCTTGAAATGATGTTCAAGAAATGATTAAGGGTGTGTTGAACAACACAATCAATTTGAACATAAATCAGTTGTTTCAAAGGTGTTGATCAAAGCGTTTTAAAAATTTTTGCAAAAATCACTTTCATATCAAAAGCAGCAAGATGGCTTTTGATCAGCAATTAGTTTTAAAAAAGCTTCAAGCAACAATCCAAATGTTGACCAAATGTGGGCTGTTTGCAACACTTCAATGGTACCATTGCATTGTTTTTTGCTATTACTGGCTATTATGGCTGTTTATTATTATATTATTAGAGTTAATTGATTAATTGTCTTTGTGTTGACAATTGACCAGCAAGAGTGTTGTCAATATCTTAATGTATTTGGACATTACGAGGGTAAAATGATGTTAACTTGACCAAACCTGAGTGTCATAATAATGGTGGTAATAATGGAATCTCAAAAATTGCCTTTCAATGTTCATGACGTTTGACACTTCAATTGTATTACAATCATTAGTAACTTTTATTTTCACTCATATTATTCCCATTTAACTTTGGAGTTAACCTGGCTTACCTTTAACTACTATTCATATGAACCAGTCACCCGAATAATTTGCGTTGAACCAATTTAAAATGAAAATGACAATTCATTGGTTGGTGATGAGCTTTGTTTATTTGTTTGACCATTTTTATTGTTTATCACAATTTGCTTAACCAGATTCAATTCAATTGTTTAGTGGTTTTTAAAACCATTTGGTCAGATTGATATAAAAAATAAACCAATTTGGCTAGTTAAACCTGGTCATTTGGCCATTTTCATTATACCTTTCTTGGTTAATTTTCAAGGTTACAACTAGTTGTTAACAATTCAACTCTACAATTTAAAGTAAATCTTATTTGATTTTTACCAACAAACGTAATGTAAGTACTGAAACCAAGTTCAAATAGCAAATGGATCCGATGAATTGAATAGATTGGCTACTGTCTTGTTGAAATACAATTACCAATGTAAAAAAACCTCATTTTTCCTATTTTTTGCATCGGGTCTTTTAAAGCATAGTAAACAATTTTAAAATAAATTCCGGGTCTTTGATCATAAGATGTATTCAGGATAATTAGACGATTCCTTGAAACCAAAAAAGCAAAATCCAATGAAATTTATCACTTACTCATGTAGAGACTTTTGAGAACTAGGATTGATCTTGATTGCTATGAACCAAGATAAAATAATCATTTAAACAATGATAAGTAATATTGAAAAAAATTAACAACAATCCAGATCAAAGAGTTTGATCCTTTTGGATCCAGAATCTGGATTCCAGATTAATATGCTTGCTGCCCTCTATTGAGCAAAATGTAGACTATTAATGGTAAAAATGTAACAAATCTTTCTTAATCAGTATCTCTTCGAAGGAGACAGAAATAATTAAAATTATTCAGATAATTAGCTGAATGGGTCTTTAATCCAATAATTCATGATAACGGCAATTTCCACTCTCTATTCAAGTTATCACGAGAGCTTGAATTGGGATCACCCAAAGAGTAAGAGACCTCTTTGGCCCTTTAAGTTTTCTTGCCCTTAACTTTTTCATCCATTTCCTAAGAAATAATAAAGATTCTTTGCATGAATAAGAAATAATTGATTAAACAATAAGAAACCTTGGTTGGTACTTTGCTAAGAAACAGGAGTAAAAGATGATCGGCATAATATATTGTCTTTTGATTAAAATGACGACAGCACAGAAAATGATAAAAACTCTGATATTCAGTTGTTTGAGCATCTTCAATCGCAATCACCAAGTACAATAAAATTTTGAGGGATTCTGACTTTCATGTTTCAATAAATGACTAGACAAACGAAAGCGTTATTTTCTGATTTACTAAGCACCAGAGTTTTTCAAATGCAGTTTGTATACTTTTATCAGCACAAATTAAAATTGAAAAAATGCACCGGCATGAAATCTATGTTTGATTAAAAATATCAACGCACAGAAGATGAAAAGCCCTGTTAATGACGGTGGATAAAGATTATCTTTCGCCGCAAGATTAACACAAGATGCATAATAATCTTTATTAGTGTTAATGTGATTTGAGTGAATGAGCATCTTCAAACCCACAATCTCTGACAATCGATTACTCAAATACTTATCTTCAGTCATAACCATCAAGGACATGCATTGGTTTAAATTGAAACTTGTTACACCAGTTGAAGCATTTTGAGCAACAAGCTTCTTGGGGTAAAATCACTCAACAAAGTCAGATTATTTGTTGGATTCACCAAAAACCATGGACATTTCATTCAAAGGGAAACGTGCTCTTGTCACTGGAGCAGGAAGAGGTAAGAAGTCAACTGTCAATCAATTTGATTTGTATTCATATTAATGTTTTGTATTGATTTAACCAGGAATTGGTCGAGACACTGTGAAAAGACTGGTTAAACTTGGAGCCCATGTTGTTGCCTTAAGTAAAACCAAGGAAAACCTTGATACACTCAAAGCAGAGGTTAGTTTTTAAAATATTTATTTGAATTTATATATTAATAGATGACCTGATAGTGACCATTTAACCTTTGTGTATTTTAATAGATTCCTGAGGTTGAAGTTGTACAATGTGATCTAGCAAATTGGGAAGAAACTCGCAAAGCTGTATCTTCATTGGAAACAATTGATTTGCTGGTCAATAATGCTGCTTATGCTAAACTCGATCCCATCGGTGAAGTTGATGAGAAGACGTGCGATTTGTAAGTAACTCTTATTTCTGGTAATTTCCAATGCATATTCACCAAAAGTTGAACTAATTCTTATCGTAATGTGTATTGTGTTTATGCAGACATTTTGACATCAATGTTAAATCGATCATCAATGTTACCCAAGAAGTGATTAAAAAGTTAAAGGCTGCTGGTAAGCCAGGATCTATTGTGAACGTTTCGAGTCAGGCTGGAATGGTTGCTCTACAAGATCATGTAGCTTACTGTGCATCAAAAGGAGCTGTTGATCAAATCACTCGAGTTTCTGCCCTTGAATTGGGTCCTTTCAATATAAGATGTAATTCAGTTAACCCAACTGTCGTTGAAACTGATATGGGTAAAAGAGGATGGGCCGATCCAGCTAAACGTCAATGGATGATGGAGAAGATTCCTCTGAGGAGATTCGCTGATGTTGACGATGTTGTTGACACGATTGTTTATCTTCTCAGTGATAGATCAGCCATGATCAACGGTGTTATTTTACCCGTTGATGGAGGATTTACAGCTTGTTAATTTTATCAAATCATTGCTTGAACTTATTTGTCCCTAACTATGCAAAAGGTGTTATTAGTTCAAGGGTTAAAGTTACAATGTAACAAAATAGTTGAATGAAACAATAATATTCTTGCTTTGCTTCTGTATTTCGTCTGTAAAATCTCCTTAAGCTCTTAATAAATATTACCAATAAACTGAATTTCTGTTTGCGATTGTTTTCTCAACTGTTAGATAGATGCTTCTCAATTTACAATGATTTGCATCCAATAAAATCCACAATCAAATTACATTACAAATGCTCTCTTGTTATTTATTTTTAATGTTCATTTGGCCATTAAAACAGTTCACTCAATGTTTGAAAAATACATGATTGAGTGAAGTGCTTCGTGTGATATCAAAATATATCAGAATGTATCTTCATTTCTTGTCCTGATTCGAGCCCAGTTTATCAGCTTCTGCACAAGTTTCAGGAAGGGGAACGCCGAGCGTCTCTGGTAAAAATAAGACTAGAAGACCTGAAACCGCTGAAGTAAGTCCAATTACTGTCAACGGAATATATGATCCATATGAATGTAAACTTATCACGAAAGGAGCAATAAACGCTCCAAAGTTATTCAAACAAAGTCTAGTTGAAACGGCTCGACTTCGGAAAAATGTTGGTACAATTTCAGCCACATAAAGGTAAAGTATGTTGAATGTGTTTGCTGCCGTGAATCGTCCAATGTAAAATATCACCATAAATTGGATGGAATCTGTAAGTCGAGTAAATAAAAGACTCTGATGAGTTAAATCTGTCAACAAATGTTAACCTTAAATTTACTTACTCCTGTCTAGTAAATTAGCTGATTCATAGATGATGAAGGATAAGTAAATATTGATCAGCATGATTCTCTTTCGTCCGTAACGATCAGCAAGATTCTTGGAAACTAAACAAGCGATTGCGTCGATAAATGCATTCAAGGATAGAACTAGAAAAGGATTTTTAAGTAACACTGCTGCATATAAATTGGTTCCAATGAATGAGATGCCATTGAGAATACTCAAGATTCCAGCGAACATGAAGTTTCGACAAAGTCTTGGATAGTTTAGGAACTCTTTTAAATGAAATGGAGCCGGTTTCCTTATTATTATGGAATCAAGAACATCTTCTGGAACTTGTTTACCATTAAACCGAGCAACAGATGTAAGGACTTTACTTCCCTTTTCAACCTTTCCCTTTGAATATAACCATCGAACTGACTCTGGAGTAAATCTGAACAGTTAAACAGATCAATATTATTGTTTCGATTCAACGAGAAATCACTTACATTGAAATGATTGGAATCAAAAACTGTGCCGATGAGCTTAAGATCAATAAAAGCTTCCAATTCGCAATGTAATAGGCAAAGGCTGACCAAAGAGCGCTTGTTATTGAATGGGAAGCGACAAAAGCAGTTGATACAAGAAGACGATTGCGAAGACCAACAAATTCAATCACTAAATAAACAATTATAAAGGTTGGTTTGTAATGATGTAAATATTAATTAATAAATGACTGGATAGTTTACCTAAAACCAAAGTAACAGAACCAGTAAATGCAAAGCCCATTAAACCTCGACTCAAGACAAACAGAGTAAAGTCATGCGAAAAGAAGACACCAGCTAAGCCAGAAAGTCCAGCGAGGGTGAAAATAGCCATTGTGGTCGGAACTCGGCCAAAACTATCAGTGAAACAAGAAATACAATTTAGTTTGGTCAATAATTTTACTAATAAGTTACATTTGTTGCTAAAAAGACACATTTGTAGCATTTATGCACAAATTGAGCAAATTTACACAAATTGAAACAAGTACTGCAAAACAAATGGGTAAAAACGGGTAACAATGAATTTATTTCGAATTTTGACTTCTTGAGTTTGTAGAGACATAAAAACTGAGCCTTTTCGTGCAATTTAAAGCTTTCTCAGATCAATAGTTTTCTAGAAAATTGCGTTAAAAGTTGAAACTTCGATCGCTTTTTGTACCCTTACAGAAGCAGACTTTTTCGTGAAACTTATTTCGCGTATGTTACATTTTATGCTTAACTAGAAAATGAACTTATTTTAAGAAACAGAATTTTCCGTTTCTTTATAACATCGATTTTTCGATTTCCATTTAAACTGACCTTTTTCGATGACGGACATAGTTGGAGAGCTGAAACTTCTAAACTGTCCATAAAAATTGATGGATCAGATCATGGATTGAATAGTTTTTCCAAACAATCCACAGTTCTCCTAATTTTGGCCATTGGCCTTAAAATTTTGAACCTAAATATTTCGAGACTGATAGCACCTACAAATATCATTCTTCGACACAACATTAGATTTTACTATGGGCTATAATATAATATTAAATAATACATTCATTAATGAATAACCTTCTAATAAACACGATTCGCGTTTGAGTACCCAAATAACTTTATCAACCAAATCTAAAATCTGGTAACATAACAATGCAATGCTATAACTTTTTTTGTAGCATCTCAAATAATTTAATATTCCATTTTATTATAGACTACAATTAAATCTAATGTTTGAGCAAAGAAAGATGATTGTAGATGCTGCGATTCTCGAAATATTTCGGTTCAAAGTTTTAAGGCCAATGGCCAAAAATCAGGAGAACTGTGGATTTATTGGAAAAACTATTCAATCCATGATGTGATCCATCAATTTTTATGGACAGTTTAGAAGTTTCAGCTCTCTAACTCTTTCGGTCGCTGAAAAAGGTCAGTTTAAATGGAAATCGAAAAATCGAAGTTGTACGGAAACGGAAAATTCCATTTCTTAAAATAAGTTCATTTTCTAGTTGATCATCAAGTTTAAACATACCAAAACAAGTTTCACGAAAAAATCTGCTTCTGTAATGGTACAAAAAGCGATCGATGTTTTAACTTTGAACGCGATTTTCTAGAAAACTATCAATCAGAGAAAGCTTTAAATTGCACCAAAGGATCCAGTCTTCATACTTCCATAAACTGACAAAGTCTAAATCAAACAGAAATTCATTTTTATCCGTTTTTGTCCATTTGTTTTGCAGTGTTTTTGAATGAATGTTACAATCGTGTTAGTTGTGTCTTTTCAGTAACAATAAACTATTATTGCTACTGAAACTAGTATTAGTAATTGTACTAGTACTATTATTAATACTTGTTAATATTACAATGCTACAATACTTACATATCAGAAAAGGTACCAAAAACAAAGCATCCGAGTGTCGCTCCAGCCCAATAGATTGAGTGAGGTAAAAGCGCTTTCCATCTCTCATTGCAAACCCAATTTTGCTGTAATTAAATTAACCATAATTAAGGGATAAACCATTAATAAATGATGAAAAATGACAAGTAATGAATGACAATTAATCTAAATTGCTGACAATTTTCAATAAGAGCAAGAATGTTGTTGCTTCGATGAAAATAAATTTCTGGCGTTTCATAAAATGACAAGGTTCGTGTCAAAACTGAAGTCTAATTTGAATTGAACGGAAAGTCATTAATTGCGTGAACAATTAATCAAAATTAGTTTAATATTAAACGTTTGATGAGTAAATGAGGATTTAACTGTTAATTAATTGTTGAAAGTGAAACAAATTGCAATCAATAACAAAACCTTGCAGACCTTTGAACAGACTTAACCTGCTTCTGCTAAAAATAGTTTCAAAGCATCTAATTGAAGCCAAAAATATAGCAACAATTTGAAGGACGGAATTAATATTTTAATCCTTTTTCAATGATAATCATCTTTCTAATTAACTCAACATGAATTGGTAAACTGTTAAATTAACAAAGGAATCAATGAAACCTTGAATTTTGACCAAACATTGAAATCCCTTAATCCATCCTAATATGGACACAAGCTAATATAAATAAACTGTTGAATGATGAGATTTGATTGTAATAGACGAGGAATATGTAATTGACCTATTTTAATAAAGTAACTTGTGATCAATAAAACAGATAAACATTGTGTTGATTCAAGTCTTGAAGTCAACTGTTTGAAGTTCAGAGTGATATCCATTGTGAATTATCTCATAATTAACTGATCTCAAAAAGTTGTGCTCAATCTTCAAGAGCCAACAGTAAATAGGACAATTATGTGAACTAGATCAGTTAACTATTTGATGTTAAATTATATCATAACAATTGATAAACCTGTAAAAGTCCTTTTCAAGTCAACAATTTCAATATCGCTCTAAACTTGCACCCGATCATCCAATTTTGATTTAACTAAACGCTTTTATACATATAAAACAGTATTACTTTTTTATTATAAACTGACTGTCATTAGATATTATGACATTTGTTATCATAATAATAATAAAAGAACGTAATGAAGTTTTGATGATTTATTCAGAGTATTGATACTTGGACTGTACCACTCACTGGTTGCATGATTTACACGATTAATCAACGAGAATAAAGGAAATCTTAGAATCTGAATGAGAGCAATTTCTCAATGTAAAGCTCGTCTGACTTCTTTTTTCATGTCCTCATGCTTTTCTCGGTGTAATTATTTCAACCAAGGCCATTCAAGTACACAATGAATTGTCTTAACATTAAACTGATTATCAAAATTGAATCTTAAACTTTTGATGAATTTACTGGTTAACCGAGGAGTTAAAGGTTGATGGACAGCTTACCTCTGAAACGAGTGTTGGGTAAATCAGGTTGTGATCGTATTCCCAGCCTTTTGGACAGGGCAATGAATCGGTCAAGTTTGGTGCTGAGTCGATGTAACGTTTAATTGAACAGGAACCTTCATATTGATGGACTAATTGGATTGGTTCAATTGGTGATGGACTGTCTATTGAGTTGATTAACAGTGGTGTTGTTTGATTGATTGTTGATAGATCACATTGGTGAGGAGGAATTAACAGGATCAAAAATTGTGAGATCATATTCATTGAAGTTATGGGTCCAATGAACAGGGCAATGTAAAGAGTTAACAGTTTTTGAAAGGAACCAAAAGAACCAACATATTTGGTCAAAACTTCCTCTAAGGTCAGTTGACCAGATTTACTTTCACATTTACCATTAATCAGTGAATTCGATTCTTTCGTATTTTCACCCATTTCTATGGATAGTCGGCAACTGTAGCAATAAAATGATAAATATTGTTGTCTCAATAAGTTCAAGAATAAAAGTGAAACTGATTCAAAAGTAAACTCAAATTCAACAGATGGAAATGATGATCATGTTGATGATGAGAAAGTAAAAGGGAGGAGAAACTCGAGAAAGGGATGAATCTTTTTCTTACAACTTTCTTCTTCTTCTTCATTAACCTTATCATCTTCAGGATTGTCTGCAATATTTGATCAAACATTTAATTGTTAACCTTACTTGGTACATCAAGCTCTAGAATCAAATTTCTAGAGTTTAGAATTGTTTTCAATCGTTGATTTCATGATCAACCTCATCAAATGGCAATCCAATCTCATAATGTTTATTCATTTTACACTGATTAAATCTTACCGATGAAATTTGATTTGAATCGGCCTTTTTTTGTTAACAAGCTTAAAGGGTTCAATTAAGAGTGGAAGATTGATTTGAAAAGTCACTTTTTCGAGTTTTATTGCGATAATTTGAAAAATTAACAGATTTTGATTGATAATTTGACACATTTAAATTGTTAAATGGCCGTAAGTAACAATTTTGATCTCTAAATTCAATAATTTTTGCTTGGGAATCAAGACTAATCATTTTCTCGCTTCTCTAACACTATTAAGACTTTATTTCAATCAATAACTTATCAAATTTGATTCTGATTTGGTTTATTAAAATATTGAAAACTATCAAAACTCATTGTTGATCCACTATTTTTTGAAACAAAATGAAATGAAAAGCTTTTTATTAAGCAACTGACTCGCCATGCTTTGTTGGTTGGATTTTGTGCAATTCGAATGATCTAATTAAATCAATTAAAAGCATTTGATATTTCAATATTAATGGTTATTGTGATAATCCAATTCTAAGTCAAGAAACTGCAGAAACTCGTTGCATTACATTCATGTTACATGTTAATATTGCACTGTTAGTGTTTCCCTTCTGCTTACAGATGAGATAATGATTCGAGTTGAAAAAAGTTTAATTTTTGATTCGAGCCAATCTCGAAATTCGTCGATTTACAACAATCAACACATGATTAGTGATTTACAATTACTTTCGCGTGAATTTCACGTAAAAATTAATTCAAAGATCAGTCCTTGCTGAGAAACAATTCCAGGTAGTCGGTGGTAGTGACGAACGCTTGTGCTGCATAAAAACGTGTGCTCGAGTTGTGGCTATGCGATTAGAGTTCAAGTAGGCTCAGATGAGAAAGAGGTTATCATAGATATGATCATAAATGTAGGTTCATAGTAATTTACTGGGAAGTTTACCTAAATGTTACCCAAATTGCTACCTAAAAACCAGTTTATTAACAATAAAGATTATTTAACTTATCTCACTATGGCAACCTTATCTCCTAAAATTAGGTTTTATGAACATAAAATGTATCATGTGTCTGGTTTTTAGTGTTTTTGACCGTTACTTACTACTACTCTATGTGACATTTGAATTCAGCTTAAAATGTCAATTCTCATCAAATTTTCACCTTATTCTGTTTCCTTATTTATCATCATCATGCCATTTTATACAAAATATTAGACAATAATTGTTATTTATTTGTTTGTGCCTCACTCGGATTGTTTCTAATGTGGTTGGTGGAGTCTGACTGTAATATTGCCTACTAACTGCCGGTAATATATAACGATGAACCTTATTAACAGTGAAATAAGTTGAAATAGCTTAACTACCGAGCAAGTGTTATCCATTGGGTGAAAATTGATCAACCAATTTGAATTAATTGATGGAAACAGTTTACAAATTAACATTATCATGTTCCAAGTTGTTAGTTATTGTGAATTTTTCCGGATTATTCAATTTTCTTGATGATATCTTTACGATTTCAATGTAAAACTTTCACCATAAAACATGTAAACAAAGGGTTTGAGGGACTGTTGAATAATTTACTGGTGCTCTACTGTAGTTCAATTTATGAACAAATGTTTTGGTAACCAGTAATCATATATTTCCTCAAACCTCTTTTAACATTCATGGCTAAAATAAAGATGTTACAGACTAGGAAATCTTACCCAAAAAGGATTTGTCCGAGAAACTGAGAGATAATAGGATACAGAAAATTTCTAAATCAATTTTTTTTATTCGAGAAATAAATATTACAGATTCATGTTGAATTACAAGCAAGAGTACATTATATTTCAGAACATTTATTCATTTTTGGTGACCCTTCTTTTCGTTTTTATCATCATTACGATGGAAATATTTATTGGCTACAAAAAATGCAGATCCAGCTGCAATTGTGATTCCAGCAGCAATAAGCAATGCAGTTATGTCTGGCTCGAAAACATCTTCAGTTTGCATAGCGTGTGGCATCTCACGAGCTTTGTCGTCCATTAGAGCTTTGTAAGCAATCGATATCTCTTTGAATTTGGCCTCAGCACCAGGTTCGTTGTTCTTATCAGGGTGATATTTGAGAGCCAACTCTCTGTAAGCCTTTGTAATTTCACTAACACTTGCATCCTTGGATATTCCTAGAGTTTTGTAGCAATCTTTGGACATTATTGAAATGATTTACAGACAACAAAAATTTGACACAATTATCAAAGGAAAACAAACAAATGATTTAATCAATTTGATGCTTAAATTTAAAGAATAAATTTTGAACAAAATATTACGATGTTCATGATGATATTGAAATGTTCATGCTCCTTTTGTTATCGATTGGATGACTAGCGGCAGTCATGTAAACCTAACCTCATGATTGTTTTGATTTTTAGATGGTTTTAATCAGAGGTTGAAATGATTGAGAGACATGGTCTGGATTTAGATTCATCGAAAAAAATGAACATTAAATATCATCTCTAATGTTTTCCTGTTTTCAGACTGTATTTATAATTCAGATTAAATTTATCGCTATTTGCATCTAGTTGAGGAGCTAATTGAATCAGAAATTTCTTTCAAAATCATACAATGTTTAAATCTCTATCTCATTTCAGTTTCACTTTATTATTTTAACTTATTTACCATGATCATGTCATTTTATGCAAAATATCAGGAAACTTATTGTTATTCAGGGATTTGACCATTGAAGTATTACACACAAGTATTACAACCAGCAAGTGGGGCAATAATTTGATAATTATTGCTGGTCTGAAATTGTTGACTCCTTTCATCATTTGACGGTAATAAGAGTCAGTTCAGAACAGTGTAAAAGTAAGGTTGCGGTGCTTGCGAGCCGAAGATGTAGCCATGTTAATTATATTTGATTTTCAAACTATTTCGAGTCTATTCAGTTGAGTATAAATTCACCCATTGAAAGCCAAACGCCCAGAGGTCTTTGTTGACCTCTGCTGTAGCATGCTGACATTTTTTATATAATTTTCAATAAATTTTATTCAACAATTCAATGTTGCCTGTTCATTTCAAATTATGAGCAACAGTACATTATTTTGGAACATTATACATGTATTTATTCTTTTCCACTTTGATGTTCCTTATCCTTTTCGGTTTCATCTTCATAGCCACCAGATTGACCTTGCAGCACACAGTAAAGTGCCGACACTCCTGCAAGGGTGATTCCAGCCAATATGAGGAAATCCTTGATGTCTGAATCCAAATCACAATCAGTTTGCATAGCTTGTGGCATATCACGCGATTTTTCGTCCATCAGAGTTTTGTAAGCATAGGATACTTGTTGGAATTTGACTTTCGCATTAGCATCTTGGTTCTTGTCAGGGTGATATTTGAGAGCCAACTCTCTGTACGCCTTCTTGATTTCACCAACACTTGCATCCTCGGAAATTCCTAGGATTTTATAACAATCTTTGGACATGATTGAAATGATTTACACAAATCAAGCAGCAAAAATGGTACACAATTGTGCACAGGGAAAAAGAATTGAATCGATTTGATGATTGTATTTCAAAAGTTAGATTGCAAACTGAATATAATGAAGTTAAAGTTTCTTCTTATACCGATTAGACTAGCGCAAATGTGTTAACCGCGCACGGGCAGATGATTATTTTGATCTTTACTTGGTTTTGATCAAATGTTGAAATGATTGCATCGCTTAAATTAAATGCGACTACACATTAGAACAATTGATAAGATCAAAATTGTTTTTCTCTTTGTTCTCTTTGTTGGTCTTGATTGTTGAGACCATCTAACGTTTACGCCAGTTCAAGATAAGCCTTTATACCCATTTATTATAACAATAGTTGTGATTATACCAACCATCTTCATGACATTAATTTACCTGGTTTGTGTGGAGCAGAGGACTCGCCCCTGATAATCAAATTGTCAATCTAATTGAATTCGATTTGATTCTAATTGTGTCAGTCGAAAATCAATAGAATCAAAATCTCTCTATTGCCCTGTAAACCATTGACCAGCTATACTGTGCGAATTGAATAAGTCTAACCAGATCAATTAAAAGTATTTGAGATTCAGTCGTCTATTTGGTTATCTATTCAGACAGTTAATAGATAATCAAAAAACAATTCGATAAAATAATAGAATCACAAACAGTAAAGTTTACCTTGCTTCTTCTTGCTCCATATTTACCTACAAAAACCAGGTTATTAACAATAAAGATAAACATTGAACGTTCTCTTATCTCTCTATGGTAACCTTATCTCCTAAAATTAGGTGTTGCTGGTTGACATCTTAAAAGTTAACGTTTCTTAGGCTTTATATTGTTTCTTGAATAACTAAAGTCGACTAAAATCTGTGATAATTTGACTGTTTCAAAGGCTTTAATTGTTTAAAATTAAGATAACTTTAAAAAACTTTTACGTTATTAACAGTTGCACGAGAAGATAATTTGTCGGACAAAGTTTGGTTAAAATATTCAAATTACATTTGAGTGAAATCATCTTGAATGTAGATTAATAAGTTTACTTTTTATTTAAGTTTCACTTTATTCTGGTTTCATCTTCAACACCATTATCATGCCTTTTTATACAAAAATAGGAAACTTTGCCGCTGTAACTTGGTGTTCATTTGGTTCTGCTCTAATCGGCTTGTTCCTGATGTTGATTGGCGGAATCCTCACTGGTATTGCTTACACAGAAATTACTCCACCCGATTACGATGATAATTACAAGAGGTATATTGGATCAAATGTATTAAGAGTTGTCGGTAAGTTCATAAATGATTAACATTAAATAATTTGATCAGATATTGATGTTTTTAAATACAGTATAAGACAAGTTTAGCTTGAAGAATGTCAATGAATCATGAGTAGTGCATTTCATTTCCTCGTGTACAATGTTGTTCAGTGGTTACACCATAAACAAACAATAGCTGTACTTGCATTGAAGGAACTTCATGTAAGAATATCTAATTATGAACAAGTACTTTAATAATCATTTCCTAAACTAGTCATTTTTGAATAATCTTAGGACTTCAAATATTCTCGATCAAACATTACTCGGTATATCTTTAAGTCCCACCAGTTTCAATGATTTTTTAGTTGATTTCAAAATTTTTATCGAGTCAGCAATCATCATGAAATTATTCACAACAAAATCCAGGATTTTTCTTCAAAATATTTGCCTTTCAATGTTTTATTGAGCTATGAATTGATCATCTGATTGTCTAATTTTGGTTTGATATATTTCAGGACCCTTTTCGTTTGGATTTGGAGGGTTACTCGTTCTTGGTAGCTGTGGCTTGTTTACATTTGCTTTTGTAAGTGAAAGTCGGAAACATCGTGGTAGCGCTGGACACATTAATTACGATTCAAGAATCGCAGAACCCGAAGTGGAGAAACTCCAGAATCCATGAATGGATTACTAATACAGCTTTTTTATTCCGATGAAGGAAAACATTTTATTTATCAGTTTACGATGTAACCCATCAACATCTGGAGTGTTTTAATCCAACTATAAAGCATTTTAATTTTCATATCGAAAGCTACCTCACTTTTGATTACTGATTTGACAATTCTTTTGATAATATTACTTAACCATGAATTCAATTTGTATTGTCAGATAATGGTGATTAGGAAATCAAATTCACTGAGTTGATTGCTGATCTTTAAAGTAAAGTTTTCTTTTGTATACTCGCCAAACTTAATTTATAATTTATTGATGCAAACATTGAGTCAATTGAAAAATAAACAGAATAGTTAAGTTTAAGAAAAAATTTAAGTTTATTTTATATGTTGATTGTCATAATTGTCATAATAATCAAAGTTTGATTGAGTTTAATCAATCATCTAATCTCAACAAGAAAGTTCGGATTTGCATTGGCTTAAGTGTCACAACAAAATCATGAACTTCATTGCCGATTTCAGTCTCAATTTCACGAGTCGATTGGCTATCCTTTGTTTTCCAGGTTAATCTTCTTGCCTCAGAATGATATTGAGTTGCAGTTATAATTGTCTCCTTAACACCATGAACTGATTTAGTATTGAATAAACCACGGAAATCAATTCTAACTGATTTTGAAAGTCCATCTGGATCTTCATTTGATTGATAGAAATGCTCTAATCGAACCAACCAATTATTAAGATTAAGATGCTCCAATGTTAGTAAATGTACATTAGGCGGTAGAGCTCGTTGCAAAAATGAGTAAATTGTTTTATGATTGGCTCGATAATCATCAAATGAACTGATAGGAGCAAAAGCCACCACTGGAGCCATGTAGAGTTGCATTCCTTTTTCTCGATGAAGTATATTTGATGATTTAATATCCGATATTAAAACATAATGTTTACCTCTGATAATCAAGCCTCTACCATCAACACCAGGTTCATTGAGAGCCTCATCAACACCTAAGCTATCATCATGAAGTAGTCGACGATGAAGCATTATTTCAAGTTCACCATCATTCAAACTGGCACCACCTTGACTACGATCAGTCAATACAACAAGTTGCAGATCTTCATCTTCATCTTTCAAACTGATTCGACTGTTAATTGGATAGTAATTGCCAGCAATAGGTTCAATAACTTTATACTTCCATGTTGGCCTGAAATCCTTGACTCGCTTCATCATTTGACGTCCATTAGAGTCAGTGTAAAACACTTTGTTTGTCTTTAAATCAGTTTGGAACAGACTAATTATTTCTTTACCCACTTTATCAGCAACAGGTATTGGTCCGACTTTGAAGTCAAACTCAATGAATGGATCATCAGGATAGATTCGCATAGTTTGAGAAACGTAATCGGAAATGTTTTGATGAACCTCAAAACAATCAGGTGAATTGAAGATTTGATATGTTGGCTGATCGGGAAATCCTGAAGCTGGTCCTTTTGGACGGAAAAGATAAGCTCCTGATGGAGGTTCCTTAGGTGTATCATATCCAGCATACCATTGGTATTTTTGGCGCAGCTTGACTACTTTACCATTTGCTAGTGAAACAGATTGGATTGATCCAGTCGATGGATCAAAAGAGGCCGAGAAACCTTTTCCTTGGGCTGTTATTGGTGCTTCTGATGTTGTTAAAGGCAAGATTGTCTCGAGTTTAGGAGTTGGCTTATTTGATGACACTTTTTCAACAAAATATGAAGCAAATCCGAGTGCAGGTAACGTGGCTTTAAAAAGTAATTCATGAGTTGCTGAGCTTTTTCTTTCAGGAAAATCTTGCATAAATCCAGGAATTGGAATAATTGTCGCATTTAAAGATTCACCATTTGGTCCGGTAACTTTATAATTTGATTCTTGCCATGGAATCCTAACTTTAAAATCATATTCATGTGCATATGGATTGTAAAGTGTAACCAATACTTTATCATTTGACTCGACTACTTCGCATTGGCTAATGTTTAGTCCAAGACATAGTGTGTATTGTGGGTCGCTATTGGATTGGCTTGACTTGTCTTTAGACGAGATAAATTGTAATGCTCGATTCATTAAATCCATAGATTTTTCAATGGCATCATTGAGGATGTAAGCATAATCAAAGGCAACCAATTGTTTTTCAGTTCCTGTGACGGCGTCATGATGTTGAAGGATTCCCATTGCTCTATGAAAATTGTCCACAGCATCAAATGTTTTTTCATCAGTTAAATTAGATGCAGCATGAAGTTGCTTGATTGCTTGAAATACATTATTTGAAACTCTTTCATAGCGTTTGATAGCTGGTCGACTGGTGTAAAAGCCACCCCAAAATGAATGGTCAGTAGAGCCATAAGGGAAAAAGTCATCCGTCTTCAATGTCCAGGTTCTGTTAGCTTGGTATAGACTGTAGAGATAACATGATGGAGTTGAGTAGAAGACATTTATCTTTAATCCATTCTTTTTCTCAGCTTCCATGGCAGCAATTAATTTATCCAAATTGTTGAACCAGATAGGAGCGTTTTGATACTGGAAGTCGCTTCCCATTGTTAGGATTATGTTGTTGGTGGCGTAATGAGCTGCTTGGTTTCGGATTACTTCAATAAAATCGGCAACTTTACGAGGAACATTGTATTCTCTTGATGCTGGATCATCTACGATTGGTTCATCGGAACAAGTATCATCGAAACAAAATCCATCAGGAGGATTGTAGCCGTTTGGAAGGACTCCAGTGAAAAGGTGAGACTTTTCACCGAGATCATCTGATCCTGACCAAACCATTTCCATAGTTTTATCTGATTCTCTTTGTTTTTTATCATACATATCGAGACGACCAAAAAATAGACCATCAAAATACATTTGAGCAAATAGAGAGGCCTGTTCTCTTGAATGTCCAAATGGATCAATTTGCCAAGCCACTCGGGGAATACCACATTTACCGAAAGTTGAAGCCAAAAATCGATGTCCATAACTCATTTGATCAACGATTGGACTGTAATGAGTAGCTGCTTCATCATTCATGCTCCAACCACCACCAATGAACTCCAATCGACCTAATAATTGAGACAAAATTTTATTATTTAATAACAGATAGTTAAGAGACAGAATAGACATGCAACTCGGATCTTAAGCTATCACAAGATTTACAGAAATGAAGATTGGTCGATTTGAATTTCATTATTTAAGGATTACAATTGAATGAACAGATAACAGCATAAAGTTTAAACTGTCAGCCTAACTACGCAGAAACGCAAAGTATAGTCAGTCTAAATAACGACCAAAAGGAGTGAATTGGACGCAATTTTGTCAGAAATTTCGATAAACTGAGAATCGTCTTTAACTAAATAATAGGAAATTAAATAATATAAGTCTTTAAGGTACTCAATGACTATCATATTTCAGTCAATCTTTTTGCTAAATGAATAACGATGATTGTTTTTTAAATCAAAATGTCAAAGATCAAAGGCTCTGTCTCTGGCTTTAATGCAGTCAATCTCCGATCCTAGACCGATCTGGTTAATTCAACTTGCTCAATCTACACAAATTGTGAATTATATCAATAGATTTCTTGGAAATCTGATGTCTAAATGTTGGATTGATTAATGGATTGAATTGTCTGCCAAAACTTGATCACAATTGACTGCCAGGAGTCCGATGATAATTTTTATGATTTTGATATATTATAGCCAATAACAATGATAAATACAAAAAAATTAAACAATACTTATAGTTTGACAATCTTAAATCTTTGTTTGTTTTTTTTCTCGATGCAAGTTCAATACTGTTCAAGTTGATAATATTATTCAAAAAAACAATAACATTGGAAAGTTTTAAGCTTAATGGAAATGTAGAATTTTTTACAATCATAATTGATTATCAAACAATGATTTGCCCAACAATTAACTTCCCCAAACAAAAAATTAAAAAGACTTGACAAAAAGATGAATTTCCCTGGTTTTGCTAATGATAAGTTTTCAAAGGGTTTTGCGCAGTTCATTACAAGTTAAGGTTAATCAACTAAATAATTGATGATGATCCAAGAGAAATTCATTGCTTTCATCAATTAATTAATAAGTCAATTAATTGCATTTTATCATAAGACTATTCAAGTGTTTTTAGACGATAACTTGATAAAAAAAGTTAAAAGTTAATGATTAAAGCTAAGCTCTGGTAATTTACGTTCAAATGTATTTACAATTTTTGAATGGACATCAAATTCAGGGTCAATGGTCAATTGGTTTACAAATTAGGTTAACTTAATGAACCAATTTTGATTCTCAATCGTTACAGTTGGAATGAATTACCCAAAAATAAAAGGTGTTCAACTATTGATTCTGGTTTCTGCAATTTGATTGTAAATATTGACAGGCTAAGTTTAGCTTCGGAAGATTATGTTTAGGTCTTTGCAATTGAAAAATTGTTACCGACAAATTATCTTGAGTGGCTCTTATTTACAATTGCTTCTGTCTAAGAGCGAATGAAACTTGCCTTAATATTAATCATCATAATCATCACAGTTGATAATTAGATTGAGATTTTAATACGATAGTTGAGGTCCGAAATGAAATGAGAAAATGGGGGGAAAAAGACTAAAAAGGTTGAAATATAAAGTATCTTTACCTTGGTTAACCAGTTGTTTGACTAGGTTTTGCATTTCCTCGTCTTGGTGAGTCCACCAGCGCCAAAAGAATGCCGATTCAACGTAAATAAATCGTTTTTTGGGATCTTTGGCGAGTTCAGGAATCACAGAGTTGAGGATATATTGAACTCCGGCTCTTTGAGTATCAGTTTTCATTCCCCAATAATATTGCTCATAAGTTTTCAACCTAAAAACAGAATCAGTTTTAAAATCAATTTTCGGTCAAATTTCATAATCATTTTTGTGAAATAGTTTCAATGAGAAGCTTCATTTAAATTTTAAAGACTTTGATATGGAAATTGAATGGGGAAAATAGACTTACCAACCGACATCATTGTGCGTATGGGAAACCAGATGAACATTTATCATGTCGGGTTCGAGGTGAGGGCAAAATTCGTAGCCACATTTTTGATTCAATTTTGACCAAGGAGGACGAGATTGGGTTAATAATATTAGTGAAAGAAAGAAAGCAAATTTTAAATAAATTGCCACAGTTAACATGATTGCTGCAAATCAAGGTGTGAATATCTCACCATCAATGCTACAATCGGGTTTCAGGTTTTCACGGTAAATACTAATTAAATAATATGAAGACTTGGGTGATGTAAAGAGAGAGAAAAATGATGACAATTTATCTGAAGAAGGAGACAAAAGTAGGTGGGATTGAAGAGGATGAAAATGCTGTCTTTAAGCTAATCTTGCTGGTAATACTGATTATCCTGATCATTTGGATGACTATTTGGTAACTATGATAAAATCACTGATCACTGATCTTCATTAGATTAATATATTTAAATGGTAAATCGACTACTGGATTTGTTGCCACGGAATAATGATTTGTGTCTCTATTTCATCAACAATATTCATCCCAAATCATCTCTTATGTCTGTCTTGGATATCAATGGATTCAGTCATTTTTATCCATTGATTGGTTTCTTGATCAAATTGTTAAACGATAAAGATATTGAAGAGCATTTTGTTTATTGATCAACACGATAACTTGATTAAACTCCCTCTAATCATGTTTACCTCAAACATAACAATATTGAAAATCATTAAGATCAAGATTTTCATCTAAAAACAAATCTTTGTTTAAACTTGTTTATTTTTCATTTTTCAGTTGACAAGTTGTCTTGAGCTTTTATTTTAACTTTCATCGGTTGCTGATTATGATGATGCCTTGTTTCTGATTACATCGTCAAATGTTAATCAAGTTAATTGTAATTCTTGTAAACTCTTTTCCAACGATTAAATCTAATAGATAATCTTTTTTACTTGTGATCTGTGATAAAAGCCACTTGCGATTTAATCACGTATTTGTTTCATTCCAATGAAACTGAAATGTGATTTTCAACCAACATTGGGTCAAAAAGTATTCAAATACAAACCATTTAGTGTTATTTTCGGGAACCGTTTCAGTCTTATTTGTGTCTTGAGATGATACTGATTGGGTAAAGTGGATATTTACCTGATTGAAACCTTGAAACAGATTGATTAATAATTTATTTTCCTTACCAATATTTATCACAATCAACTCATCATTTCTCATCGTCCTTCAGGATTACCAATATCATCTTCGTGCTTGTGTCTAAATCTTTCCCAATATTTAATAGTGTTTTTGCAAAAAGTGTAACAAAATGTTATTTTCATTGATTAAAGCGGACAAAAGACTGTTTTCAAGTCCGATAGGACCTAAATCAGTATTGAAAATGGTTAAAAGTAATTTTAGTTCAAATTTGAATGGATTGAAAAGATTAAGCCATCTAAATTCATTGAAAAGATTTTATTCAAATGGATTGGATGAATCAAGTAATGCAAGGATTTTGGCCATTCGTCGTGAAGATGCATCAATTTGGGAGAGAAGAGCTCCATTAGCGCCATTCCATGTTCGTAAATTGGTCCGTAAAGGTGTTAAAGTAGTCGTTCAACCATCTAACCGTCGTGCTTATCCCTTACAAGCCTATGTCAATGCTGGAGCTCAAGTCCTTGAGGATATTTCCGATGCTCCAGTCGTTATTGGTGTTAAACAGCCACAAATTGACAACATTTTACCAAATAAAACGTATTGTTTCTTCTCGCACACACATAAAGCTCAAGAAGATAACATGCCTTTATTGGACATTGTCCTCGAAAGGAATGTGCGTTTAATTGATTATGAACGAATGGTTGATGCAAAAGGAAACCGTGTTGTTGCTTTTGGTCGGTATGCTGGAATCGCTGGAATGATCAATACTTTCCATGGACTTGGACTTCGGTTATTAGCTTTAGGTCATCATACACCTTTTATGCATGTTGGTCCTGCTCATAATTATCGTAACTCAGGAATGGCTCGTCAAGCAGTACGTGACTGTGGCTATGAAATTGCTTTGGGAATGATGCCTCGTTCAATTGGTCCATTAACATTTGTCTTCACAGGATCGGGAAATGTATCTCAAGGTGCTCAGGAAATTTTCAGAGAGCTTCCTTATGAATATGTTGATCCGAAAGATTTGGCTCAAGTCTCTCAAATGGGAACAACAAACAAAGTGTATGCCTCGGTTGTTTCCCGAGATAATCATTTATGCCGAAAAGATGGTGGACCTTTTGATTCAAAGGAGTACGACGAATATCCTGAGAGATATTATTCCAATTTTGCGACCAAGATTGCTCCGTATGCTTCAGTAATTGTTAATGGAATCTATTATGCTCCAAATTCACCAAGATTGTTAACTATTCCAGACGCTAAAAGGCTACTTCATCCAGTTAGTTCACCTTGGTTGCCCTGTTCACAGGGTAGTCCAGCTTTGCCTCATCGATTGATTGCTATTTGTGATATCTCTGCCGATCCTGGAGGTTCAATTGAGTTTATGACTGAATGTACAACAATAGATACTCCTTTCTGTTTATATGATGCTGATTACAATAAGCACAGTGAATCTTTTTCTGGTCCAGGAGTTTTGGTCTGTTCAATTGATAATATGCCAACACAAATTCCGTTGGAATCAACTGAAGCTTTTGGCGATGTACTTTTCCCGTACATTTTTGACATTATTCGATCTGATGCAAATAAAGATCTTGAACAAGAAAATTTCAATCCTGTTGTCAAGACTGCTGTTATCGCTTCCAATGGTAAACTTGCTCCTAGTTACGAGTATATAATGGATTTAAGGATGGCTCGTGGAGTGCAAAAGAAAATGGATGCAACAAAGTCAGTGCTTGTCCTCGGTGCTGGTTATGTGTCTAAACCTTTGGTCGAGTATTTAACTCGTGATGAAAATATTCATGTTACCATCGCCTCTGAACTTCATGGTCCAGGTGAAGATTTGGCCTCCAAATCTAAAAATGTTTCATCCGTAGTCTTGGATATTGTTAAACGATCTGATACTTTGGCTGAGTTAATCAACCAGTCTGAATTGGTTGTAAGTCTTCTTCCGTACTCTCTTCATCCATTGGTTGCCAAACAATGTATTGAAAGTGGTAAAAACATGGTGACTGCGAGTTATGTTTCACCAGAAATGGAATCACTTCACGAACACGCAAAAAAGGCAGGAATAACAATAATGAATGAAGTTGGTCTAGACCCAGGAATTGATCATCTTTTAGCAATGGAGTGTTTTAACCAGGTAACATCAAATGGAGGTAGAATCAAATCTTTTGTCTCTTATTGTGGTGGTTTGCCAGCTCCAGAGGCAGCAGAGAATCCGTTGAAATATAAATTCAGTTGGAATCCAAGAGGGGTTCTGCTCAATAGTTTATCAGGCGCTCTTTGGGAAGAGTTTGGACAAATCAAGGAAATCAAACCTGGTGGCGATTTAATGAGTGCAGCACTTAAATTAGACTTCCTTAGCGGGTTCAATCTTGAAGGTTACCCAAATCGAGACTCAACGATTTATAAAAAACTTTACGGAATCAATTCAGCTGACACTATTTTAAGAGGAAGTTTAAGGTAAATCCTATTGACAATTTCATTAAACCAAATTAACTTTATTTTCCCAATATCTTTAAAGGTACCAAGGTTATTGTGACACAATGATAGGATTGCAAAAACTTGGTCTCTTCGATTCGCGCGCACATCCATCCTTGCATCCACGAGGTCCTGACATAACTTGGCGTCAATTTATGTGCCATTTATTTGCTCAAAAGGAAGATATTTTGATAACAAATTTGAAAAATTTGATTCTTGAGAGATTAGGATCGCAAACTCGGCTTGATTCCATCGAGAAACTTGGATTCCTAGAGGATGAGCCAATAGACAAAAAAGGTTCACCATTAGACACAGTAACACATCTTTTAGCAACAAAATTAGCCTTTGGTCCTGATGAGAGAGATGTGATAATAATGAGACACAACATCGGCATTGAATGGCCAAATGGAGAATTGGAAAATCGTTACATCAACTTGGTTGTCTATGGAGAACCAAACGGACCTTCAGCTATGGCCAGATGTGTGGGTTATCCAGCAGCCATCGCATCTAAGATGATTTTAGAAGGTGAAATTCAAAAGAAGGGAATCGTTCTACCTTTGGTTCCGGAAATTTACAACCCTATGTTAAAAAGATTGCGCACTGAAGGAATATTTGCAATTGAAAGAAGTGAAAAAATATAAGCATTTGTAACCATTAGCTAGTTTTCAAAATTCAAGAAATAAACTTTTCAACGACAAACAAACGCTTGAATTAACACGCTTTCCTCAACTTGCTTGCCAAAAATTTCGTACACGTGGAACACAGAAAATTCATTATTAAGTTAGACTTTTATTTTAAATGAAAAAAGAAATACATAGTCAATAATCGTACCATTTAAGATCGAGGTCTTTCTTTCTTCTCTTTGTATAAAGCTAATAAAGATACATTAGCTACTTTAACAACCTTGAATCTAACACCAGGAATATCTCCGACGGCGTGACCTTTACGACCGAAACCAGCGACTAAAACTTCGTCGTTTTCTTCAATGTAGTTTAAGCAACCATCTCTGGGTACGAAAGCGGTAATCTTTTTACCATTCTTGATGAGCTGTACCCTAACACACTTTCTAATAGCAGAGTTAGGCTGTTTGGCTTCTACTCCAACCTTTTCCAATACAATTCCCTTTGCGTGAGAAGCACCTCCGAAAGGATTAGCCTTCCATCGGGTACCAAGATGAGCTTTCTTGTAATCTTTGTCGTGCCATCGCTGTTCTCGTCGATGATCCTTGTGTTTACGTGCAGTCCGGATACCTTTTGGCTTACCTAATTAAATAAACAACGAATAAATAAACACATGTTAAAAGCCGGTCAACTGATAATGCTGATAAACATAGACACAGTAGAAACATATTTGATATCGAATTAAAGAATAGTCAAGAATAATTGATACCAAATTAGAGAATAGACAAGTAGACTTGATAATACAATTAAAATTATTTCAACATTAACTTACCCATTTTGATTAGATGGTTACTTAAATTGAATTAATACAAATTGAACGTTTAACTAAATGTGATTCCTATTCACTGAAACTGGTAAAGTTGAAAAGGAAACGGAAACAACACTTTCTTAAAGTAGGGGCCGTATACTAATTTAGTATTGTCTTTTTCGATGTCTTGATTGTATGAATTTGTAAATTTAACCTTTTTTTAAGCAACAAAATTTATTACCGGAATCAAATCAATAATATCTAATTGTTTGAAATGTTCAATAATTTAAGTTGAATGATTTTGGTTCGATGATTGCTTTCCTTCTTGAGATTATAGTTTCAAAATTGTAAAAGTTCATAAGCTTTTCTTTACGTTCACACTAAAATGCAATTGTCCTATTCCTTTTTCGGTGGGTAGATTTGACTTATTGATTCCGATAGTTGGTTCAAATGATATTTAATAAATCATAGTTATTCAGTGCATTCATTAATCTAATTTTTACTTTGATTTTAACTTGAAATTTTCGCGTTTTGATTACAGATCAACTCAAGTATCGAGTAGAAAAGAGTATCGGATATCAATCCTTGCAATGATTTGATTGTTTTGATATTTTAATGAAATTTAACTGTTAAATAACCTGTCTTTAAGACAGTGCCTTAATTCAATAAATCTTGTGGTTTCCTGATTAATGATTTTCAAGTTGTAAACTTAGTCAACTAGGCCGATGTAACTAAATTTATTGTGTTTATTCAAATTCATCTCTATATCTTTCCTTGCAAAGCAGTGATTTATGCTCCTCAATTTTGTAAAATTTATAAATCTGTAGATTCAACTTCTCCCAATCAATTTGATTATTTATTGAAGGCTCAATATACAACTTTGCAATGATTCCTATGGAAAGATATGTTTTCTCTGGTCTTTTATCAGTGTTTTTGCTGCTAACAATTCGAGACTTATTCATTCGAGAGTCACCTAAACCAGATGATGTTTATAATTTCAAAAAGCAAATACCCGAAACCCAATTTTCAAACATTATCATTGGACCAGCTATCCGTATATCATATTGGTAAGATTATTTGGCCCCTTTGAATTTAAGTTTCCTGCTTGCATATGTATCATGTGCTAAGTGATTAGCTTATTCCAATTTGCTTTTGATTTCGTATTTCTTCCTTGATCATCATGACTCGCGTAACATAGCTTTTCAATGAGTCTATGTTTTTATTTTATCCTTTGCGTTCACATTATGTTCACGATGAACCAAATTGATTTTTTTAGACAATCAAAAATTTATTCTTGTGTTTATTAAGCTCTTTGAATAATTACAGATATGAGTTCTAAATTTTTTATCTGATTGATCAATAACTGACAAGGAAATTGAGTCCAAGTCAACATCAGCTTTATTTTCTATATTTTGACAATTTGTTTCATTAAACTTATTCATTTATGGTATCTTTAACTTTAAATTTCATTATTTTTTTTCTATTTTTCAGCTATTCCTGTGGATACAAAAGAGCTTTTGAAGAGTATTCTCGTGTAATAAAGGAGAGATATCCTCAAATCACAGTTGTCGGAGAAAACCATACACCAAATTTCATCCGCCTTGCTATCGCTCAAACTTTATCATTTGGAAAATTTGTGGTCATTGGTTTAATTGTTTCTAATATAAACCCCTTTTCATACTTCGGTATGATTACGCCAACTTACTGGAACATGTTGGCTCAGCACCGACTCTATGGCTCCATGATGATTTTCTTCATCTGTAACACCTTAGAGAGTTATCTGATGAGTACTGGTGCCTTTGAAATCACATATAATGGTATGTTTCAAACATTTCCTTTTAAATTTTATACAATTCAACCTAATAATTATTTTTATTATTTTCCTCCTCAGGTGTTTTAATATGGTCTAAACTAAAGAATGGTCGTATGATATCACCTCAAGAATTATTCTCACTCATCAGTTTAGAAGAAGATTTGACAAAAGGAAATATTCTGGACTACAATCCAACATCTTAACATGAGGAAAAGTTATAAAATTTGTAAAATCTGAATTCCAAATGTTTGCAAAAATCGTGAAGATATGATTATGTATTTATGGTATTAATTGTTTATTAATTTATCCTTAGCTTTTTGATTTGAAGAGATTTAATAGATCAATTTTTCACATTCACTTTTCTCTACATCTCTATCCACTAGCAAAATTTTTTTTTGTTTCCTTCTATTGTTACTAGCTTTTCATTTGCTTGATGTCTTCAATTATCCACTTTTTGTCAACACCATATGACTTACTATTCCTATGACCTAGAACCTTTTTTTATTACATTGCTAAATTTACATTTGCAAATCCTGATTGAATCGAACAAGTTTATTGTCTCTGAATTTCAGTAATATTGTGTAAACTAAATCAATATCAATTGATATTTATCAACATCTTCAAAAGGTCAACTGACTTCAAAAAGAGTTTGATCAGACTATGATTGTTCTTTCTCTGATTAATTTGAATTCATCTTCCAAAGATTGGTAATCAAGTCGAAGTTTGTCAATCAGGCTCAATTCCTTCAATTTAGATAAATAAACCCATGTGGAACTTTTTGTTTCTATATATTTGAATGATGCATCCAACTATTTATTCAAATAATCACACTGACTCAATGAGTAAAGGAAGGATCTCCTTTAATCTTTGCACTGACTCTAAAGTAGTAATCTAAAAATAATCTTTAATAACTACTTAATTTTGATCATTTCAAGTGAAAATTTAAATCTGAGATTGGTGTGATAACTTAATTCGCCTGATAAATTTTTAATTTTAATTGTTGATGGGTTTATCGTAAACTAAGACAAGTCTGAAGCTCACATCAAGGAAAATTAGGTAAAGTAATTTCCCTGCTTGTTATGCTATATTTGTAACACACCCAAATAAGGCTCAAGAATATAACACACTCAAATGATACAAAGATATTGCATCTTCAAACCCTTTCAATCTCCACCCTTATTGATCTTATTATTATATTCCATGATTGTTAAAGACCAATGTAATAGTTATATATTGGAGATTTTAGAATAAAAGTTCAGTTCAGTTGGAACTCCCAGGAGAAGAAGTTGAAGTTTCCTTTCAATTAATGCCCAAATTGAGGCCGTTTTGTGTGTTCTTTTCTTCTCTGTTTCTCTTTTTAGGCACACACTCACTTTAATTAAACATCTTTTCTTGCCGTGATCTCTTTCTCACCATGGATTCCTTATTGTCAGTTTCGTTATGACCACCATTTCGACCATCAAATATTTTAACCACTAATACTTTAACTTACCTTCAAAAACAACAAAATATAAGTCACCATCATTATCATCAACAAGAAAGATCATAAAAATAAAAAATAATATTTCAACTGAAGTATCAATATCCAATTCTGATAGTGGTCATCACTGTCTATTGAATTTGCTATCGATTTGTGAGCATCACTATAACAATGATTTGCTATTTTATCCTATGCTTCTTCAATCAAAAACATAATTTTTGTCATCATCTCACGCCGGCTTCAATGAATTGAAAATCTTGCAAACCATTCTCATAAACAAAAAGAATCTTATATTGTGCCAGTTTTCATCAACTTAACAAGACTAAAGTCAACTAAACCAACGATTGACCACCAGAGAACCAGGAAATCTGAAAATAAACATCAACAAAATCAATCTGCAAAGCATATAAGTATTACAAATTTTATTATCAAATTTGAAGGTTTTGGCTGCTTCTGATTAGCCAAACGTTGCACTATTCAATTGATAGAACTCAGTTCGCCATTCTTATCTGAGCCAATAAGTAACTAAGAGTAAGCTAACCTAACCTAACGTAACTTAACCTAAGCTCAAGAATACAGAACGTAGTTCGCCATTCACGTCTGAGCCAATAAGTAACTAAGAGTAAGCTCAAGAATACAGAACGTAGTTCGCCATTCACATATGAGCCAATAAGTAACTAAGAGTAAGCTAAAGAATACAGAACCTAGTTCGCCATTCTTATCTGAGCCAATAAGTAACTATGAGTAAGCTAACCTAACCTAACGTAACCTAACCTAAGCTCAAGAATACAGAACGTAGTTCGCCATTCACGTCTGAGCCAATTAGTAACTAAGAGTAAGCTAACCTAACCTAACGTAACCTAACCTAATAACCTAAGCTCAAGAATACAGAACCTAGTTCGCCATTCACATCTGAGCCAATAAGTAACTAAGAGTAAGCTAAAGAATACAGAACGTAGTTCGCCATTCACATCTGAGCCAATAAGTAACTAAGAGTAAGCTAAAGAATACAGAACCTAGTTCGCCATTCTTATCTGAGCCAATAAGTAGCTAAGAGTAAGCTCAAGAATACAGAACGTAGTTCGCCATTCACATCTGAGCCAATAAGTAACTAAGAGTAAGCTAAAGAATACAGAACCTAGTTCGCCATTCTTATCTGAGCCAATAAGTAACTATGAGTAAGCTAACCTAACCTAACGTAACCTAACCTAAGCTCAAGAATACAGAACCTAGTTCGCCATTCTTATCTGAGCCCAATAGTAACTAAGAGTTAGCTCAAGAATACAGAACCTAGTTCGCCATTCACATCCGAGCCCATAAGTAACTAAGAGTAAGCTCAAGAATACAGAACCTAGTTCGCCATTCTTATCTGAGCCAATAGTAACTAAGAGTTAGCTCAAGAATACAGAACCTAGTTCGCCATTCACATCCGAGCCCATAAGTAACTAAGAGTAAGCTCAAGAATACAGAACCTAGTTCGCTATTCTTATCTGAGCCAATAGTAACTAAGAGTAAGCTCAAGAATACAGAACCTAGTTCGCCATTCACATCTGAGCCAATAAGTAACTAAGAGTAAGCTCAAGAATACAGAACCTAGTTCGCTATTCTTATCTGAGCCAATAGTAACTAAGAGTAAGCTCAAGAATACAGAACTTAGTTCGTCATTCACATCTGAGCCAATTATTAAAAATTCTTACTCTAGCTTATGATGTCTTCATAATCGCGCGTTGATCGTCTTTCTAGTCATGCGAGAAATTCAAACAAATACTGGCCTTAATTGCGATTACGTTGATTGTGAATTTTGAATTTGGTGGACAAAATCTTGTCAGTATGTAGACATTGTTTATGTTGCTTATCCTCAACATTCTGATTCGGTAATTCTTAATAAAAATCCCTTTCAAATATTCTTTTCTTGCCATTTTTTCATCTAATATCAAGGTTCTCTTGGTCCAGCATTTGGAGTTCAGTCTAATTTAAGATTAGACAAAAAGAGGCTACCCTTTTGGTGAATATTTACTGGTCAATTTCAGTATTATACAAGCTCGTGTTGATTCCGTTGACAATATACTTTGCTGCTGTAACTTTGATTATACCATTTACTTTGCAACAATTTACTAATTCATTTTATGCATTTTTTTTGTAATTCTCATGGTTAAATTTTACAAGAAAAGTTCTCCAAATAGAAATTAATTTCAAGATTTCTCAAACTGAAATAACTTTCTTTTTGCATGGGCTTCATGTGCCATGAAAATATTAATAAAATGTTGAACTCTCTTCTAGTATAAATCAAAGCTGCTTAACTTTATTTCATTTACTTATCAAAACACATCATAAGCGCTGTTTATGACCTCTTATGAGATCAATGGATAAAGTTTCATTACTTAACTACATCTTCCTCAATCCCAAAGGAAGAGGAAAGATTCAAACTGGGTCAACATTATCTTTAAATACCTTGAACACAATCAATTGTTAACATTATTAATACTAGTTTACCTGAAGAAATTATTTTATAACGAAGATATCATCGTCATATCATTTAATGCCTGAGAATGAATGCGAAAGGATGAACAAATGGAAAGAAGTTTCAAGTAATGAGAAAGTATAATGAGATGATTGAAGGTTGATTAACTGAAGGAAATTAGAAATGGCTGGAAAAACTGGTAATAATATTAGTTAATGGATAGTGTTTAATGATGAAAATGTACCCATCTAATCATCTGTGTTGGCAAAATGATATAAATAGTATTTTTGTAATATTTGTAACCGAAAAATTGGAAGACAAAAAAGATAACAAAAGATGAGATAAAGCTCAGGGAGGATAATAGTCAATGATGACAGTTAATCAAGTTAGAAAATATGGCCGCTGATGTGTTGACATTGTTTTTTCCATTCATCAATGCTCTAATTAAAAGTGTGCATGTTCAATTTCCATTGTTGTTCCGTGTAAACATCTTGTCCTATTTCTCGTTTCTCATTTGTTTTACAGTTACGTTTTTGTTCCAGAAATATCAAGAGATATAAACTTGGTGTATTTCATTGTTTGATTGACACTTTTTCCTTCTCCATTGTAACAAATCCTCAGTTCTTGCTGTTGAAAGATTAAAAGATAAAACAAGTCAGATGATAAGTATTATACTACGAAAGACATAAACCCTGAGCTTGATGATAATAGATACAGCCAGGTAAAAACCATTACATTGTTGCGCTTTATAGTGCTTAGTTGTTTTGTTTTCACGTTCCCTTACTAGTCAATATTTCAAGTAAAACCATGGATTTTCCTGAATTCTGGGATTATTTTGCACAACAAGCTGCCTCGCCAACTGAACCAAATGCCTTGTTGGAAGAAAGGATGGAAGAAACGACACCTTTGCCACCATTTTCATCTATATGTTCAAGTGATATAGAAACTATATTGAACTCACTTTTCCCTTGCGAAGACGAACTTCAAAATGATATGGACTATGAAGCTGGATACACAGTCGATGACAACCACGATCATGATATGATTGCAAGCTTTGAGCCGTTTGAGCGAATTCTTGAAGCAACTCAGGAATACAATAACCAAATTCTCTCAAATAATAACACACAAAATTGTCAAAGCGACAATTTTACAAGCAACTCAGTACTTGATACGTTGGAGCAGCTTTTGGCCTCATCATACATCATTAATAAGCCAAACTCGTCATCTTCATTCTCTTCTGATACTTCTGATGCTTCAGATGCTTCGGATGCTTCGGATGCTTCTCTTCAAACTGAGACAAATACAACATCATATTCAACCCAAAACAGTAAATCTTTAAAGGAACCTTCTGATGTCTCTAAGAGAGTTGAAACTTGGCCTTCACAGCTTCGTCGCCCTTACACAGATCACAAATCCAAAATTTTGCCTCCGAAAGATCCAGCTTTTAAGCCAACACTTTCCCTGTGTACGGACACTTCACTTGTTGATGAACCATGGAAACCAAATGTTTCAAAGAAAATTTTAGCGGCTTATTATACACCGTTAAGCTTGAAGTCAGAGTACCTGGCTACTCAAACAGCTCTTGATGAGTTTCAAACACTTGCGTTGAAAGAATTGTTGCAGCTTTTCATGATGTCGCTCTTCGTAATAACATTACCTACAAAATAGGACAAAGTAATTATCCTGATTCATGTCCAAAAACACTTGAGAGCACATGTAGAAAGTAAGGGCGTACAGGCGATTGCTAGACAGTGATAAAGTCACTCTCTTGTCCAATGTATTTTTCGATGTGATTGCAATGAAAAGTGTCCTCACTTATGACCACCTAACCGACAGTTGGAGTGTAAGTTGACTTTAGACAGTCTATCGATGGAACCGATTGTGATTCATAATACACAGGAATACTCGGTTAAGGCATTTTTTTGTCAGTCGCCATCTAGTGATTTCGTTGTTCCAGCTAGTTAGTATTTAACAAATTTTAAATTAAATAATCCCAAACAATTAAATCTCATTGATGGTGCGGTGAAAATTTCCTTAACCGAGTAATCCTGTTGTGTCTTATTCACCAGTAATTAAATTCATCAAATTGTCATATTGTCTTCAAGTGTTCAGGTATACGAGTTGATAGAAGGGACGTTTTCCGTTTGGATCCCTGTTTGCACAATGGCATTGTTCGTGTTATTGAGACCTTTCCAGATCGATGGCGAGGAGATTTAGCAGTTGCAGCTCTTATTTACTTGATCATTATCTTCAATCCAGATCTGCCTAATCTTAAATTTAGTGAATCCATAAGGTTAATATTGAGATTGTCAATAACTTTGCCAGTCCATAATCTTTATTGAGAATGTCTGCAAGATTTTTTGTCCTTTCGCTTGTTTTCCATGAAATGGCCAGAATCTACAAGAGAGACAAAGAGAAAATCTGAATTAGATTAAAATTTTAATATTAAATTATTGAGTATTGCAAAAGCAGCTTGAATACGCAGTACAGCAAATAGTGAGCAAACAGATTGAGCTTTCGATTTGTAGTCTTGTTATTAGGAAGTTAAACTAAACATATTTCATTGAATTAAAAAGACCACTAACCTTCGTTAACACATTTCCAATACAACTTGCTAATAGTTGTTAGCTTTAAGTCAGATCAATTTTTAAGGTTAGATCGTCTCAAATCAAAATTGATCAACAAAAAATTAAATATCCCACTTAATAACAATTTTCAAGAGTTCCCATTAGTCTGCCATCTTGTGAGACATCAGCAACACTTATTTTTTGAATTAATGCCATTAATTTAATGATTTATTAATTTTTCAGCTATAATTTTATTAACTACTTTTATGATCTCGATGATTATAATTATAATTTTGATTTTCTTCTTTTTACAGGCTGGAACAATACACTTACATTTACCTGTTACAACGATACTTGGAAACGACTTGTGAATTCCCGTATGACGCCTCAGATTACCATTATCGTTTACTGGCCAAAATCGAAGAGATTCAAAACCTGAGACAAAACATGCAGAGAGTTTTTGAAATTGTTAGCGTGAATTTCCCGCTATCGGGTCGTATGACTACATTGGTCCAGTGTAATGGTACTTACTATTAATAATTTACCGTCTTCTCATTGCTATTATTTACCTCGCAATTTAACCATTCAATTCTTGTTATTGATTTTAATCTGCTATAATTGTTGTATTTCATTTTACAGATTGACCTAACAAGTTTTACCATGGACTATCATGCCGCACATTATCATCAGTATCTAATTAGTAATTAAACTTGTACAGACGAAGCACAGAAGAGATTTAGGAAGGACAAACAAATATTTAATTTTAAATATGTATGACAAGCTTGAAAATTTCGTCTAAAATTAACCCTAATTTAACATTCTCCAAGTTCGTCTTAACTTTTGTTTCTATGTTTGACGAAGGAGTTGTTTAAAGTTTTCATGTAAACTTGATTTATAAAGAGCGAGTCAACAATGTTAAACAAAATATCAACAATAACAATGGTATCATAACTCCAAATTGGCGAAAAGTTTATTAGATTCAAGGCCCAGTAATTATTGTTGGTGATTCTCACTTTGAAATCAGTCCTTAGTACGAGTAAAAATGGAGACATAGTCTTGAAACTGACACAATCCGTTTGGATATTTGATAACTCCTAATGAGTTTACTGTATTTTTGTCAGTCGTCGATTTTATTGCTCAGGCAATTAAATTAACACAAATTAAAAAAACATAAAAAGCATAAAAAATAAAAAAATTTCTGGAAGAAAAGGTTTGTGAAAAATATCTCATGCTGAACTCATATTTATAGCCCAACAAACAACCTGAAGCAAGTCGAGTTCAAGGCATTGATTCTGAAATGACGAGATGGATTTTATAGCTTTAAAATTTTATATTACTATCTAATAATAATCTCTTTTATAAAAGAAATTCAAATGTAAAAATATTCATCCTTTTGCCGATCTCGGCAAGGAAAAAACACAATTGTTGGCACCAACTTATGTCCAAACTAAACGTGAATTTCTCTGTAACCTAACTGTTAAATTTCGAGAATGCTCTGACCACTTTCGTGGATGTAGTTTAATCATGGCTTTCATGCTATTACATGATATGTAAAAATTTTCTTTAGAACCCGTTTAGTTTGGCCACAATTTTAGCCCAAAAATTTCATGTTTTGACTTGCTATTGTGTAGATGTGTAGATTGAAGCCAAAAAAGGCTAAAGATAAAAGGATTGATTAAGATTGCGTCCTGATTATTTTTCAGCTTTTTTACATCAAAGTGATGCACTTGATACACATTACCTCATAATAAAATGTACTCAATAGAGGAAATGAAAATAAAATGAGTTTTATAGAAAAATTGTTTGATTAACCGATAAATATTATTTTTATCTTTATTAAGTACAAAATTACTCCATTTTTTTAAATCCGAATATCGACCGAGTTGCACCAGATTAAGCCCAGAACGACTAGTTACTTTTTTGAATTCCGAGAGATCTGAGGTCTTAATCTTTTACTTGGACTATTTACACAATGTCCAGAACTTCTCAATCGGACAAGCTTGAGGAAAATGTTGACTGTTTTGTCTTTTTCAACGAAATCAATATCGTTAACCAACTTGGAGTAAATAAAACATTTACATTTGAATTGATTCCCACCATTTTTAAGGATCCTTTAAAACAGAATCTGTGAAACTTTGTGTAGCTCTATGAATAGCTAGCATGAAAATCTGCTATTTGAATTGGCTATTTTACTCGCTTAACTTGTTTTCTTATTCTTCATGAACTGAGTACAATTGAAAAATAAATTGTTCTATCTGCTGAACTTTCTTCTTCCTTATCTCTAGTGGGCTCGAAATTTTCGCAGTACGTAAAAATTTGACCTGATGACCTTTGAAACAAAAATAAAACTTCATACAAATATTCACGGGTCTCATCGCTTTACTTTGATATTCACACACAAACGAGAGCGACCTTATCTTTTGAATAATTAATATTATCATTTCACAAAAAATATTGCGATTTGTCATCGATTAGGTTTATCGATAGTGCATTGCCTTGGTTATCAGTAAAATTCAACCATAACTTTAATCTCGCTAGAGATGTAAAGCTGTTAAGCAGCATTTTACAACAGCTATTTTAAGTAACAAAATGAATTTTAAGTTAGTAACGATTGAATATGTCCGGGCCAATAATTACAAATTACTTAACACTTTATTGTGCAGTGCCAGTTATGCTGGAATGGGAAGTGTTTTTACCCTGCTTGGATCATCTTTACTTGATTACCAGATTTTAATAAATGAAGATTTTCAAACAGTGGCTACTCTTGTCCAACAAAGAGCAGTTGGATACATTGTTGGAGCGCTCTTAGGTGAGTTTAAATTACTTTTATATTAAAAAAGCTGAAATATAAATTATACCCAATTAATATTTAACAATGAAATCTTGATCATTTAGCTGGATTTATTGAAAAATATGTCAGCAAAGTTCTGTTTCTTAGTTTATCAAACCTGGTTCTTGGTATTTCCATAATTATATCTCCATGGTTTAGCAATTTCTGGCCATTATCGGTAGCTACAATATTTGGTGGAATATCTCTCGGTTTTCTCGAAATATGTTAGTACCAAGTTAACCAAATTATCCCCTAATATAATAATCATTAGTCTATCTAATTATATTTCCCAAAATTATAAGTTTGCAATGTTTACACTGCGCTATTATGGAAAGCACAGAGTACTAACTACCTTCAAGCTCTTCACCTGTTTTTTGATGTTGGTGCTTTGGTCGCTCCGTTGATTACAAGACCTTTTTTACTTCCCATTGATATTGATGACTACAATAACCAACAAGGAATCAATTCAACTGATAGTAAATCTTACACCAAAGATGATGTTCTCATTCAATATCCTCACCTCATAATGGGCTTATTCCTGGCTGCTGTTGCCTTTGTATTTTTCATTATTTTCATCTATGGTAATGACCAAATTGAAAGTGATGAGGATAATGACAAAGATAAAGAATCAACTAATAACAAACCAAATGACGGCCAGAGATCCAAACAAATACTGGCCATAGTTCTGACAGCGTTAATTGTTAATTTTGAATTTGGTGGACAAAATCTCGTCAGTAAGTAAAGATTGCTCAATATTGCTTATCTTCAAGAATCTGAAACTAACTTGTCTCTAACAGTCTGACTTACTAAACAAAGTAGTTTACCTTGCAATAACCCAGTTGGATATAGTACAGTGATTACCGGTTTAAGTAGCTTCAACTGAATCTAATATTATCTGATGAGACAAAACCAGTAACCATTTGTGTATCAATACATCTCTGATGTTACGAAATTTCACTGGAATTTTCACTTTTTTTCATTATTCCAATCTTTCAAGGTGCTCTTGGTCCAGCTTTTGGCGTTAAATCTAATTTGAGATTGAACAAACAAGATGCTGCTCTTTTGGTCACTATTTACTGGTCAATTGCCAGTATATACAGGCTCGTGTTGATTCCATTAACAATATACTTTACAGAAGCAACTCTAATCATATTCAATGTAATAATAGTGATTTGTGGAGCTTCAGTTATGGCTGCTGGAGCTGACAGCAATTTAACATTGACTTGGATCTCATTTGGCCTTCTTAGCATGGGCTTTTCACCTTGTTTTGCTTTCTCTTTTGGCCTTATTCAGCGATATTTTACGATATCAAGTAGAGTCACTTCACTGATCTTCTTCTTTGGAACTTTGGGTGAATCTATTCACCCATGGGTTGTGTCTAGATACTTGGAATCATCCTCATCTTTTTATACCATTTACTTTGCAACAATAGCATACACTAATTCATTTTTATGTATATTCCTTGTAATTCTCATGGTTAAATTTTACAAGAAAAGTTCTCCAAATAGAGATGAATATCTAAGATTAGATTAATAGCATTAACAGGGTTTTCATTAAAATACAATTCAAGTCGACAAAGCTCAAAAGATCACTAATTTACTGTCTAATGTGATTGTAATGAAAATTTGATTTTGAAAAGCAAAGTCAAAAGGTTTCTCTTCATCAATCAATATTCAATAATATAATCACATGATACCGGCATTTAGATAATCATTGATCATTGATCACTTTTAACATGTTAATATGATGTTTCTGTTTAAAATTGAATTTAAACAATGTATTTGTTAATATTGGTGACAAATTAAATATAATACATTTGAAATGGATTGATTTAATGTTATCAATTGAATAAATAAACATTTATTAATTATTATTAATACTTGTAAACTGAATGAGAAGATAAATGAAATCAGCAGTCAGAACCAAACTGGTAATAACAAGACAAAGGTTGCTGGTTTTGATGATGATGATTAGATTATTGCTATTAAATTGTGATTTTCATTTTTAACTTACATTGATCAAACCAACATTACAATGAATTGATGGCAATAAAAATATCCTGTCATTGAAGTAAACAAGATCAAGTGGATTTAACTAGATTAGATGAATGGTTAGTTGTAAAAATTGTGTTTACTATTGCTTTGTAAGATTGTGAATTCATCCAATGAATTCAGTTGATTTTGCATTCTATCAAATATAAATTCTTGAATCCTATTTGAGTATTAAAAGCTGAATAGATTAATTTCATGAACAAAGGCAAAACGTATTATAATAGCTTGTTTATGGAGTAAACCTCTTGTGAGATAAAATGGTATAAAGTCTCATTATTTGTTTACATCTTCCTCAATCCATCAGGAAGAGGAGTGATTTAAGCTGAGTCAACCTTCATCTTTTAATACCTTGAAAACAATCAATTGTTAACAGATTATTAATATTGCATCCAAAAGAGACTGAACATAAATATAAGATAATAATAATGAAAATCAGTGGATTAATCATGAAGCTGTCTGCAGATAAAAACTAATAAAAGACAGCAACATATTGACAATTTGAAAATATCCTTTTCAATGACTTAACCTAAATGAGGAAAAATCAAAATAGCCTCAATCAAATAAATAAATACAGACTTAATACTGGATGAAACCAAAATTTAATATTGGACTAGAAAATGGTATTAAATATCGTTTCTTATTTCAGAGAACGAGGCTTATTCCTATATCAATGGTAGAATGGGTGAAAAAATAAGACTTTTGTAAAGTTTAACGTCTCCTGATGTTCCCCTGCAGAAAGGAGATGAACAAACGATGCGATATGTAGCAAAATAAAGATGATTTTAGAGGACCAAACAAATTAAATTGTAGATCTAGTACGGCATAATGAACCATAATGTATCAAAAGACGATTCTAGGTTCGTGTTGTCCAGCTAGGATTCTGGTTAAAAGTCAAGACTGTTACCATGATTATATCGATACTATGTATTTTATACTGTATGGTATATAGTAATTTGTTTTGATGATCTAAATTTATCTGTTTTAACTGGATTTGGTTTTACAATGGATAAAATCAGCTAATTGGTCCTCTGAAACCACTGAGGCCCAGCCAGGGATAGATGAGGAAGGTAAATTGAATCCAGACATGGCTTTCTTTATCTGTTCGATCTTATCTTGATCTAATTCAATATCTGGTCTAGCAGCCGACTCTAATTCTTGAAGCATTTCGTCCTTTGGAACTGGTAATAGAAGTGAATCTACAGGAAACATTGAGGAATTATTACTTGTATCATGGATAGAAGGAAACTGTTGGCACTCGGAGGTTGCATTGTCCTGCTGGTTAACTGGTGGACAGTTACAATCTCTATCTTCGGTTTCTTGATTGAGTAATTGATAACCCATGTTTTCATCAGCATCAGAGTCATCATCATTTCCAACATAGTCTGCCTCATCATCGTCTTCATCAGAAGAAGGATCCGGGAAGTTGTAAGGAGGAGCACCACTTAAATACTCATCATTTTGATTAGAACTTTCATTGGGTCCAGTGTCAGGAGCCATTTTACATCGATTTTTAACCTTAATTCTAGAAAAGGCAGCACAAAAAAATAATTAACCACTTGAGATTTACTTTATCAGTTGCTCAACGAAATCAGCTGGTGAGATCCCAGTTGTTATGGCAACATTAGCTTATTAGGTTGATTTGATCACTTTCATTGATTCATTGATCATTAATAAATTAGATTTATAAAGGTTGAGAAAATGATCAATCAATTTAAGACCAATGAAATGCTTCAATATCAATTTTGGAGATCATTCAATTCAGTCTTGGTGGGTGAATAATGGATGCTTCATATTAGCGGGTAAAATGATGATTATTTAAAATAAGATTCAACTTGATTTTTGAACTTCATGCTGATCCATCGCCTCATGAACGTGATCAGTGAGAACATATCTATTAATTCAGATTAATTTTCTAATCAAGTTTTAATTAATCTTTCTGTCAACAAGGATTCACAATTTAGCACAAATCCATAGACGCATCAAAATATTCAAATGCTTTCAGTTTCACTGATTTCTTGAAGCGAGGTTAAATTAGCATTCAGTTTGAATAGTGATGACTAAAGCTAGATTAGCATCTATTGTGTGATCAATCAAGTATCAGTGAATCGTAAAAGTGGTTGAAATATTAATCATTAAACTTTGTATATTGTTAAAGATTTGTCAAGGCAACGATTAAGATCAATTATTTTGCTCGACTAATCGATATCTTACAAGGGTTACACTCGACAATTTACTATTAATTTACTCATTTTTTCTCTGTAGCTTGTGAAAATTAAATTAACAGGGAAACAGTGAATATTCATGTTCACAATCAATTGAAGACAAAAATGTGATCAAACATCTTGAATGGTTGAAATAACAAAAGAGTTCATCAATCCACAATTATCAAACATCTAGAGTCTAAAGTATTAAAGCATTATTACCATTACTATTATTATTAAAACCGGCCTGATCAAGTTAAATTGTTAGATTGAAGTTGCTATTTGCAAGAGCCTTAAATATTTATTCAACAATAATCCAACAACTGAAAATGAGAGTTAATCAAGCAATCAGTTTACTAATAATTGTCATCTCAATATCAGCTCAAACAAGATCTCTAATGAAAGTGTTAGCTTAATCTTCACAGTAATTATCCAAATACTATTCAATGTAAATGATAATCAAGAATACGAATATTTTATTATCAGAAATCAGATAATAAAATGAATTCCATGTTAAATTGGTTACAACACCAACTCTGGGCACAAATTGATCAGCAAAATATTGCAAAGCCAAATTAATTGCAACCAGAATCAATCTTCAATTTAGATTCAACTTAACCAGAGATAGATCCAGATCATAAACAGATTTAAATAAGCCTTGAATCTGGTTAAATTGGGTTCAAATCGCAAAACTCCTTAACAATTGATTTACACATTTTGTCAGCTAAATAGCAATTGAAGTTGGGTCAGCAATCGATTAATATTGGATTATGGATTGTTACAAAATATAGATTATCAACCATTTCAATCAACTAACGAGAGTGAAGTATTAACTGATCAATTGAATTGAACGGTTGAGACCTTGTCAGATAATTGTTACCAATAAACAGGCATTCTGTACAGTTAATGAGAAAAAGATTTGCAATATTGAATAGTATATTAATAAAGCAATATATTGAGTGTTACCATTGAAAGTAAACTTTAATCCTGATTGTGTTGATATCAAAATTAAGTTGCAAATTGATTAACGTGTACAACTCCAGTAGATCAGTTAATTGTCTCGACAACTACAATGACAGTAAACTACGCAATCTTAATCCTGTTGAAAATTGAAGAGCCATACAAAACTGAAGACAGTCTTTTATAAAATAATCAGCTAATCATGATAATCATTTCCATATAAATATAAGTGAGCAGAATGATTAAAAGGTTTCCAGTATCGAAACAGAATCCATCCAGTTTTGTTAACATCCCAAAGTAACACCAAAAGCCACATTTTAGACCTTAGTTTGTCTTTATTTACCTTCTCATTGTCGCTGTTTTATTTTGTTGAGTTTCTCGTTTCCTTGTTGCCATTATTTTTCAGCCATTTCTGTCTTCCTCTCAAAACGACAGCCAATCAAAACTCTCAACTGTGAGAGCGATTATCTGTGATTAAAGTCAACCAGTTTCATCTTGTTGGTTCATCACCATCAACCTCACCATCGCCAGTTGGTTGCCTCCATCGTTGTCCTCATATTCAATTATTTACTTGCATTTTGCTAACACCATTTCCCATAAAACTCGCATTTTCTGTCCATTATTAACTATCATTGAAACTTTGACCAAATCCAATCCTCGACCATGTCATCAATCCCATGTGCTACTTACAGTGCCTCAAAGGTTCATGAGTATGTTAGGAAAGACCAAAAAGGAGGAAAGAAACACTCCATGAAAGATATAAACAACTCTGGTTCTTGTAAGTAATCTAGCGGATGCATTTACCATTAATTGCAGATCATACCAATTGAGAAATTAGCTAAACAGTTGATTGTTTTCACGAATCCTTCACTAATTTAATTTCACTTATGTACAGAGTGATTCCATTTTCAACATTGATAAGTTTAATCATTTAAAGATACCGGTTTTGATATTGAGTTAGGGTGAAAGAAGAATCTAGTAAATATCTTTATTGCTGCCCATTGTCAGCATAGATTTAGATCGTCATTACAAGATCAGGCCTTTTATCGTCAGTTTTCACTAATAGGTAATATATATTTTTGATTACTTGAATTACTTCAGGTTTCAAAACTCAAAGACATGATCTTTGCAATGCAAGATTTGTTTAGCAAATGTAAGATTTAATTTTCAAACACTAACTGTCTATTATTTTTATAATTTTTCACAGTTACTTTATTTGCAGACACCCAGGATGAACCGCAATATCACTATAACCACAAATTAATGAACAGTATTTGGGGTTTGTACAACCAATATGCGCCTGAAGCTTTCCAAAAGAACCAAGAAGTTTATATGAGTTACTCTTCGGTCCCGGGAATGACCAGGTAATTACTAAATTACTAAAACCTTAAACTTAACTTTACCTCAAACTGAATCAACTCAATTCTAATCTCTGTGCTTCCTTTTATACAGAAATCTTCTGGTACCCGGGACATTCCACTGAGGTGATGTTTCCATTGGTAATATCCAGTTTATGGTTGATCACACTCTTCACTTTCCTTTTCGATTCAATTTCCTGGTCGATTTTTTTCAATTAGTTAGTTAAATAACGTCTATCTAAAATAGATGTAAATCATCTTTGTGATTACTTTAGCTTTAATAAAATATATCGTTTCAGAAACAAATCTTTTTTATGTTATTCTAATTCGCGTTTGAATGTTTCATTCCTAAATAAGAAGATAATTGTGATTTATAGATCTTTTCTGGTGTTCTTTTATTTCATTCTCAATAAATAATGATTAACGAAAATTATCTTGAATAGCTTCTTATCAAGTAATACTCATAAGCCTCAGCAGTTCAAGATTGCTATAATCAAATAAATTGATGATCTTAGACTGAGTTCAATTATGTGCTCAAATCTAACAATGAAATAAATAGGAGTTTCACTTTGGACAAAATTGAGTTAAAAACAATTGACAGCATTATTAATAATATTAAACAATAAATTAGGTTAAATTTTTATTCACTAGACATTCTTTTGTTAATTTAACTATATTTGGTAGACCAGTTTCTGCTATCATCAATAGCCCGTCCTCTAATGATTCTTGCAACAATTTTTCATCAAAATTATCAGGTTTCAAAGGTAATATAGTTTCCTTGTAAATATCTCTGATCTGATTCAATGTCTTTTCTGTCTGAGAAAAGATTAAGGACAATAAAGAGCACTTTAAACGAGATGACTCCGTGATTGAGGTAACATTTTCAATGAAAAGATCAGAAAGTTGGATTGTGCTTAACCAAACAGTGCACCGGGCAATTAATTGAAGAGTCAGTTTCCAAAAATTAATGAATAAAGGTGGCAAATAGATTCTTTCGGTTGACCAGCAATCATTGATTGACTCGAGTAATACGATTAATGGAGAAATAGTAAATTTCTTCTCCTCTTGGGGTTGATAAGTGTAAGGCTGTTTAAGAGCATATTCAAATCGAGAAGCAATTTCTTGAAATCTTATGCGAAAATAAACTTGTGTGTTGAATTTTAGGATTAAAAGATGCAGTTGCAAGTTTATCGGCAATTTTCCGTCCTTTTGTATTTCCACTTTAAGTGAATCTAAAAATTTAATAGTGGCAGTATAATTGGAATGAAACTGATCCGGGTTACCAGATGCAAATAAAGATGGACTCAAAAGAGTCAATGATGAAACTAGCTCATTCCAAATACGACTAATGAACCAGATAGAGCAATCATCTTCCAAATGGAAAAAAACATTAAATTGGCTTAATATAAGATTTTTGACATCCTCGAAAAATTTTTCAGTTCCTAAAGCTTCCAATCTTGATTCAGAAATTACAGAAATAAGATACGGTCGTATTCTACCAATCAACATTTTCTCGAGAACATTCAATTGTCCGTTGAGCAAAAATATTGTATAAAACCGTTGAATTTTGGATCCATCAGATCTGGAAATAATTTGGACGAATGACTTTTCCATTATACGACGTACTCGTTCAGTTAAATTCCTTGATTTCGATTCCAACTCAGCTGATGTGAATATTTTTAATGGACCAGAATTATTATACTCTAGATTTACAACTATTTCTTCCATTTGAATTGCTATTCTTTCAATTAATGTAATATCTGGTTTCAGATCAGCTGTTTCAGTGTCAGAGTTTTCAATAGCAGTACATAAACTTTCCACTTTTTGAAGATTCCTATGGACATTCAGTATCAATTCAATTTGTTTTCTTTTTTGGTGGGTAAGCTGTAATTGTTGCATCCTTCCAGAAATTTCATTAAGAGAAGCAGCGAAATCATCTTCAACCAGTTTTATATCATTTCGAATACTTTCCAAAGGCTCTATCAGGTTATTTATATTTGTATCAAGACCAACCAAATCATCCATCAAATTTATAAAATCACTGTAATCTTCATTGATAGTATCGATCAAGGCAAGTCGACATGTTCTCAGATAGCTACTGAGATCCTGTCTCAATTGTTCCAGCGAAATGTCGTTCCGGTGATTTTTAATGAAATCATCTACCGTAAAGTTATCTTGAAGGAACTCTTCACCGGTGAAGCAAAATCCCTCATTAACTTGAGGCAGAGCACTAACGTCCATGGTAAAGTTAGCATGAACTGAGAAGAAGTTGGTATTTAACACTAGATTAACAAATAAAAGAAATAATTTTTCAACTAAAAAAATCAATTACAATGTAAACAATTTCGATACATTAATTTTTTGCTAATCATATGTTTATTATTTCAGTGACGCAAACACTTTCGTGTTTTTCATTCAACTTTCAACTCCATCTAGTATTTTTTATAAGAACATTCACTCATTCATACTGCCATCTACTGTTCAATATTTATAAATGTCTGAACTGACTCGATTCAATCGAGTAAATTGTGACTTTTATAATTTATCCAACTATCAACGATCCAAGTTCAATTCATTTTTTTCAATTATCCCTTTAATTTCTTTCTGATTTTAGCAACTTTCAACCAGAATAGTCAAAATTAGCAAAACTGCTTAAATTTTCCATAGTTTTCCTTTTATTGTTTCAACTCACCAATTCGTTAATTTACGACTGTTTTTAAAATCCAAATTCACCAACGTTTGATCATAAATTCAATTACATTTACTCAAATAGGCATCGATAATACCATCGTAGTACTATTATCTTGTTATTTTATTTGTAATCTTCAGATGACTTCAGACATCAGCTGTTAATTGCAAAAACCTTTTGTCAATAGATGTGACTTGAATTTCTACGTTGTTATTTATTCTCTAAATTGTGCAAATCATCAATTGTTTTACCGTGAGTATTTTATTTTCAATTAGTCTATTGTAGATCAACTTCATGATGGCTTATGCTGAAACGTCCATGTTCCTAACTACTGTGTTGTTGTTATTGAAGACAATGATTATCATGATGAAATGACGCATTTCAAATCAATGATGGTTTCACTTTTTCAACAATCTTTTATGTTCTGTGTGTTGTGAAAGATATTTTAGCAAATAGGTTTAATTTGATTATGCTTGATGACATTGAAACACATTAATTTACAGACTTTGATAATTCACTTTGTTGAATGATACAACTTGAATCATCTCATTGTGCTATTTTAACATAATTTTAGTGTTAATAGCTTAATAAGAAATGAAAAAATATCTCATTTAAATTCATCCTCATTTAGTTGTCAGTCAACGCTGAACACATATTTACATTAGTAAACTATATTTAGAATTGATCAAAGTTAATTGTAGTTGTCATCACATGTGATAACGTAAAATTTTGAGTTGTTTCAGTTGTTACAGTTTCCCACTTTTCCCTTGATTGTATTGAAGATAGACCTAGGAGAGGTTTCTATTTGCATTTTTGACGGAAATGTGACTCTTTAATTTTTAAACTATGATTTCTAGATCTTATTCCGGTTAAATGGGTCGGACTGAAGTAGTTACAACTCTCGTTGGATTCTTTGCTGTTTATGGTTTCTTTTCCTTGATGTTTAATTCATCAACTATTCGCGAAGATGTCTTGGTGAGTTATATCTTAAGTTAAAAGCTATAATTCAAGTATTATTAAATAGAATCGACCAATAATATTATTTTTCTTTCTTTGAATATCAGAAATATCAACATGTTGATCCAAGGAAGGTCGACAAAAATGCGCAATTGATGAAAATTTTGAAAGATGCCAGTGAAACGGACGAACCAATTTATCGGCGAAGATAGCAAAGGAACTGGACTTTAATCAAATGTTTCTCTTTGCTCTGCTTTGAATCTTTGCTTGCACTGGAAACCAAGTCAAAGTCAATTCAAAGAAACTAGTAAATTAGTCAACCTCAATGAATTCATCTATTTTCGTGTCGCTATTTTAGTACTTGTTTCGCATATAAGTTGGACAGCGAGATTAATATAGCGATGTCAGCATAAAAACCATTAAAATACAAGATTTAACATTGTTCTCAGTGGAATTGATTTCGCAAACAGATGTTGGAGCAACCTTATGCTTTGGATGGCTATCAATCGATTTGACTTGATACATATTATGAGAGATTCAGAGATCACTATCATTCTCTTGTATATTTGGTTAACTCGAAGTAAACAATGTGTAAATTACCTGGTTTCAATGTTATACTAAATCGTTTCCTGACAATACTTAAACTCTTTTCTCAAATTTATAATCTTTACATTGTATGAACTCAATGAAATCATCTGATGAAATGACCGAAGAACAGAATAGTCCAAGGAACTGGAATTAAATAATAAATGCTATTTATAAAGACTCTAATAATTAATCATTCGTTTCGATAACGCCCAATGGTTTGGTATCTCCATAGTCTTAATGAAATGTCATCACGAGATAGGTACAAATCAATTAACCATTACTTATGACCAAATCGATTGGATTCGGTAATTTATGAATATTTGTATTATAATAGCTAAATGCTAGTTAAGGTCGAAAGAAATTCAGCTTAACCAATATTAACGTACTATCCATGACATTCACTATTCGTCAAGACTTTTTATGTTCATTATTGAATCAACAAATGATTGAATTAACTTGGAATGAAAAAGACTTGAAAGTTTATCGAAAGTGTTATCAAATTGATATTGATTTACAACGATTCTTACTTGAAGTAATTGGGTTTATCAGGAGAACCGAATAGAATGATAAATCTCATTCTAAATCTGTGTAGATTAAAAAGTAAATCTAAATTGTCTGATTCACCAACTAATGGTAGAAAATTTGAATTCTATTAAGTTTAAACTAATCTCAACTATAATCTATGGCCTTAAATCTGGTCGAACTGGATTCCTTCTAGGGATAAATAGCAAAAATATTGTCAACTTCAGTTGCTGTATAACTCCTATTTCAAGGTATACTTCTCCTTTACTTCCTAATTCAGTAGAGTACAGAGTGGGTAAAAAGTTTTTGGTGTATGGGAGGAGATAAAAATGCGCAACAAAAGGGCGCGCTATGAAAATCACCTAATATTATGTTCGTTGTGCAGCTAAAAGGCGTCGCCCGCACACCAGAAACTTTTTATCCACTCTGTACTTTAAACTTGGTAAATTTCCTGTTGGTGCCACCTATTGGATTATCAATTCCATAAGCATTTTTTCTTATTATTTAATTGTTTTAATCAAAAATAGCTTAAAATTTACACAAAAAGTTGAAACAGTGAGTCGACTTCACACATCAATTTGCTGAAGTATTAATCAGCCTATTCTCCTAATGACTAAATGTCTTTTTTCAATATTGCTCTTGACTTGTAAAGATGCAAAAATGGCCCATTGGACAATCAAACGATCGTTTTCCTCAAAAAATCAGTTTAAAAAGCAATTCAGAATGAATTAGATTAGTCAAAGAACGTTGATAATCAAGATAATAAGCTGCCGAATAGTGTAAGAAGCTATTCCAAGGCATTCTCATTAACTGGTAACTCTCTGTAGATTCCCGAATGTCTAATCCAATAGGTGGCGCCAACACGAAATTCTGCAAGTTATGGAGTACTTTACTATATTACTGTTTTTACTTGTATGTATCTTACATTCCAATCGTCAGTGAATGTCAAATTTAAACTAGGTTTGAAAGCCATCCTCATTTTAATCATTTGTAAATTAACCGTTAACATCATTTTTCACAATTGTTTTCTTTTGCTGTTAAGAAGAGTCTACAATAACTATGATCAGGGATGAAACCAATTTACAAAAAATAAATCTGTTATTTACTCATCCACTTTTATTCAAATCAACCTACTCCTACACTAAATTCAACAAATTTTCTAGTGATACCAACATTTTATTCAAATGTGTCAATATCAAGAATCAAGTAAATTGTAATAATTCCTGGTCCAATCGCCATGATATTATTGATTCATGTTGCAATCTCTTCTGCCTTTCTGATTCTATGGTCAACTCTATTGCTCTGATAATCAACAGTTGGAAATATACAACATTTTTATTGAATCCCATTATATTAACTTATAGTTACAATATATCTTCATCTTTATTATTACCTCAATTGTTATCATCACTATTGTTTTTATGTTTTTACAAATATTGCCAGCATTAATACAAGGATCTGTGAGAAAAACAAGTAAACAAAAATGTCCAGCCCAAAGCCATCTAAAGTTGCCTCACCTTCAACCTCTAAATTGCAATCATACTCTAGTTCACATTCGTCATCATCACCTCCACCTTCCTCTACATCTAAAGTAAAAAAAGATGATGTATCTAAAGGACTTAGATCTGTTAAATTAACGAAAGGTTCATCTGGATTAGGTTTTAATATTGTCGGTGGAGAAGATGGTGAAGGTATCTTTATTTCCTTTTTATTAGCCGGCGGTCCTGCTGATTTGTCCGGTAAATTGTTCAAAGGTGACCAAATAATCTCAGTTAATGGAATTGATCTTGGTGGTTGTTCTCATGAAGAAGCAGCGGCTATTCTCAAAGCGTCAACAGGCGAAATAACCCTTCTAGTAGAATACCATCCGGATGATTATGCCAGATTTGAAAAGAAAATGGTAGAAATGAGAGAAGGTTTGATGATGAACTCTTCTGGAAGTTTAATCACCCGATCAAAGAGAAGCCTATTTGTCCGCTCTCTATTTAACTATGACCCAACACGTGATTCTGGTTTACCGAGTCGAGGCTTAGCTTTCTCATTCGGAGATATCCTAAATGTAATCAATGCTTCAGATGATGAATGGTGGCAAGCTAAAAGGATTAATCCCGGAGGTGGACAAGAAACTAATTTTGGCATTATTCCATCAAAGGCAAGAGTAGAGAAGAAGGAAAAAGCCAGATTAAGATATGTTAAATTTTCAGACAATGGTGAATACAGTTCAAATGGCAAAAAATCTAGCTCTGGCCTATTGGTTGAAAAGAAAAGGAAAAATTTCTCATTCTCAAAAATATTAGCCTTCATTCGATCCAAGGATGGTGAAAAAGACCAAAATGACAGTAGAGAGTATTCTTTAACTAGGGATAAACACCATTTCTCATCCTCTGAATCCAACATTGGTGCTGGAACTAGTGCCGAAGCTGATAAAAGTAGAGAAGAGCCTGTGCATTCAATATTTTCTTATGAACCTGTTGTTAAAAAGAAAATTGATTATGTTAGACCGATAATCATTTTGGGTCCATTTAAAGACAAATTCTATGATGATCTAATTGCATTGCCTGAAAAATTTTGTGCCTGTGTACCTCATACAACAAGGTCGCCTCGAGATGATGAGGTTGATGGACGTGATTATTATTTTGTGTCAAGAGAAGCAATGGAAAAAGATATCGCTGCCAATCTGTTCATTGAATCCGGACAGTATAAAGATAATCTTTATGGTACTTCAGTTGCTGCTGTAAAGGCTGTTGCTGGAACTTTTAAAACTGGACGTCACTGTGTTCTTGATGTTAGTATCAGTGCTATTCAGCGTCTTCAAGATGCTGGTTTGGTACCAATTTGCATTTTAATCAAGCCTAAATCGGTCGAAAGCCTGATGGAAATAAACAAACACCTTTCTTGGGAGCAAGCTAAAGCCATGTTTGATAAGAATGTAAAAATTGAGCAAGAATTTGCCGATCATTTTACCGCAATCATAACAGGATTTACTTTGGAAGAATTTTTAACTAAAATTTTGTTGATAATTGATGAATACCGTGGACCAGAAATTTGGGTGCCATCAGAAGAAGACATTTAGGAAATTTTAATTATAATTTTCACAGTTGTGAACAATTTATCATGATAAATTAATTAATTATTAATGAGTAATCAACGAATGTTTGATCATTTAAAACACTGATAATAACCCAAGTATCCTTATTTAATTATTCTGATAGCATTATATTGATATGTTGGTTCTTTAAAACTACGGATTAGACAGACTAGCTTGAGGAGTAAACTATTCTGTTGAAATAGGAGTTATACAGCAACTGAAGTTGCAATATTTTTGCCATTTTTCACTAGAAGGAATCCAGTTCGACCAGATTTAAGGCCATAGATTATAGTTGAGATTAGTTTAAACTTTCATAGAATTCAAATTTTCCACCATTTTTGGTGAATCAGACAATTTAGATTTACTTTTTAATCTACACACATTTATCATTCTATTCGGTTCTCCTGATAAACCCAATTACTTCAAGTAAGAATCGTTGTAATGCATTATCAATTTGATAACATTCTCGATAAACTTTCAAGTCTTTTTCATTCCAAGTTAATTCAATCATTTGTTGATTCAATAATGAACATAAAAAGTCTTGACGAATAGTGAATGTCATGGATAGTACGTTAATATTGGTTAAGCTGAATTTCTTTCGACCTTAACTAGCATTTAGCTATTATAATACAAATATTCATAAATTACCGAATCCAATCGATTTGGTCATAAGTAATGGTTAATTGATTTGTACCTATCTCGTGATGACATTTCATTAAGACTATGGAGATACCAAACCATTGGGCGTTATCGAAACGAATGATTAATTATTAGAGTCTTTATAAATAGAATTTATTAGTTAATTCCAGTTCCTTGCATTGAGTTCATACAATGTAAAGATTATAAATTTGAGAAGAGAGTTTAAGTATTGTCAAGTAAACGATTTAGTATAACATTAAAACCCTGTAATTTACACATTGTTTACTTCGAGTTAACCAAATATACAAGAGAATGATAGTGATCTCTGAATCTCTCATAACATGTATTAAGTCAAATCGATTGATAGCCATCCAAATCATGAGGTTGCTCCAACATCTGTTTCAACAATTCAGTGAGGTTGACTAATTTACTAGTTTCTTTGAATTGACTTTGATTTGTTTTCCAGTGAAAGCTAAGATCAATAAGAGAAGCATTTGATCCAAGTCCAATTCCTTTGTTATCTTCGCCGGTAAATTGGTTCGTCTGTTTCACTGGCATCTTTCAAAATTTTCATCAATTGCGCATTTTTGTCGACTTTCCTTGGATCAACATGTTCATATTTCTGATATTCAAAGGAAGAAAAATATTATTATTGGTCGATTCGATTTAATGATACTTGAATCATAGCTTTTAACTTAAGATATAACTCACCAAGACATCTTCGCGAATAGATGATGAATTAAACATCAAGGAAAAGAAACCATAAACAGCAAAGAATCCAACAAGAGTTGTAATTACTTCAGTTCGATTCATTTAACCGGAATAAGATCTAGAAATCATAATTCAAAATAAGAGAATGTTAATGTTTGTTCAATTTTGAAAAAAGTTTTCAAATATAAATATGTGTTAGAGTTGACAGTTCTGATAGAAGCCATTCTATCACTGGAACCAATACTCCGAACGGAAAAGGAGGATATCGACGAAGATGTATGGAGTACCCCAACTCGAAATAATACGGATGATGCATCCTCCGATGATTTTTATAGTTCCCCTGATGATGAGTTAGATTTCAACCAGAGACAATTTTTGAAACAAATGAAAATATTTATGCGGAAAAGATAAGCAGAATGTCCAAAGAAGAATTGAAACATTTGAACCAAATCAATATTCCGTGTCGGTTTTTTTATTTCATCATAGATTCTGACATGAACATTGAATCTTGAATATTTAATTTATTTTTTCCTGGTAAATAAACCCAATCGATAACTAGAAACGAGGAAAAATATTACTTGTAAATCTGAATTTGTGTTTACCCTGACTTCTATCTGTGAATTGGAATTGACATTATTCATTAAATCCAATTGAAAAACAATACTCAAAACTAAATAGATACAGTAATCCCTCTCAAAATGCGACCCTCTCAAAGTGCGACGTTACCAGGGAAACGGTCTATTCATACAGTCGAAAAATAATTTTTATTTTAAAAATTTTTAAATTTGATTTAATTTAACTCAAAAAGATCTTCAATCAAACATTAAAGCAAACATATTTACTAAGAAATTCATGAAATTATGAAAAAACATGGGAAAAGCGAACGAAATAGCGCCTAAAAAATTTGCCTTGAAAATAGACAATAACACGAAAGAGTCGCATTTTGAGAGGGATTACTGTACTTGAATCTCTGAAAACATATTCAGCATTATCTACATCAATGTCGAACAAAGTATCATTCAGAGAATGAACCTAATGAATGTGAATTTCAAAGAATCTAGATTTGATAATTTAATATAACTAATTCTGAGAAACAACTATTCTACATGATAAATAACCGTAAGCACAAAAAGCAATCACTACTTCTATACAGCTATCACTTTAAGATTACATGAATTGACTACATCAGCTGAGTTCACCAACAATGCAAGAATGATGAGACTTGATCAATAAGCAGTTTCTTATAGAAAAGCTTCCATAATAATTGAATTTTATTTAATTTTAATTACCTACGTAATATCATAATTAATTTACGTCTTAAAAGGTTAACACTTTAAATTGGTTTGTTATGATAATTTGAGTTGAGTAAATCTTTGATCATTGGGCAAGAAAGAATGAAAATGAAGTTTAATTGCCTGATGAATAGTGCGAATGAGCTATTTCAAGAGAGAACCATTATCTCAGCTTCCATTGCTTTAACCAGTTTCTGGTTGAACCAGGGTGATGCAAATGCTCTGTTTATGTAGAAAAGGCTGAGCTTAAAGAAGTTGTTTGAAGGATCAAGATACTGGTTTACTCTAACAATTGTCTACTGCGCATCTATCTGGTTGTTAGCTTTTTCATCACCCTGTAAGCTTTATAACCAGTAATCATGTCACCATTTTTTCTTCATTATTCTTCTGATGTTGTGCAAGTGAACTTCTCTTTCTTCCCTTTAAATAATCTTTCTATATCTCTATTTCAATCTTCTTTGTTCTTTTCAAAACATTAATTGAATCTTGTCTAGAGCGTCCATAACTATTTTGTGAAATCAATTTATTATATTGTATCTCACCATTCCTAATATAATACATACACTATCAGATATGCCTAATCCTAATTCAGAAGAGGAAGATAAAAGGTAAAAGTAATGTTACCAATTCTGTTGAAAGAACGGTTAAAATTGATTTAAGAACTTGTCGTCACTGGCGCTTTAAATGGAGACGACATTGAAACCCTGATAACCCATTAAAGAATGGTTTCTTTATTACGCCATATTGATCGAAGAATAAAAATCATTAGAGAAAATGTTTATACTTTTACGACTCTCAGTCATTGAGAATGGCTTTTTTAATTGTAATTTATATTTTTTAGACTATCAAATAACCCAGTTAACTCCATGATTTAAATTAGATTTTTCTAATGAAAAATATAGCTTTCAATGTTTCTCTCAATAAAATACATTCTGAAATATACTTTCACTAAAAACTGAATACGCATTCATTTCATTTTCAATGAAATACAAATGACTTTCCTCTATATCGAGGTAATCAAGTTTTTCCACCATCCTGAAAAATGGCGTTCATACATTAACTTTCAATGTCTTCAAAGGTATGATTCAACATTTTTAACATTAATGTACCTGTTAACTAATTTCTTGATTTACATCTCTTTTCTTGTTTTACTAAAAAGAGAAATCAATGTTAAAGTTCATCACTAATTCAATAACAGCGCCATGTTTTCAGCTTATGCATTACTGAATGAAGGATAGGTCAATTAAAGGTCAACAGAATCACTTTCTGTAAACAGAATTTTCTGATAGAAATTCTGGTTACATTACAATCTGAGTCAGCTTTACTTTCTATGAACAGTGATGAAAAAAAGCTAATTGATAGATCCTATTTTAAGATCTTTTGGAATTTATTCACAACCTTTTTTTAACAAATATCAAGAAAAACTCAAAACCAAAATAAGCAAGACTTGATTTGATAGGTAAACGATTGGATTTATTTACAAGGAAAAAGAAATGAAATATTCAAGATTCAAAGTTCATTTCAGAATCTATGATGAATTTAGACAAAAATGAAATCAGAAAAAAAACCGACACGGAATATTGATTTGGCTCAAAGGTTTCAATTTTTTATTTTAATTTTGTTTTATCAATCACCAACTTAGGAAGTCAATTTCTATGTCAGAAAATTCTGATAATTTACAGAAAGATTATAATAAAAAATTATAACAATCTTCCCCAAAATAATAACTAAATTGACAACCTAATGTGATTAATGGTAATGAATGGTAGGGAAGGAGACAATTGTTGGTCTCAAAGAATAACAATTTAAGTTCAGGTCAACAGAATCATCAAAATAAACCGGAAAAAGATAATTTGTCCCAATTAATGGAAAAGTAAATTTCAAAAAAAGGTGATTATCAAACAAAAACAATCTCTTTTCGAATCCAAAGATTGAAGACAATGAAGATGAAAGTGGTGAGATGAATAGGACTCGAAGGAAAAGAGGTAGTTGATGAAGAGCATCGAAAAAGGTTTAAACGATAAAATAATTAATCTGATAAATTCTTTAACTGGCCAACCTTTGACTGATGTTCTTCTTTATACAATACAGATCACTGCTATTTACACTGCTCTCCTCCAATCACAAATTCAAAGTAAAAGTGTTACCAGAACCAATAAACGGAAAAAAAGCAGCATAAACAGCATTTGTTTTTTGTATAATTTTGCTGGTACAACAGTTTTAGATATTGTAAAACAATATCTCAAAGAGATTTGCTTAAAAATTTAAAAGATCTATCAAGTTGATCAAGATCTTTAAAAATTGTAAATACCAGCTATTAAGTTAAATACATTTGGGAAAGAGGGAAAAAGAGATTTACTTGATCGGGATCAGTTTATCACGATGTTCCATTTCTTTAAGCTTGGTTTCCAATTCTTCACACCGCTGTTCTAACAAAAGATATTCTTTCACCAATTCTGCTTTGGACATTGTACTTATCCTTTCCGCATGAATATTTTCATAAGTTTCAAAAAATTGTCTCTGGTTGAAATCTAACTCATCATCAGGGGAACTATAAAAATCATCGGAGGATGCATCATCCGTATTCTTTCGAGATGGGGTACTATCACTCATACATCTTCGTCGATATCCTCCTGTTCCGTTGGGAGTATTGGTTCCAGTAATAGAATGGATTCCATCCGAGCTGTCTTTAAAATTGTTGTTAGACAAACCTGATGTATCAACAGAGGCTGCAGCCACGGCCGCAACATTGGCTTGTAAGAATCGATCAATTTGTTCAAACTCAGGTTCTCTCACATTATGGTCATCCATAAGGAACTGTGTTGTATTGTAAGGTGCTAAAGTTTGTCCCAAAACATGCATACGAAGATTTAACCACTTAGCTTTTCTGCTTTCCAGATCATCGAGTCGACTATTTTTACCAAATGATTTACTAAATTTTCTCCCACAGGGTTTCCAACGACGTCTCCATTCACTGCGCCTGTGACGACGAGTCCTTAAATCACTTTTAACCGTTCTTTCAACAGAATTGGTAACATTACTTTTACCTTTATCTTCCTCTTCTGTATTAGGATTAGCCATACTTGATAGTGTAATGATGAATGGTGGATGATAGTAGATTTGAGGAGAAATGGTGATAGTTGATAATGTTGGTGCTACAAGTAAAATACTATGCAGTGATAATAAAGAGAAGACGTTGATAATAATAACAACAACAACAAGTAGTATGTATTATATTAGGAATGGTGAGATACAATATAATAAATTGATTTCACAAAATAGTTATGGACGCTCTAGACAAGATCCAATTAATGTTTTGAAAAGAACAAAGAAGATTGAAATAGAGATATAGAAAGATTATTTAAAGGGAAGAAAGAGAAGTTCACTTGCACAACATCAGAAGAATAATGAAGAAAAAATGGTGACATGATTACTGGTTATAAAGCTTACAGGGTGATGAAAAAGCTAACAACCAGATAGATGCGCAGTAACCAATTGTTAGAGTAAACCAGTATCTTGATCCTTCAAACAACTTCTTTAAGCTCAGCCTTTTCTACATAAACAGAGCATTTGCATCACCCTGGTTCAACCAGAAACTGGTTAATGCAATGGAAGCTGAGATAATGGTTCTCTCTTGAAATAGCTCATTCGCACTATTCATCAGGCAATTAAACTTCATTTTCATTCTTTCTTGCCCAATGATCAAAGATTTACTCAACTCAAATTATCATAACAAACCAATTTAAAGTGTTAACCTTTTAAGACGTAAATTAATTATGATATTACGTAGGTAATTAAAATTAAATAAAATTTAATTATTATGGAAGCTTTTCTATAAGAAACTGCTTATTGATCAAGTCTCATCATTCTTGCATTGTTGGTGAACTCAGCTGATGTAGTCAATTCATGTAATCTTAAAGTGATAGCTGTATAGAAGTAGTGATTGCTTTTTGTGCTTACGGTTATGTATCATGTAGAATAGTTGTTTCTCAGAATTAGTTATATTATATCAAATCTAGATTCATTTGGTTTATTCTCTGAATGATACTTTGTTCGACATTGATGTAGATAATGCTGAATGTGTTTTCAGATTCAAGTATCTATTTAGTTTTGAGTATTGTTTTTCAATAGGATTTAATGAATAATGTCAATTCCAATTCACAGATAGAAGTCAGGGTAAACACAAATTCAGATTTACAAGTAAATATTTTTCCTCGTTTCCAAGTAACACCATTGAGAATGTTCAATGCATAACAAAATCATTTTTCATTCCAACGTATTTACGTCACTCGCCTCAGTTTTGATTCACTTATGACAGAAAGAATGAATTAGGTTCAGCGAAGCTATTGTTCAAATTTGTAAATCAAATCAGGTTGACAAATAGAAACAAAGAATAAACTTGCTTACCAATTGAACTTCTTGAAAGGTCATTTTTTATTAATTACATTTTCATCAACTTCTTCTAGAAATATGCATTTTTCTTCACTTAATGCTTTACTGTCACAGTTGTTTGAACAAGTATAGATTAAAACAGTTCCGTAGTTAAGGTCTACTGAAGATTGAGATGATGGAGATGGGGGAAAATTCAATTTTGAAATTAGAGCTGGCATCAGTTGGAACTCAAATTTTCGTGAAGATCCACAATTCTCGCAGGCTTCAATCGCGTAATTCAAATTCGATCTATTTAGCAATGGTTGACCTTGCCATGAATACCTGATAACCTGTTTAGGAAAATCTCTCAGTTTTTTGTAAAATTTATACGCAATCTTATCATTACCAAAAATAGTAGAAAGCTCGGGGTTTTCATATTTTTCTCCATCTTCATTAGTTAGAGGTTCATCCTGGCAATATTTCAATTCTTTTTTGGTTAAATACAATTTAGAACTTTTCAAGTCATCTATATTTTCAACATTGATGTAATAAGGCTTGAAGTTTAAGCTATTATCAAAACTTTTGGGCAAAAATTTGCACTTCCAATTTGTGTCTTTAGAGTTTTCGAGTCGATTAATTTCACTGGAACTGAATAAGTTATTGCTATCCTCTCCGTTCTCATTATCCTCATCATCACTCCAACCACTAGTATCCCAGATTTGATGATGTTTTGAATGTGTGGTGATCTGGTTGCCTACTGATGATTGAGATTCATGCATTAATCGGGTAACAGCAAAATAATTACACTTTTCTTGAAGGCAAGCAAAAACATAAATTACTCGAAAAGCAGGGCTTTCATCAACCGAACATTGAATTTGACAAATCAAGGAACACATGCTTGAACATTTCCGACAAATTAGCTGGTCATTGATTAAATTGATCAACATTCCGTCATCAATTGATTCTGGGAAAGAAGGCTTGCCACCAATTTTGTTGGTATGCCATTCGACTTTACTTTCATCTGGAATTGGTTGATCGACAAAACCAAGCAATACTAACGCTGATGCATGAGCCATGATGTAAAAAATTAAAATAATAAAATTTAACACTAGAAAATAAACTGTTCGGTAAATTAAGTTTGAACTATAAAAAATTTTTATTGAAAATGTTTAATTCAATTGTAAACAGCATTTACAGACATGTTATTGTTAGTAACAGTTTACAGCTGAAAGCTTGACTGGAAAATATGGATTTTAGCGCCAATTACAGATTGATTAAACCTACCAAAATAAATTAATGATCAGTAATTCATACATTATAAAGCAATTTAAATAATTTCTTGCATTGAAAAAATTCCAGTTGTGATTAAAAAATGACTGCTTTCAATCTTAGATGCTTAAAGCGTCAATCATTAACCAGATCATTCCAAGCAAATCGCAAAAAAAGTAATTCTGTAACTTCGAAATCTTCCTAGTTTTTTGTATGCTATTTGTATTCTATGTCAACCATAAATGTGCTTTAATCGGTTGAAGGTTAAATTTAAAATAATTAAGTCTAACACTCTAAAAGGATACTATTAATAACAATTAAAGGATAACTTATTTGGAAATTCAATTTTTTCCTTCTTTTTCTTATTTGATTTTCCCTCTTTTATAGCATAGCTCCTCCTTTTTTATGCCTTTTTATGCCTCTATGCTAGAGCAAAAGCATTGCTTTAGCATAACAAACAAACTGTATTTTTAAACAGTGTTTTGATTATGAAGCAACTCAGATTAACCATTGAATCAAAAAATGGTTAGTCTCATTGATTATACGCCGCTTTGATCATTCTATTGTGATCATCAGTAACTATACTTCCATTGATTTGAGCCAAGTAATAGTTTAATCATGTTCAAGGGGAAAAATTGGTTCACATCTTGGACCAACAACAAGCCTAAAAACCCTCATTCAATTGATCATCTCAAGTAAGTCAATTTACAATCACTGTAAATCTTTTTACATATCTCTTGTTTATGAACATTTATCAAGGTTTTCAACCACAAAATTATTCTATTCTGAATCTTTTGTTTTGTTATTATTTTTCAGGTATCTTTACCATGTTATGGCTAAAAACCAGACTGTTTCTGAATCCAACAAAACTCTGCTGGTTGAAACTTTGAGGAGTATCTCTGAAATACTAATCTGGGGTGATCAAAATGATTCTACTGTTTTTGATTTTTTTCTGGAAAAAAACATGTTATCCTTCTTTCTTGAGATAATGGCTCAAAAATGTGGGAGTTATGTATGTGTCCAATTGTTACAAACTCTCAATATACTTTTTGAGAATATAAGAAATGAAACTTCTATATGTAAGTGATGCTTTTAATTTACCTCAAAGCTTTCTAGATTCCATCAATTAATGGTTGAATTTTTATACTCCACAGATTATCTTTTATCAAATAACCATGTAAATTCTATAATTGTCCACAAATTTGATTTTTCTGATGAAGAAGTGATGGCCTATTATATCTCGTTTTTGAAAACACTTTCACTAAAATTGAATACGCATACGATTCATTTCTTTTTTAATGAAAATACAAATGACTTTCCTCTCTATACCGAGGCAATCAAGTTTTTCCATCACCCTGAGAAAATGGTTCGCATTGCTGTTCGTACTTTAACTCTCAATGTTTTCAAAGGTATGATTTAACATTTTAATTTTATAAGCCATAAAGTGCTAACTAATTTATTTTTATTTACATTCTTCCTGTTTTTTTTGTTGCAGTAAAAGAGAAATCGATGTTAAAGTTTGTCACTGATCGGACAGCAGCACCATATTTTTCCAATTTGGTATGGTTCATCGGTAATCATGTACTAGAAATAGATGCCTGCCTTCGCAAACAGATAAAAGAGTAAGAGTTCAATCTTTTAAATATACACAAACATGTAAATACACAAACATGTGACTGCAATGCACTTGAGATTTTTTCTCCACTTTTTTGAAGATCAACAAATTTGCACAGTTCGCAATTATTATATGCTTGATTGACATGAGCAAAATCAAAACAAAAGAGAGTTAATGAATAGTAAAAATCTATCTCATAGCATTTTAGATTATAAATTTGAGTTTTTATGTCTTTATTTACCATTCTTTCATTTCAATGCCTATTATTACCATTTTACACTCATCTGCATTTTGTGATGATTTTATCATTCTAAATTTAGAAGAACTAACGAGAATTTGAAGAATTGAGTCAACTTTTTATTCATTATTTTATGAATTATCACTTGTTTGGCTTTATAACAATTTATGTAATCACAAACGATTTCTGGAAGTGATATTAGAGACCTTGATCTAAATTTCACGCCCATTTGAATTACATTCATATCACATTGTGTATTGCTTGAAACTCATTTTATTTTTTCTCTGTAGTCAACAGATGCTCATACGACTGGACGATCTTGTTGCTGAACATTTGGACCATTTACACTATCTGAATGATATTTTACTTCTTCGTATTGATGATTTGAATCAAATATTAACTGACCATCTGTTAAATCGTTTACTAATTCCTCTGTACATCTACTCTCTCATTACACCGACAATTCAGGAAGAATCATCTAGCCGCCCAAGAATATCTCAAATAGTTTCTCTCTTCCTTGTATCTCAAGTCTTCTTAATAATCTCTTACGATTCGCTAGTTCAAAAACTAGTAAATATCTTTTTAAATGGGAAAATGTCAATATTTGAAAAGCCAGAATTCTCTGCGCCTCCAGAGACACTTGAAGAGTCTCTTGTTCAAGCAATACGACTTTCTTATGATAATTCCAATAACTTACATGAATCAGATGAAACTGATAATACAGAACCCGATGCATACACAACAAAAAGGTCGGTTAATTCCGATCTTGATATGGTTGTGCGTGATTCTATCCAGAAAGATGAACAGGAAAATGAATCTACAATAAACTCAACTTCGGATTTTATCCTGAATGAAACTTCAACAACTGATGAAGAAAAAGAAACTGGATTGACCAGAAAAATATCTGATTCTAAAATTGATAGGCCTTTTTTGTTAGCTCTTCTGAATTCTTTGGACTGTAGAAATCTTTCTGATGATCATTCTGCAATTTTTTCCTTATGTTTAATCTATGCAATGGTTCACAACGCAGGTTAGTTTGAAAAATATCAATTACAAATAACATCTTATCTAATCATATCCTATTTTTCATCTTTTTCAGGTGTCGATAAGACTCAACTCTATGATTTAATAATCCCAAATCCGAAATCTTCTCAAGTATTTGATGTAGACCTAGGAAGTACTACCCTTGTTAATTCTCTTATTGATATCATTCATATTTGTTGCCAATACAGTAAGTTTTATGTAGCTAATTTATCTCATGAATTATTTCGAGGTTTATTATGCTTATAAAGGTCATGATTATTTACCTCTCTTTCTCTCTATATAGATAGTCGAATAAGATTGATTACATTGGAAATGTGCATAATTTTGCTCAAGAGACTTGTTGTTATTGAGGGTGAAAGCATTTTACCTGATCAACAATTAGCCTCAATAGAACAATCCAAAGAAGAAGCTGCCTTGGTATTAAGAAATTTTTTCAAAAGTGAAGAAGAAAACCTTTTCTTGGAAATGTTTGAAGACGAAAATCAAGAAATGTTGAAACGCCACTTGAATGTTGAATATCTCATGATGGATGCCAACCTTTTACTCCCTCCTAGTCAACTAACTCCACTTTTGATGGATGGACTTGAGCTCACCCGTAGGCTACCATGCGCCGATGTTGAAAGGACACGTTATGTATGTTTACATGATTCATTTTGATTTTCCTCCAAGAAACTAATTCATTTATTTTCTATCATAATAGGCAATAAGAGTTTTTCTTCTACTTCGTCAATTTTCTAATTTCTTAAGGAAAGTTGAAACTCCTCCAATATTTTCTACTCCTGATAATTTAGTGGTTGTTGATCAATCTCTGGATTTAAGTAAGTTGACCAAAAACAGTACATTTGAAATGATTTCCATGTTCTTTATTAATTATAATTTATTGTATTTTTTTCTAGATCATGGAGACTTAATTGCCTGTACAGTTATAACTAAAGATCAGCCAAAAGTAAGACGGTTCATGGTTATTGATTCTCATCAATTGATATTAGCTGAACCTGATGTAAAATTAATTGGCTGGGGAATCGCTAAGTCTGTTGCCTTCCTACAATATGTAGATATTAATCCTGATAAAGATGATTCACGTTCCTTATTGATCAATATACGCCAACCAAATGGACAAAATAAACGAACTGTTTTAACCGCTCAGTTCGTTTTTGATGATCATATACGCTGTATGGCTGCCAAACAGAGGCTCTCAAGAGGAAAAATGAAGGCGCAGCAACGAGCATTGATCCAGATTGCCAAATTAATTGATCTTCAGCCAATTACTGATTTATCTGTTAAAAAGAAATCATCTCTTACTCGAAAAGATTTTCCAAGAAGCCAATCTCAAAGTGAAGGTATTTCAACGAAAAAGCATTTATCCTCTGGATCTGGTCGTAATCATCGAAATTCTAGTCGTGGTGCTGCTGTCCCAGGTTTCGCTGTATCTGATAAAAGTAAGCTGGAAAATAGTAGAGTTATCGGTCCTTTTCATCATCATCATATTAAGCCACCAGTTTCCAGGCGTCGCTCAGGATCACACACGAATAGTCCACATGCTTCTTCTACAGCTGTTAATTCGGCTCAAGAAGTACACAGTAGAGAATCATCTCCAAAGCCTAATTCCAGTCTTGAATCAAGTGAAGAAATGATTCCTTTAGATGATTTAAGTTCAAAACCAGGTCGAAGGTCTTCACGATCATTGAAAGGATCAGATGATCGTGGTGGAAATGTTACATCTTTGACAAGAAATGAAATAAGTTAAATTGCTTTTCATGTAAACAAGTTGATAATCCGTCTTTTGTTTGTGAACATATTAGTTTTATATTTGTATTATCTTGTTGGTCTGTAGCGATCTCGCTTAAAAAGCCATCCAAGACATTCAGTTAGTACTTGAAATTGATTAAACAGGAGCCCTCTAAGCGGAGCTACATAAATAACGTCAATGGCCATAAAGTATCTTTCACTATGTATCAATACAGATTGAAATAATTGACAATTGATTTAGGTCGAGTAGATGTAAATTTACGGATCCATGTAAATAAAACTGATGCATGAAATCTGATTACCGTCATTGCAAAATCTTTATTAGGTTAAGCCTTGATCCAAAAATAATAATTGTTGCCTAAAAATTCAACTTTTTGAAGAAAAATCATGTAAAAAGAAAAATTCAATCATCACTCAAACAATTTTAACAAAAAATTCATGAGACGCAAAAATACTACATTTAAAAGTTAATTATTTTATTATATTAAATTTAATTATTTGTTGAATTTCATATTGTCTTGTATCATTTCATGTTTCATTTTAACCAAGGACTTTAACAATTTTTCAAAAGATAAACCTTAATTTACAATGGATATTCAATATTACTGTAAATCCATGAATTAATTCTTACCCTTTTTAGGCATAACCTTCAAACGAAATTTTGTTTCATTCAAATCATCAAAAAAACACTCAATCTAAACAAAGACACTTCACTTTTTAGCTTATCTGCATACACTTCGCGATGACTTGACTGGTGATGAGTATAAATTCAATTTTCATTTTTAAAATTTATATCCAATCATAATTTTAAGTACACTTCGAGCTTTGTCGCTTTAAGATTTCTCCTTGAACTCAGTCCTTCACTATCTTGTAATTTTACTGTTGATGAAAAAAAAGATTTTGGTTGTTCCATGAAATGCTGAATGAAATAATTAAAGGCAGAAACTGTAAAATTAAAAGTTTAAGATTTACATAAAAATGAAAATTTCAATACAATATTTTTTAGGTCGGTCTTTATCTTTAAATAACATTGAGAGAAATTTGGATCTTTTTTTTCATGATTTTTTCTTGACTTACGAAATACCTGATTTATCGTTGGATTCTGTGAAATTGTTACTGTTTTGTTCAAACTTAAGGAAGCATTTTTTTGTCATAATAAATATTAACGGTTCGGAATGATTAAGCTTGCTAATCAGCTGTAACAATGTCTTAAATAGCTGCAAAAGGTTCATAAATTAATTGATTTGATGGGAAAATCTACCAATTAAATCTTGTCGTTTAATTTGAGTAGGAAAGATAAAAACAAAGATTTTCACTTAAATATGTTGAATTGTATAAGGAACTCGGTTGATGGTTGGTAAATCTTGAACTGATCCTTTATCAAGCTCTAAAGCCATGTTTTCTAATTCCCGTACTTGAATTGCTGATCTTTCATAATTATAACGAGTAAGTATTCGATAAAAGTGGGCCGCAAAAACAACGAAAATTATTAAAACAGGAATCAATATGATTGTTGAAGCTAAAGCTGCTCTTTTACCTGGTTCACCATTTGGCTGGCCCATTTCCCAAAACTTGACCCAACAAAGGATTGCGACCTCGATTAAAAATAAAAAAAGTCCAAAAACATTTGAAAACATCCAAGCGATTTCAATAAAAGTACCCATTTTTTCATGAGGTGAATCTCTTGGATCAACTCGTCCCATTTCTGAAGTTAAACAAATAGCCTCGATTGATGGCAGAATACAAATGGATATCATTAAGGCCAACATATGGACCGATACCAAAAGAACTGTACACAAACCAAAGACAATTAATAAGTTAGCTGGAATCGGGTTTTCTGGTTCATTGGCAAACTGAACTTCCACCATAGCAACCATGGCAAATCCTGATAGTAAGGCTGATGTCTTGGCTGAAGTTTTCAACTTTGAACGTTTCAATTGTAATCTCCGCCAGACTTGGGTATCAGCTTCGTAATTTGTATTCATCTTGTTATCGTCGATCACTATACAAGGAAAGCAGAACACACAGGATTAATTAACAAATCAGATGAATTGGAAGGTTATAAAAAAGCTGGGAAAGTTGAAATGGGTAAACAAAGTAACAGAATACCTTTTCAAACTTTGAGTTACAGTGAAACGTTACAAACAGATTAACCAATAATCTTAAGTAAACTGGATTTGACCAAATAAATTTAAGATAATGATAATGATTTTACCTTTATCTTTTCAATTGGCATTACTTTGATTTCATTAGTTTATTTCACGACGGTAAACAATTTTTACTTGAGTTTCATTAAACAAACGTTATGAAAATAAAAGAATCACAGTTCCCATGTTTAACATAATGATTTTTTTGTAGCTGTTAAAAATCACAGTAGCTGAAACAAAACAATGGTGAAGACGGGAAGATGAGAGATTTGTGAGAGAGTTACGTTGAAGTGAATGAGTTTTACTCTCTAATTCCTCTTTCCCCTGTTGATTGATGATTATCCTAATTGTTTTCACTTGTATATCCATAAATTGTTATCAAATTAAGCTCCCTCATTGACTACATTACCCTTCCTCAATCATTATCATTATTTAACGCAGTCTTTTTCTCTATTTACTGATCAATCTTCAATCATCAGTTGATCTGGAAAACCCATGAACGTTACATCCAATTTGCTAGTATAGAATCTAACTAACCTCACTTTAATATTCAGTTGAAAGGCCAATTAAATGTTCTAAAACGATAGTTCTGAATAAAAAATCTTTCTTTCAAAATGAAATGCATTAAGATTGAGTAATGAAAGGTTGATTCATGTAAAAAATTAAAGAGTTGTACTTTTAAAGAGATTTTGCTAATTGAACATTGTTACGTGTTATGTGCCAATTTTATTTGATTTAAGTTAATTGATTATTATTTTAATTGACATTTTTGTGACAGAATGAAACTGTCTAATAAAAATTATAAAATATACTTACAATTTTTAGATACATTGAAACAGTAATTCAAAAAATGGATGCATTTGACGATAAATTAGAGTGAAAAGCTGAGATAAATAATTAGGATATTACATTTTAAACATAACATAAAGAATGTTTCGTCAATTTTTAGATCGTGATCTTTCAGGTCGATTACGATTATTAGCTGGAAATTCAGATGGCTTTTTCTTCTTTTTACTTGCACCACTTTGACCTTGCCTTAATCTAGCTTTATCATTTTTATTAATTTTGTCAAACGAAGTGGCGACTTCTGTGAGAAACGCAGACGGAGAGTGAGCGTCATCTTGAGATATATCGTTGACTTCATTTATTGTGTAGCTACCTCCAAAAAGCGCTTTCTCCAGAAGATCAGGCAACTTTTTCTGTTCAGCCAACATGAGAAGAAAAGTGTTTATGAACTCATCATAGTTGTGAATCCGGCGAGAATCATCGATACGATATTTCTTTCGCTTTTCTAATTCCTCCCACAAATTTTGTTCACATTCACTGATTTCGGCATTAAGAAGCTTTGACAAATCAATCAAATTTCTTGGTCCATAGGGCTTTGCGTTTGGTGTGGAAGGTTCTTTGGTTATAATCATTTTTTCAAATATTTTTCTGGTTTGAGGATCAGCCTTATTATCTCCAATCATTTTGAAATAAAATAAATTATTTGGTTTGTTTGTATCGAAATCATAGATCTCGTCTTTGTCGTTTGTGTTTTTTAAACAGTTTGAAGTTTTTTCAGATTCTACTGAAGGATCGACTGATAAACTATCTCCTGAAGGTTCACTATTTTGTAAAGGCACGTCAGAATTTAGCAATTTAGCATCAATGAGGCCTTCACAAGAAGTGTGACCATTGACCAAACCATCCGATGAAATCATTTGAGAAATGTGCAATGAATTGTATTCGATAGTCGACGGATATTTTGAATAGTTGTGATAATCAAAAGGTTCGGGCAAACGAGTCGGTCTCATTATTTTTTCTAAGGCTTCAAGAACAATATTTCTATTTGATTTTAAAATATTGAGCTTGTTAAAGTAAGTTGCTCTTTTATCGGGAACTACTGCCATTAAATTATAACGAATATCATGTTGAGGGGATTGACTATCTGAAAATCGGTTGGATTGAGTTTCCTCAGCTAACCTCTGTGTTATCACTCTTCTGAATTTCTCAGACCATTCTTCATCCTTGTCAACGGGTCCATGGTCAACTGGATATTTTTTTAATCCATCAAGTTCGTAAAGATGACCATTAATCGGCACATAGCTGACGAAATGAAATGAATCATAAGATGAACCTCTTTGAAGAGAATTATTAACTCTGGATGAATATGAAACTTTTTTTTCTGGAATAAAAGATTGCTGAATTAGTAATTGTAAATTAAATAAAAATGTTAAAGATAAATTTACCTATTCTTTCTTGATGAGAAGCATGCGAATTATGAGCTTTACACAACTCTGGTGTATTACTGATTGAGTAACCTTTATTCTCTGGACTCATATTTTTGGTATGATCTTTTAATCTGGTTAAAACCGGTCCCAAATCTATAGCTGGACAATTCAATAGCACACTAAGGATGGCATGAGTGGCACAGGAATTGGGAATGATTTGGTGGGCAAAAAACATTGAGCTGACTACATTTGCATCTTCAATAAATAATGGTTTATGAGCATTGGGATCCGATGAAGACGGATTATCTGAGACGGTGGATGATCCTGCACTTGAAGCATTGTTAGAGCTACTATGGAAGGAATGGTGGCGAGAGCGAGAACGGCGTTCTTCAATCCATTTGAATAAAAAAATGAATCCATAAACTGGTCCGTCTATTAAATTTGGTTTCTGTAGATCATAAATTTCTTCCACTTGTACATGCTTGCAGCCGAAATCCTCAATAAGCAGGGTAAACAATCCAGGATCGGATTCCAATTCGAGCCATCCATCGTTCAAATAATGAAAATCCATTACAACAAATCAACTAAACAACAATCCATGGATAAAAGACATACCAATGGAACCAATAATATTAAAAGTCATATCACATAAACAATATAGAAAATAAGATTTCACTGAGATCAAAGAATCGTTTAATTTGTTTTAGAATCCTAGATAAACGTCACTTTATGATAATTAACATCAAACATTAACTTTCAGGATTAACCATTTTAACCAAATCAGGTTATCTCAAAATACAATAACAAAACAAACATATACGTACTACACGCCATCTTTTAGTCTGACTTGCAACAACTAGAAAGCGGTTACATTAATTTTCTTGATAATCCTGTAAACTATATCATTGTTGGAATTTTGTTGATTAATCTTTGGGAAAAAACTGAAAAATTATCTGAAAAGGGGTGGAGAAGTAATTAAAGTGCATAATTCTTGCTATTATAAAAGCTCAACATTTTAAAGGAAAATCAAACACTTTCTTATTGTTGATGCAAATGATAAGAATCATTTTAATTGCGTCTTTCAAAACCGTTGGTATAACTGGAAGACTGTTGGGCTAATTAATTTATTCATTTTAAATTTAATTTAGAAGATAGATTTAGGAAAGTTTGAGATACAGCCTGTTATGCAGCTTCTTATTTACGCACATGACAACATGACAACCATATCAGGGTAGCCCTCACGTGATTTTTCAACAACAAATCAACCTGAGAGACCCAACTACAAACTGTTTAACTAATTATCACTTATTAACCTCAGTGTTTTTTCTTGATTATTTTCTTTTAGCATTTATCAAATACTAATTACTCTCCTTTCTCCATTGATACCCTTCATACTTGCAACAGCTGAATTAAGAACCAAGTCTCTTTCAAAGAAGACCAGTTTTGACCCTAAATTGTTTTATACAGTGCTATTAATTAATTTCCTATTTGACTTTATCCAATTATAATTGATATTACTTTAATCATCCTTATTCATCTACACCATCTATCCGTATTCAGCTATTTATCTAGCTTTTGGTGTCGTAGGTGTCTGTATTTTTCTGTCGTTATTATTGCTACCTCTTCCAGTTTCTCTTCATAGCTGTCTCCTTTTTTTCTCTCTTTTTTGTTGATTGTATTTGTGTCTTTGCTTTGCTTAACAGTTGTAGTGCTTAAAGAAATATTTCAGCTGAATAAGGTAAGTGATTTGATACGGATTTATAGCTGACAATTTGAACTATCCAATTACAATGTTTTTAGAATAGAATCAAACCACTATCTTAGTATTTTGTGATTATGATATAAAAGATTGTTCTCCTTTTTTATCTTTCAAACAACTCAACTTATATTTTCTCTTGTTTTCCTTTTCCATGTTTTATTTGTGCAAATAGAGTATGGGAGCATTTCTAGAAAAGCCTAAAACTGAAAAAGTAACCGAGAAAGGCTTCGGAAATGGTTTACGATATGGTGTCAGCAGCATGCAAGGATGGAGATTGGAAATGGAAGATGCTCATTGTGCGGTTGTTGGTATAAACGGCTTAACGGATTGGTCATTCTTCGCAGTTTTTGATGGACACGCTGGTCCGAGAGTCAGTGCTCATTGTGCGGCCAATCTTCTTGAATCAATAATACAATCGGATGATTTTCGGAACCATGCAGTGGACTCAGCAAGTACTTCTAATGGTAAAGTCTCAGCAGATAAAGTGAGCCAAGGAATACGTGAAGGTTTCCTGAAGTTAGATGAAAAGATGAAAAAATTACCTGAAGTTGTATCTGGGGAGGATAAAAGTGGCTCAACAGCTGTATGTGTTATTATATCACCGACACATTTTTTCTTTGCGAATTGTGGGGACTCGAGAGCAATGCTCTCAAGGGCAGGTAAAGCACATTTCTCAACCCAAGATCATAAGCCTATCAATCCTAAAGAAAAAGAAAGGATACAAAGAGCTGGTGGAAGTGTAACCATCCAAAGAATTAATGGGTCATTAGCAGTATCTCGAGCTCTAGGTGATTACGAATACAAGCAAGTTGCTGGTAGAGGTCCATGTGAACAATTGGTTTCTCCTGAACCTGAGATCACTGTTCAAGAAAGAGACCCAAAATTAGATGAATTTCTTATTCTCGCTTGTGACGGAGTTTGGGATGTTATGACTAATGACAGTTTGTGTGAATTTGTTCTCTACCAATTAACAATTCAACCTGATTTAGAATTAGTAGCATCTTCCATCATCGATACATGTTTGGCTAAGGTTTGTTTATCTTTGGTTCCTTCTCCTTTAACTTTCCTTTCAGAAACATCACCCCATCATAAAAACATGAAATTTCCATGCATCACGCCATTCTTTCATTGGTGTCTTCTTGGTAGTGTAGTTTCCTTCACTAACTTGAAAATAATTGTATTTTACGGCATTTCTTTAATGCTGGATGTTATAATCATTAATAATTGGGTTGTGGTATTGAGATAGTATTCATTTGAATCTATTCTTCATCAGATAATTTAGATAGCATATTTTTCAATCAAAATTATTTCTAACAGATGTAAGACTAACAAATTTCATCAATTGCAAAGTGAGGTCCTTTCCGTTTCAAAAAACGAATTTCATTTCGGCCATTCACGCTGTATTTTCTCTCCCGCTCTCTTACTTCATTTTCCCTCTTTGCTTACAAATCTAATGAATTAATTAACCTGTTTTTAACTCCTCCTTTTCATTTTTTTATTACAGGGAAGTAAGGACAATATGAGTGTGGTACTTGTTGTTTTTCCTGGTGCACCAGGAATTAGCGAGGAGAACCAAAAAGCTGATCAAGAATGCAACCGAGAGCTAGAAGAGCATATAAAGGGTAATTGATTTATCCATATCGATATTATATGTGCAGTTAAACAGGACTTTTTATCAAAGCGAGTGAACTGCACTTTAACTGCATCACCAATTGAATCAAACCTGCGGTCTATGTTTTTTTGCACTTGCAATTTATAACTCAGCCATTTGAAATCATGCTTTCAAAACACTTGAATCCTATAATAGAATTCTGAAGTACTATTGATTCATAAACAAAAGTTTCCATAATGAACCAAAACAAGAAAGGTGGTTTGTCAGTTAAAAGCTGTTCGCCTGTGAAGGGTTAAGATGAAAACCTTGTAATCAATCTTCGATTTTAATTTACAAATGATATGCAGATTTTTATGGTTAGCATATGTCTTATGCTTTTGCGTGTTTAATTGAATTATATTCAAGTGATCATGCAATATCTAAATGACTTTAATTATAGCATAAGTCAATAATTTTCATTTTAAACTATTACGTTATTCATGCTGTTCTTATAAATTCATTATAATATGTGACTAAACTGTTAAGTCACTATCTTTTTGTCTTGTATTTTGTTCCAATTTTCACTGATTTTTCTTTATCCTTTCAGAGTTTGCAAATTTAAAACCAGATTTACCTCTCCTTAACGTCATGGCACATTTGCATCGTGAAGAAATTCGTAATCTTCCTCCCGGTGGAGGTATAGAGGCAAAGTAAGTAACGACTGGTACAATTCATTTGCACTGATCTAGTGCATCTTAATTTTCAAAGAACAGTTAAAAACTCTTTCTCTCTTTATCTTTTCACTTCAAGGCGAACTGTAATCGAGGAAATTTGTAAAAAATTAAGACCTCCTATGGTAGAAGAGGATGAAGCTTCAGGCAACCGTGCCCCCACCCAGGGTAATTATGGTAATCTTTACGACTCAGACTGACTACCTAACAATTCCGGCCTTGACACAAATTTGGTTCATGATAAAAGTAAAATAAAGTTGATATCATCACCATCGTTAATTACCGAATAAGACTTAAAACTCGATGATCATTTTCTATGAAACAAAGAAAGAGGAAAACCTTAATGAGGATATTTATGAGAAACAATTATGGAGACCAAAAAGGATGCTAGGAAATAAGCAACAACTTATCATCTCAATCAACTTAAAAACATAAACTTCAACCTGATCACTCATTTTTCATCTACATACCATACAACATACATGCATATACATTACACCAACAAAACATAAACGTTCACTTTCACTTTCTCTTCCTATTTTTCCCTCTCAAACCTTATATCAGCAAAAGTAAGCAGTTAGTAACATCAATCCTTTAAAAAGAAAATCAGTTTTTCGAGTGTGGATTTTCAGCTCACTTCAAGATCGAGCTAAAAGAGAGACATCTTTAAGGAAACTAAATCAAAGGAGATAACTATATCTGGAAAAGAGCTACAATTACGATTTACTTATGTTACCTTCCCATATCTCCGTCAATTTTTTTCCTTATCCATTCCCTCTTTATCTCTATAACTCATTATCTCCGCTTCATCCTTTGTCCCTTAATCCTAATCCTATCTCTTTCTCTCTCTTTATAAATATATTTTTTTTATTTCCAATGTATAATGAAAATTATTGCCGAAAGCTGTCTCAAAAATTATTTGTAACAGTTTAAGACAAAACTCAAAATCAAAAAATAGTCAAAATTTAACCAAAACAGACTTTACCTGAAGATAAACCTACCGTCGCTCAAAAAACTAACTACTATCAGTTTAGCAATCAATCTAATTCTTCCTCTTTTGTCCGTTTTGTAAATTTCTTCCCATTCAATCCATCCAACTCACTTTAACTCAATGGTCCGACCATTTTAATGACAGTTTCGTATGCAAAACGCAAACTAAACTGGTCTATTTTCTGTCAACAGTTTTGTAATTACTCAGTTTGACACAGATTATCAGCAAATTCGAGTTCAATTTATTGTCTTCTTCTCAGATCTTCTTGCAAACTCAGATCCTTTCTGACAATTTGAAAATCGGACCAAAAATGCAAAGCCAACTTTGTTATGATAAAAAAGAGTTGTGTCTGTAAAAAATTGTATCTATTTTTAATTACAGTCAATCCACATTACAAAGACCCAAAATCATCATCAAAATCAAAAAGACCAAAAAATAAAATCCTTAGCTTTTGACTAATTTAACAAATCCATTGAAAAGCCGTGTCAAAATGAAACAAAACTGTTGCTTGAACGGTCATTAAAAGTTCGAGATTTGACCAGAATTGGATTATTAATTTGTTATTTGCCAATAAATTGGAAAATATACCTCTAATTATGATTTTGGGCGATCACAAAAACCCTTAGATGTACATGTTTTCAAAAACTTCAAGTGACTAAATATTAGCTCTGAAGTTTAGTCGACGGAACGGGAATAATGAAGAAGAATATGACTTCTTGAACAACTCGAAAAGGAAAAAATCGTGCATCATCCGTAAGAATAAATCAAAATTAAATGCTCTTCGACCTTGCATAACCTTTTAAATACAACTTAATGTACCGTAGTTGCGCGTATTATAGTACTGGGCTTAAAAATGCGTGGTTCTCATCTTTTAGTCCATAGATGCTCGTTCGTGGAGCCCATGGGCTAAATATTGAGAAGCTAACTTTTGCAATTTGCCCAGTTTTAAGCCCATTTCTCCACAATTGTCTACCAAAATGTAAACAATACCTTAAAAGCGAGCGTTTTGACCATTTTTACTCTTTTTTTGTGATTGTCACTTACGCATGCTTTAATTAAAAAACGCCCAGAAAAATGCCTAATTCATTTTCAAGCCCAGGGCTATAATACGCGCGACTACGGTAATATTAATTTGGTTTTGTTTTCTCTTTTTTTTATTATCCTTTTAACCTACCAATTTAGCCATTGTCAAATTAATCTAAAAGGCTGCAACCTAAATTAGAGATTTCCAGTTCTCAGTTAGACATGGAATCTACTGGTGACCTTAAATGGTGATTTTTGTGTTCTTATTCAAAATACTTTGCTTCTCAAATCATTATCGTTTAAATTAATTAACTCTACTTACATTGTGCGAGCAACATTAGACACTGACGATGAGTATTCTTGCCGTAAGAAGTAATAGAGATTAGATTAATGATGGTTTTCAACTTTTAATTAACTATTCTTTTGCTGTTTGCTAGTTTTGTTGTATTTTTTTTTTGTTCAAAGTAAACGCCAAGTCAGGTCAATTACAATTTACTGTTTAAACTAAAATTAATTAACCTGAAGAAGCAATAAAATTACATTGAAATTAGCAATATTTTTCTACTCTTTAGACTGTGAATGGCCTGAATCTTTAAAGGGGACGAAAAGATTGAAGCAAAGGTGAAATTATTGAATCGATTCATTTAAATAACTAGATTAGGTTAAAATCAAAGATGAGTTGAGTGGTAAATTCATTTTTAGGGATAATTTTATTGAAAGATATTTCTGTGAATACGAAGAGGCCTATATATTTCCATCCAGGATCATGTTTTTCATGGAATCGCTTCACTCTTGTTCGTCATCAGTGCTCTCTGGTCCGTCTCATTTTTATCTGATACATCACTAACAGCATATAAAATTGCAGCGGTAATACTTGACATCTTTAGGTTATTTTATTAATGTTACTGATCCTGAAAATTTTCTTACAGATATTTGGTTTTGTTTCATCTCTGTTACATGCTGCTCATTGCTTCTTTTCTTACTCCACTCATTCCTATGAATCAGCTTGAAGTCGTGTGAGCATTTGCGCTGGCAACTTTTAATCCATAAATGGACTTTATTTATGAATATTTCATATATTCACAAGTTCATCGAATTTTCTATTGCCTTGATAACGTTACGATGACTTTTGAAAGATTAAAATTTTGTTGTTTGCAGGCATTTCAAATGTTTGCATGAATTTGAAATTAAATTATTTTCCAGTTTGAATAACATCTCGAGTATCTCGAACACCCCAATCTGGATCCCTAGATCTTAAACTTCGATCAAAAGCAACATTACTCTCAGGACTAAGAACACCATCAACAGCAAACGGTCCATACAAAATTATTAAACCATCGTTTTTCAATAGCTCAGCTCCAGCACGAAATAGACCAATGGTACATGTATAAGGAGATATATGGATCATATTGATATTCAAAATGAAATCATAACGTTGCTGAGCTACTTGTTGTGGCCAACATTCGATAGGTTGGGTTATATCGACTAATTGCGCTGGTTTGACTCTAGTTTTGGCTTGTTCACAAGATTCGCGGTGAGCTTCAATTGACTTCAGTGAATCAGCATCATACTCAGTCGGCTGCCATGTAATATTTGGAAAGTGTTGAGCAAACCAAGTAACGTGCTGTCCAGATCCAGAAGCGACTTCCAAGGCACTCAACTGTTTGTCAGGGGAAAGAACTTTTCTTAAAATGGATAGAATAGAGTTCTTTTTACGCTCTGCTGCAGGAGCATTCAGAATTCTGACAATTACAAAAACCAGGCCAATTTTTATCGGAAAACTCAACACTAATCAACGAACAAATTCAGTTAAATATATTAGATTACCATCGTTTAATAAAAATGGCTGATGATATCAATAATATTGATTCAATATTATTATGTTGTTGTTATTATATTTATGGCTGGGATTTGCAGTTTTAATTGTAAACGATAATGATTCAATAATAATGTTTTATCATTTTGACTGGAGAAGCATCATCACAGGAAGCTGGTTGACATTCCTCACAATCATAATAATGAATGAAATCCTTTTAGATGTGTTTAATTGTAATTTACTTATTGATACAATAAACTTTTTCCATTCAATTGTATAAAAGACATTTCATTCAAGATATAAAATAAAAAATAAGACTTATTTTTTCAACTGAACATTGCCACCGAACTGCCTAAAAATAAGACTCTTGAAATGAAATCTTTTCAACTAAATATTGGTTCGACTTCTTTTGTTTCCACTGAGCTTTTAATAGTTTAAACTGGACACTTGTTTCTGGTTCCGGTTTTTGTCTTTTAGGGTAAAAGTTTTGAATTCAAGTTTCAGTTGTGAAAAGCATTTCTTTGTGAGTCTTTTGTGTTCTTCTTTGCTTCAAGTTGATTTTTTTTGCCAAGTCTTTTCATATGCACTCTTTGAAACCCATTTCTTTCACCGGAAATAATTTTTATTCTTGCCAATGGATAATTCACTGAAAAATATTGAAAAAGAGGATAACTTAGATAAAGGTGAGTCTATTTATTTAATGAATCATGATAATACAGTGATGTTATTAAAACTTTTCGATAAATTATTTAGTTACCATAAAGGTTAAGGTTGAAGATGAAGGATATCATGATATAGTAATAGATTGGTCGGATGGCAGTTCTCCATACAAAGATCAGCAAGTTATTAAACAGGTAAGCCATTTTCTCATTTTTGATTATAACTTAACTTCAGATTAAACTTGACATTGAATTTTATCTTGACAGCTTTCGACGATAATCGGAATTCCAGTCGAATTAATCTGGCTGACTGATTTAGTTTATGCGCCTAATAATTATTTTGATTTACATAATATTGAACATGAATCATTCGATCCTCAGTTTTATGAGAATGATGAGCCTGATGAGAATGCGCCTGATTTAATGCCGTGTAACTTCACCAGAGAGAACTGTTTGGGAAGGTTGAATGATGGTGATCGCTTTGTTTTGAGGTCTTATTTAAATTGGAAGCTGGATGGCTGTTTCGATCTAACCATAAAATTGTATAGCCTTGATAGTGAGTTTTACAATGAAAACAATTGTACTGAAAACTATTGTCATTATTCAAATACGAGAACTTTTATCGATAGAAGAGTATCAGTTGCTACAAACACTGAGTTACGAATGATATTACGAGCAAAGTATGCAGAATTACCTGCTATTGTAGACGTTGCTTCGTACGAGGAAAATTATTCGCAAAGAAGGAGAATCTGGAGAGAGTTGGACGCCAAGGTGTTCTTTTGGGGGCATCGGTGTATTAGCATCTCGAGATATGATTATCGACATAATTCTCCCTATTCACGGACTCGAGGTTAACTTTTATTGATATTTTATCCTCATGTGAAAATGGACGATTATTTTCGCTCCAGGAAACGAAACATGGTGCTTATCATCAATGACATGCTCGCCACAATTCCAATATCTCATTAATAAACAAGCAGATTGAAGTAATCATTGTAATCATTTTAGATTATTTAAAGTATAATATAAATTTATATCATGAAACACATCACAAAATAGCCAATTCTATGGAGTATTTGAAAATTTTCCATTCAAGTCTTCAATCACAAGACCACCAAGACTCTTGAAATGAAATCTTTTCGACTTCTTTTGTTCCTATCATGTTTGAACTATCATATGAAGGCCTGATGAACTGTTTCCTTTGCTCAATCATTGTTAAGATCAGGAATGATTTGATCAGACAGATTTATGATTTATATGTCGGTAATGAATTTTTTATGAAAATCATTATTTGAATGGAGAATGAATTGTTTCCTTTGTGAGTCAATTTGAAATTAAAAAACTAAAAAGTTCCTAAATTAGTAAGGAATGCTGGTAACTCATCAGTAAGCATCTTAAACCAATCGATTTATTTACCTCATTTGGCTAATTTTGCTTCAAAATACGTAAATGGCTAAGATTTTTACATCTATCAGTTTTGAAATATAGTAGTTTGCATTACACTCTTAATTGACTATTTATCAAACAATTAAATGTTTTAAGTTGATAATTAAATCTTTTGATCATCTGGATTGGGTGGACCTACAAGTTGCCGAATTGATTTTGGATTCACTAAAAACCTTTCATCAAATGATCCTCGCTCATTGATCATCATCACTGCAGTTGATACATATGAATGGTCCTTCATTTGTTCAGCAGAAGGTCTTGATTCGTATTTAATCAATTGACGGACAAAATCAACAGCTAGTGGATCTTGGCATGCTTGATATAGTTTCTCATGCCAGCTCAGTGAAGTATCGTTCTCGTCAAATACAATGATTACTTTATTATAATCGGGCATTTTAACCGCCCATTCAGTTGATGGTTGACCCAAAGATTTGACTACAACACATAGTTGTTCAATATCTGATTCACCTTTAAATAACGGCCATTTTTGATTCATTTCAGCAACAACACAACCAACAGACCATAAGTCAATCGACCAGTCATAATCATTTGATCCGTACAGCAACTCGGGCGGTCGATACCAACGAGTACAAACTTGATGAGACAATAAACCATTTGATTGTGGCAATACATCCGAGGATCCCAGTTTAGGGTCACATCTATTTGAAATCGTCGACTGATTCTGGTTCAATGTTTGTCCTGGTAAAAGTCTGGCTTGACCAAAATCAGCCAATTTCAGGATTCCTTGCCAATCGACGAGAAGATTACTTGGTTTTAAATCACGATGAATTATTGAATTAGAGTGACAATAAGATAGACCATCGAGAATCATATAAGTATAGATGGATCTTTGGATGTTGGTTAAATTGTATTCATAAATGAAAGTAGTCAAGTTAACTGGATATAAAGGAAATACCATATTAACAGACGAGCCTTGTACAAAAACATCCAATAATGGAGTGACCTATCGTTTGAAATTTACGGCATATGTTAGTATTGGCATCTAAAATTGTAATGTCAACTGCGATTTTTGTTATGAAACTTACATTCATATGTTTGTTTAACAATTGTAATGATTTGATTTCCCGAATAACTGAAATGGACAAAGATTTTTTCCTTATAAAGATTCTTTTGATAGCAAATAGCTTCTCATCGCGGTCCTCGGTTGACCTCAAATCAGTCCCATGGTTAGATGATCGAATTGCTTTAAGGACAATTCCATGTGCCCCAGCACTTATATTTCCAATAATTTTGTACTTGTCCATTCACAATTATCTTATCACTGAATAAAATAAATCGGGATAACGAAATGCTAGCTTGGTAGTCAATGGATACTTTGTTTTCATTTTATTTCTTGATCAGTTGAAACAAATGAACCATCTTCTTTGATAATAACCTAAATAGCTATAAACTGTTTAAATATTGGTGGCTTTTTCATTCTTGGTGAATCAAGTGTTTATTGATCTTAAGTAAGATATTAAGCTTTTTCACTAATTTTAGAATGTTTCAACTTGTGGATTACAATTTAGTTATGGTTAATGGTTTATTTATATTAAATTGGATCAGATTCGACATCTTTTTGGCCAGATATTTTCAACTTTCAAATTACTGAAAATCAATTCAAGCAACTTACAAGTTGAAATGTCGCTTCCTTCAAATCTTGAATTTGGCGCTGCGCATTAGTACAACAGTTGTACAACAACTGTGAGCAACTTTGCTTTGGTGATTTGGTAAAGCTGAAGGTAGCTTTGTTGATTTCTGTTGTTTTGTCTATCAGATTTATTTCATCGATGGATAGTTTGCTGAATTATGTATCAATGAATTAGGATTTCAATTGATTATATCCTTCCCTTCTTTTTCTATCTCTATACCTAATTTAGACCAGTTCATTCCTCCATTAAACCAACTACATTCACCAATTAAATGTGTGCCCGTAGAGGCAGAATACCTCACCATTCCCATCATCTTTATCTTCATAGACGAGATGAAACCTACTCATATATTAGTCCTTGTGTTAAATATTTCCTATTTTTCTTCAATCTCATATTTTGGGTAAGTAATAATCTAAATAAGACCAATATTAGGGCCAAAGATTTTGATTAAAATACTAGTATTTTTTTAGATTGACCCTTGTTTGCTCGTGTCTTTGTTCATTAAGCATCAATGTACATATGCGTTAACTTTTCCTGCCTTTTCCCTTCCTGTTATTTTTTATTATGTTTTGTTGAATTTCTATTAATAACCAATTTTTGTTATTTTATTCCAAATTATATTGAATTTTGTTAGCTTATTGGTGGAACCTTTATGGCCTTGGGGGCTTGGTCCTTCCTTGAAGAATACCCGGAAACTGATTTGGCAAAATTTGAAAGCGTTTTAGATATTTTCATTCATGTCTCCCTGGCTCTCGTTATTCTCGGAATGATCATATTCTGGATGAGTCTTGCTGGGTGTCTAGGGGCTTTAAGAGAAAATTTATGCTTTCTTAAATTAGTAAGTATTGCTAAAAGTAAAAGAAACACTGAATCCATCAGGTGATTGCTCTATACTAAGGGTCATTGCCTCATTCACCATATATTTTTCATTTTTGGTCTACTTTAATCTTGTATTATTTTATTGATAAGTGGTCCTGTTTTCGGATCATTTCCAATTAGAATTGTTATCAGTATTTTTTTATAAATCATATCAATCAGAACGTTATCTGACATAAACTTGTCAAATTGATTCCTTTTTTGCTAATGTTTTATTTTATTTTTCTTTTACAGTATTCATTGATGTTACTCCTTCTATTCATTGGTGAAATAGTCCTATCAACTGTTGCTTTCATCTTCCCTAACACAGTTTCCTATTTCCTGAAAGATAAACTCTCGAAAGATCCCATCATGAAATATAGAGATGATACCAACCTGCAAAACCTGATTGATGTTATGCAAATCAACTTTAAATGTTGTGGTATATCAGATCAAGGTTATAAAGATTGGAATCGCAATATATATTTCAATTGTAATGAATCTAATCCAAGTCCAGAGAGATGTGCTGTGCCTTTCAGTTGTTGCCGAAATAATAAAAACTTTGATGTAAGTGCTAATTCACAATTTACAAGTTATACTTCACCGTTGCTTTAAAAAGAGTACAACATATAAAGCATATATAAAGTATATATTACTAATACAATTTTAGTTGCATAATATTCACTTATATTAACTCTATTAATCAATTCCTTCCTATAAATCATCCTTTAGTAGTTTCATGTGCTTTCATACATTTGTATGCTTTTTTATATCAACATTAACATTGAAAACTTGTGCCAAAAACAATTAATTTTTTTCTAAACAACTATCTTTTGTTTATTTTACAGAGTGGTTTGATAAACAGTATGTGTGGTTATTCTTTCCAGAATATCTCCTCGGTGGTTCAAGTAAATAGATTTATTTATACTCGAGGTTGTATAGAAGCAGTGACGGAGCTTTTTGAAAAGAACATGAATTATGTTGCTGGAGTATGTCTTGCTTCAGCAGTTGTCCAAGTACGTATAAAATTTAAATTTTTTTATGCGAAATGAGTATAAAATTACTCAGCGTAATGATGGTCAGTGCAGTCAATGAAAGAAATAAATTCATTGTTATAATCAAAGAAAATGACTTAGCTTTATAAACACAGTCTCTATCAATTCAGCCAAGCGTTCATTAACATTGATCAAACTGAAAAAATTATAATATCCTGTTATTTTATTCTCAATTGTCAATGGGTGGTTTTCTGATTAACTGAAGGTTAGTGCGGAAGTATTCCGTCAATCTTTTTCTCTTCCATCTCATCCTTTGATTCAATGGATCTCTTTCTTTTCTCTCTGCATCTTCATTACGTTATTGCTCATTATCCGTCTTTCATCCGCTTTTGATCAGAAGTTTTTTACTTGCACGTGAACCAAAATTACTCAACATTTATTAATAATTTTTTATTTTTTTCAGCTTTTGGCAATGTTTTTAGCTAGATCTTTACAAGGACAAATCATGGCTCAACAAAGCAGATAACGAAGACTACCCTCATCAACAGTGTAAATACTTAAAGCATATTTGATAAAATGTACATGGAAGAATCTTCATTTAATGTTCGATGATTTTTGAGAAATCATGACGATTATGGTACAACTTGAACAAGTCGCACTTTCAGAATGGTGTATTGTCTCATTCTCATTCTCGAACTTCATTCCGAGAATCGTGACCTTCTCCTGCCAATTTACTCTTGCGAGAATCCTTTCCATGTAAAAGCCTGAAAGTATTTCTCGCCTTTTCATCCTATCTTCCATTATTTTCTTGCTCTTTTACCATCTTCCTGCTCCTGAAAATCTCATACTCAAATCATGTTTTAGATCGTACTTAAATCTTTTTTTCCAATTTGTTTCGCTTTTTCTACGACCAATGATCAATTCAAATTTGTATTGTATTGTAAAATGATTTTTCTAATGAAAAATTGTTTCATATCCTATAAATATATAAATACATAAATGTATCGATATAATTAATTTAGTTTCGATTGATTATTAGCTAGGTAACAATCAAATTTATTTATGTCACTCAATGGTTTGATAGATGACCATTACAGCCTTTTGTCAAGTCCATTGATTTGATTTGAAACTGATAGATCAGTGATGATTTGACTTTTAAGAGATACTTTCAGCTCTACCATTGGAGTTGAATAACTTGAGTTATCAATGACAATTTGAGATGTTGACAATGTCGGTACTGAGAACGGATTATTCGTTGATGATTCGTCCACTGAGAGCTATGAAACTACTTTGATTCACAGATGAACTGGTTGAAAGATTGGAAGAATTTGATTATAAATTTGAAACTATTTTAGAACTGGAAGTGACTTCGCTCTGCTAAGGCTTCGGACACTGGACATTCACCAAAATGCGATGATAAAGCAGCCCTTAATCATTCAATATTCATCATCTTCTAATGTAGTATGATGATCAATTTTATTGTCTATGATGATTTTAATATCAGCGCACCAAATTTACTGGAAAAGAGCAGAATGGAATTCGAAGAAATAAGACTGAACTTTTATCTTATTTCACAAGTTTCGATGCCATATCGTTGTAAAAATTGATTATTGAACATAAGATATAATCCAAGTTGATATTTAATCAGATTCGATGAAAAAGTAAATAGAAAAGTAATTAAAAATAGGTATATTAAACAATCTTAATGTTGATTTTACAAAGTGATTATGACAAGGCGAAAATTTTACATGGGCTCACTGATGTCTAATTCTTCTGATTGATGAGTTCGTTTAATGGATTCACTTTCGTTTGAATCAGACTTCAGTTTCCTTTTCAATTTGAATAATCTTTCTTCTTCATCATCAGAAAAGTCAATATGTTCTTCAGGAGGTTCATTATCATGCTTCCATGAGGCATCAGAACCCTTATTGGCCAACAAATCTTTATAAAAAACATAATTAGTTAACGGAGCTGGCCAATGAGGAATGAAATAAACTGGACTATTAACTTTGACACCTCTGTTTGCAATATCATCAATGGAGTTGAATCTAACAGCATAATATGGGTCAACAACAGGTCCAAAGGTATCAAATATCTTTCCCAAAGGCAAAGAATCACGAAGAAATAGAACTGAATCAATGTCTAATGGAGGCTTACCTTTGAAAGAAACAACAATCACCAATTTACCTGTTATACTAGAAACTCTACCAATCTGATCCAAATCTTCTAGATTAGCCTTCAAGTCTAAGGGTTCAACAGGAGGTAGCTCATCCAAATCGATTTCTCCAGCTGTTTTGATGATTTGTTGATGAGCAAATGAATCGACATCCAAATCAAAAAGTTCGTGATCATCAGTTAAGGTGGATTCAATTTGAACATTGTCTGTAGACATGCGATGTTTACTCCTGGTTGGAGATGTAGATCTTGATGAGCACGCAGACGATGAAGATGAAGACGATATATCAATTTCATCTTCGTTCATGATTAACTTTAACAATAAGCCGAACTTGAACCAAAGTTGTTAGTTTAAGGGTAATGTTGATATATTATTTACTGCAAGCATGGTAAAGAGACCATAGAAACGAGCAGTTTAAAAAAATTAGTTTGCGCATGACAAAAAATAAGCTGATTCTGAAAAAAAATCTTAATTTGGTTGTCATTTGCCTTTTCTGTTTGTTCCTCGGTTCGTTTTAAATAGTCATTGAAATGGCTCCGTATTCCAATTATCCGGTTAACAGTTAATTTTGTCTGATTTTTGAACTCATCTACTGTTTTTCAGTGATTCAGTGGTCAACTTTATCTGTGGTTCAAAATTGTTTCAATAGCTATGTTATCACTCTCATCTCAATTTCAAGATGTTACAGTTGTTTCAGATTGGCGCTTGGTTTTTATTGGTATTTTTTCTCTCTCTGACCACCTTCGGTTTCACCTTTATTCTTCTCGTCCTAAGCTCATTAATAGCTTCTATAGCAGGACTTTATTTAGCCTTGCATGTTTACATGCAAGAATGTCGCGCGAATGGTTCGGAAAATTATGCAAAGCTAAGCCAGCTAAATATATTTCCTACAAGGAAGTTCCTCAAATTATCGAGTCAAGGAAACCAGCGTTATCCTGATTATAATCCGTTAAAACCACCTTTAGTTCGATGGGACTCTCTGAGTGGTGATCCAGTGATTGATGAGCAATTAAGAGAAATTATAGAGTTACTGTTTAGAGACATAGTAGTGCCATGGTTTTCATCTATCTCTGATAGAGATGATGTTATTGATGACTTGAAAAATATTGTTTTTACTGTTGTACGAAACATAAATTCCAGGTATTACTTTGCTTTTTTATGGACATGACTGTTGAAATAATTATTAACCAATTTTCTTTCTTCCCTTAGAGTCAACCAGATTGACAAAGTCCATTATTTAACAACCCAACTAGTCGATGATTTTGCTTCACACCTTCGCCTCTATCGTTCAGCTGAACAACGACTGAGGATACAAAAACTTCAAGGTAAACGTCATTCCTAAACAACTAACTGTTCATAAGTGTACAGTTAGTTTTTTTCACCTGCTTTTACTTTTTGCATAAATCATTTTCGCAATCCAATATGTTGTAATGGACAAAAACAACTGAATCTGCATTTTGAATGTCTAAGCAACAATACTGTGATTTTTCCCGATCTCCATTGTCACATTTCTAAAAATTTTAATCTTTTTACTTTTTCTTTTTAGATGCCAATGCAAATCTTCTATCTATTTTCTTTGACCTAGAATTTCAAATGGAAAAAAATAAACTTTGTAGAGATGTTGTCAGTGAACATAATGAAACTTTCCTAAGTATGAATTGATTATTTTTAAATGCTATTATTTCAAATTTTAATATTTATTTTATTCTTTTATTTCAGACTATTTAACCAGAATCTGTGATACCATTATGTACTTGCTTCTTCCTCTAGACACTTTTGACAGTCGTTTAATTCGTTATTCTCTCCAGCATTTAATTGTACATTCAATTTTATATCCTTTCTTTGAAATGATCTCGGATCCTGATTTCATCAACCAAACTTTAGTGTCTTTATGTAAAAATAAGGCAAACCAGCCTTCCACTCCTGATAATTTTCTTACCATCATACGAAATTGTGATGATACTGATGAGTTGAATGCTGTTCTTGAGATAGTTAACAAAGAAATAGCTATTCAAAGGTCACGCGACACTGGAGGTGATGATGATTTTGAAATTAAACAACAGCTGAGCAGTTTACTTTTGGTTCAATCTGTTATAAAACAGCGCTTCAAGTGCCTTAATGAAGGAAGTTACGATGAAGTTGATACAAATGGATTAACTATGAACTTGGATCTACAGAAATTCACAGGACCTGGCTCTAAACTATTCCAAATTCCATTTGACGTTGTTCTTAAAAACAATATCGCTATTTCATATTTCATTGAATACATGGCAAGCATTGGTCAGCAAGGATATGTTTACTTCTACCTAAATGTTGAAGGTTTCAGAATTTCTGCTGAACAGCAGTTAGCTGAAGCTGCTATTACTGGACAAGCTTGTGCTGATAGCCAAAGCTTGCAGGAGGCTGCAATTAATATCTATGACACTTATTTGAATCCAGAAAGTCGAAGTAATCATAAAATCAAGATCGATGAAGACATTGCTTGTCGTATCTATCACAGAATTAAAAACGAACCTTTGTCAGAAACTTGGTTCGATGAAGCACAGGAGCAAGTTTTACAAGCTATGAAAGACAATCCAAATCTTTTTCCCAAATTTAAAGTATCGATCCACTATATAAAGCTTTTAAGTGAACTTGATTTATTAAAAGAGGCAGCTGTTAACCACAACAACAACAATAATAATCACGGCCACATTAACTCACTAAGTCATCGTCAAAATTCCGACGAGGATTCTCTTTCGATAGACTCCAGGTCCAGCATTGAAAATGATTGTGTTAGTGATTCTTACATTGACAATCCATTTTGTGCTACAACAAAGACAAATGAAGATTTTGGTCTCAAAGCTGAAATAAGTAATACGGGAATCGTTCGTGAGTTTGGTAACTCCTATGGCGTTTACTGTATTTCTGTCAGTCGTCGAGAATCTACCAATGAGGAAGAGAAATGGTGTATTCTTCGACGATATTCTGATTTCGATTCTCTTCACCAAGTCCTTTGCCAAAAGTTTGAGACCGAAATAAGAAACAAACTGTTTTTACCCGGTAAGACATTAAATTTTCATCACTCATTTCCCACTTACTATTAATGCAATTTTTATTTTATTTGCAGGAAAAAGACCATTTAACAATGTAAATGTTGAATTCTTGGAACAACGAAGAAATTTACTTAATAATTATTTGCAACAAATTATCCGACTATATGATCAGGGTAATGTTGCCGGACTCAAAGATGCTGTGAATAAATTCTTGGAGCCAGGAAACTATGATAAAGGAAAAACTAGTCAAATATTTTCCAAAGCTGTCAATAATCTAGTGGTCAATCCTTTTAAATCATCTGTAAAATCTGTCGGATCCGTAGTCAAAGTAGGCTCTGACAACATTAGAGATGGTTTCCAAAAACTTGCTCGATTAGGCTCCATCTCATCTAACAGTAGTGGAGTTTCATCTGCTAGTTCAACAAATTATAATCGCTCAAACGGTCGTCAACGACCGTCTTTAAGTCCTTCAGCTTCAGTGCAATCAAATCTTTCATATCCTGAAATAAATAGTGACAAAGTCGGAGCAGCACTCGAATCTGAGACTGAAATTGACAACATACCTTTAAGAGTCATGCTTCTATTAATGGACGAAGTTTTTGATCTGAAAAGCAAAAATCTTTGGCTTAGACGTCGTATTGTTGCTGTTATTCGTCAAATAATTAAATCAACATTTGGAGACACCATAAATCGTAAAATATTGGATTTTGTCGAAGACCTTACATCTGCCTCTGCCATCAGTGATTACCTAAAATACTCAAAAAGCTATTTTTGGCCCAACAATGGACGCCTTTTATTAACTCAGGGTGAAAGAAATCATAACACTAAAAAGAGGACAAAAGTGGCAGCCAAGTTGCTACTATTATCAACATTTTCCGATGAATTAAAGCATATCATAGGAACTGAAACTGCTAGAAAGGGTTTACTCTGCGTTTTTCAAATGTTTCAAAATGAAACTCTAAATCGTCGTTTAATGTTAGTCTTGTTTGAAGGACTATTACAGCAATTATTTCCAAATAATTTTTTCCCTCTTATCTTGTCAAAAATACATTCTACATCCCCACGAATGCAAGAATGGCTTAAAACAAACGAATCAGATATCAGCTGGCCTCCTAATTTGAATCATTTCCATGGTCGCACGGCCTCTTCATCTGCACATTCATCAAATAAATCATCGCCCCTTCATGGAAGAAGACGATAGAGCATTTATACAATCTAGTTATAAATTTAAATTATAATTTGAAAACAATTCATTCGGCTACTGCTTTTTCAAAACACAAAAAAAAGATGTGTTCAACTCTTTCATTTTTATTTTGAATAATCTCACAATTCAGTTATGTTCCTTAACGGTTACCTTCTAATTTTAATTGAAACCAAAAACATGTTGATTTTACCAAGCCTTATATTTGTTTTTTTGCAATTTTAAATTCCATACATATTTTTATTGACAACATTTCATGAATTTCCAGATGAATGTTTTTCATAATAATCTGGTAAAAGTTGAAATAATATTTGTTCAAGAATGCTGTTAACTTCAGGGCCACAATTTTTCTTTAATAATCCTGCCCTACAAATTGGACATGTTGTTACTGAAGATTCAATTGTATGGATAAAACAATCCTGTACGTACAAAAAAATTAAATGATGCATTAGTATTGTAATGATATTGAACTATTCTGATATTATCAATTCGCTAAAAAATGTTACCTTGCACATATTATGAGAACAGAAAGTTGTAACGGGTTTGAAAACAATCTCCAGGCAACAAGCACATCTAAACGATTCTTCAACTCGAGACAAGAAAACCTGATCCAAAAAAATTAATTCAATTTGAAAAGTAGAATTAAAATCAATATGAACTTACAAGGTGTTAGATGAATAATTCAAGATAAATTGAATTAACTCAAAACAATAAATATTTACCTTCTCGCCTTCAGCAGTTGATTTGATAATCTCTTTCCAAAGATGTGAATTTTGTTTATCTTGCTGAATCAAATCAACAACATTTGATGGTAATTTATAAGGAGTGACTTTTAACCGTTTGACAATCAAATCATTCTGATCAATATGATCAACTTTTCGTTTCTTTGATGATCTTTTAGGAAAAGTTTCAATGAAACCCGGAGGTTCAATCAAAGATAAACCCAGCTTACGACTCTGTCGTTTACCTTCTTTAGTCCATGGTGAGGGTGCAGTATCATCACGGCGAAGAAGAAATCTCCAGATCAACAGACCATTATCCTTCCTTTCAGGCCAATATTTAACTACTTTGTAGGTACCGTCGTATCTAACGCCAATTTTAGGAAGATAGGGTGATTTTTTGGTAGATCCTCGCGCATTTCCACTTCGTAAAACTCTCACTGGTTTACCTAATCTCCAGTTAGTCCCTGAGCTGGCTCCTTCATTTGAAAATGGTGCTGCACAATTAATAGCCAACGCTTTGTTACACCGAGTCAGTTCTTGATCCTTGATTTGAGGACCGCCAACCCTACATTTAGTTGTTGATGAATCTTTTCCTCCCGATCCAGTAAAATAGATCTCATCACCCAGATCAATATCATCATCGTAACCACAGCAAAAGACGATGGAAAAGGCTCCAACAGATTGTTTACCATGAATACCGGCAACTAAAGGAGTGTGAACTCCGGCCTCTGAGGCTTGAAAACGAAACCTCCAAATGGTTCCAACCGGTATTCCAGGTATTGGACCGAAATGATTTTTAGGAACAACTTCAGAAACCTTGGTTCGACCAACACAACTAATACCACGACCCCAATTATTTATCAACTTTTCAGGAACTGTGGATGTTAATAGTCCACCATTAACATCAATCACATTGTTAGATGACTTTGTCGATGCTTTTCGTTTCCTCTTTAATCCTTTAGCCAGTCGTGAAGCCTCTTCTTTCATCTCAATATCAATAGCATCTGTATTTTTACAGTTATGACAATACCAATCTTCATCTTCCGGCGGAAGCCTTTCAAGGGGTTGAGGTAAACAACAAAGATGAAAGATATTGTTACATTCATCACACACAATTTGCTTCTCGGGATCAGCTTTAGATCCACATTGGCAACAAGAGCATTCAACGCAAGGTGTTTCCGGATCATCTGAACACTGTGTACATTCAGCAACAGTAGGTCCTAAAATAAGATGATAAAAAAACAGAAACAGAAAACAATGAACAAAAGTTCGATCGTTATTACCCAAAGAGTACCAAAAGTATACTCTTTGATATCCCCTGATAAACCCTTTTAGTAATCATATCGATATGTTTTACTCATTCTTCACTACTCATAACAAAACTGTTTTTCTCAAGAGTTTAATTTTTCTTAAGTAAACATTTGTGAATTTTAAAAAAGCATTGAATATTCTTTTTGTCCTAGGTAAGACCTTTACAAATTCAATTTCAATTCCAATAATAATCATAAATCATTACCAAGCGGATATCGATCATTTTATGTTTTCATCTTATTGAGAGTCTACAAATTCAAGTATCAATTTCTATGTTGCTCTCTCTTCAAGTTTCACTTTTTTCAATTATTTTCAATTAATATTTTTTCAATCTTTTTTCAGAGCATTTCTTCCTCTAGTGATGGAGTCCCTGGGTGAGTTCAAATCGGAAGTAATAATTGTACCAAAAGGAGTAAAGAAACGACGAGAGGTGAATGGGAAAAAAACGTCACCAAAAGTTATTGAATGATCATTGCTCAAGTGATGAGGAGAACCAAAGAGGAAGTCTAAGGTAAAATACTCAAAGAGGATGATGGTTATATCAATAATAGCGATGGGATGAAAAACGTTTTTTGTTGAACAAAATTTTGAACATAAAAAGTGAGTTGATATAGTGCCACACGACTTTAGATGTAAAGGGTTAGAGGACCCCCACGTACAAAATGAAAGGATCAGATGTACAAAAGTAAATTCACTTTTTTGTCTGATTACATCTTTTCAATTTAATCCACTGCTTTACTATTTTATTAAACGGAAATTTTTTTACCCATTGGAATAGCTTTGTCTTGTTTGTAAAAAATTTACGATAAATTGGAGATCGAAAATATATGTGTCTCTCTTGATAATCATTGTATTAATCATCGAAATTCATCTGACTTTCAATCATCACTTTAATAAGGAGCTGGAGATCATAAAATATAATAATATTGATTGTTGATTAAATTTTCTTACTTTTTCTTTCAGATCCATTGGCAATCAGTTTGGCTTGTTTACTATTCCGTTGAACAATTGGTTGATTATCTTGAACAGCATAGAAAATTGAGTTTCCTGTTATACTGTGTTTATCTAATGTCACTTTATCACCTATGAATAATGTTCCTTGAACAATTTTGCGTTTAATATTCACACTTGTTACCAGGAAATCATACCAATAACCAATTTGTCCAGGGTTTGTTAAATTTGAATTGGCTAGAATCAAATCTCCAGGATTTAGGTCATACAAACGTATTTGTTGATAGGATTGAGGTCTGATTCCATTGATGGTCACCTTTACAGTCTCTGGCAGTGATGACTTCCAGAATTTTATTTCATACAATGTTTGATTGGAACTATTCAGTTGGTACAGGCCACAAACTTTACCTTCAAACCAAGCACCAATTTCAGGATGAAGGCAGTCAACATGATCACCAATCAAATAATAATCATCTTTATCAACTGGTGTCAAACTGCTTTCAATTGACTTGTTTGTCTTTTTTGATTCATTTATATCTTTCAAAGTGTCACACGATCTATCTTGTAGTTCATTTTTTTCATGATAATGCTCTGTTTCAACTGGTACTTCGAGCCTTTGAATGCAAAAATGGATTATTTCGTTTATCTTGATTCCATAATCGAGCAAAGAAAATTCATCTCGAAGCTTTTGAGGCAAAAAATTAAACGAAAATAAATGAATCAGTTTAGATATTGTTTGTAATTTGATTCAGCTATTTCTAATCTGCCATGACACTCAACAAAATGACTGATTATTTGGTTTTCTTCTCAGAATTACTGATTAAAATGCATTTGATTGAATTGGGTCGAATCGAAGTCTACTAGTAAATGTGAATAAGTGAAAACCAAAACCAAGAAACTCTGTGCGATGAACTTAATCATGAACAAGAAATGTATAACAACTTTTGTTAGTTCTCATGAATTTATAATTGATGAACTTAATCATGAACAAGAAATGTATAACAACTTTTGTTAGTTCTCATGAATTTATAATTGTTTAAATGATGTGTAGTTATTTCAATCCATTTCTTTTGTTAATAAATTTGAATATTAACTCATTTACATCGACTATCTGATCTCTGTCTTTGAGCTTCTCTATTTTGACCATTCGACATTCAAATTGTATTGTTTATCAATTCTGGTCATCTAAAAATTGAACATATCTCTTACCTCTTTACCATGGAAGAAAATTCTAATCCGTTGATCCGAGTTTACTTTGAATAAACTGAAACAATCACTTTTTATGGTACCGATGTTTTGATTTATAGATGAACACTGATATCTGACTGTTGAACTCTCGAGACAATTCAACGATCTCAGATTGATGTACATTTCAAGATGGTTAAGATTACTAACTGAAACAAATAATCACTTCAAGAATTTACCAGTTGAGTTCACATGAAACTTGACATAATTGCAATAGTTTGTTGTACCTTAAAGTTGAAAATTACGACGACAACCTTTTTACCTTTAACCTTAACAAAGAGAGCGTTAACTGTGCTGAAATAAAAAATGTCAATGCAACTTAACCCAACCCGAACCTCCCCAAGGTCTCATTCAAATACAAGAGTCTTCTACCTTTTTAGTCAACATTTTTTTAGCATATGGTTTTTTATTAAGGTCAAAGTATTCACAAATAAAAAGCCCGAAATAAAGATCAAAAGCTATCGACGCAAACTCACTGCTGGGACCATTCTTGTAATAATTTCAAAACTCAATAAGAGACAGCTTCAATTGTTGCTTGATTTAGTAATTTAAATTAATTGACAGAAATTATTTTCGATCAAAATTATTAGAATAATTTATTTTAATACCTGTTACATGGTAAAGTTGAACGATACTGTTGTATAATTTTATCAGACTAGAATTACATGATGTAAGGAATTGAGTAAAAATTACAGTTGGATTAAAAAAGGACAGATTCCATTTGATTGTTGGAAATAATTTAAAATACTAGGGCAATGGTGATTGATCATTGAAAATTGAATACAAATTAAGATAGCTATTATGATATCCATGTAGCGGGTACCCATTGATCTTCAATGTTAATAAGTTTAACTGTATCAAAAAGACATTTCATTATCTGTTCCTCTTCTTCGACAGTCAAAATGCGATCGAAGTATTGACTGTACAAATATTCCAATTTCATAGAGTTTAAAGCCATTTGTTTGAGATCAATTGTTTTAACAGGAAGATAGTCACTGTTGATGCATAGAGGAATGAATTTGGATGACTTTTGGAACAAAAGGTCGTAAGATGGTCGTAAAAAAACAATGTATGGCTTGATTTTTGGAGTATAAAGTAATTTAAGAGCTCGAGGGTTTGGGTTGAGAAGGCATAATTTGCCCTTTTCAATGATAGAAATGATTGATGAAAGGTGAACACCATAATAATTGTCCCTGAATTTCCCATATTCAGGAAAGCGAGAGCTTTTGACTTCATTGAGAAACCATTGAACAGAAACAAAATGATAATCAAAACCATCACGTTCCCAATCATATGGTTGTCGTGTAGTGTGTGCCACAGGTCGACTAAAAAGTCTTGAATCATGTTCGATTAAATTGTCGATTAGGCGATTAGTATCAAGTGGGTATGGTGCAATAAGAATTAGAGGTCGATAAGTAGAATTGGTTGAAGATTTCAGAATATCGACTTCGAGATAGGTAACAATATCTTCTCTCACAAATTCATCTGCGTCTTTAACTCTGTACATTATCTTTTTAACTTTACGATACTTGTTTAGGCTTCTTTTAATTTTATATCTGACAGGATGATTATTTTTCAAATGCTTCAATCGGTTGTATTCTCGTAAATCACGGATATCTCTTGAAGCAACCATTCTTTTCTCTTGTAATGATTTGGAAGGAATAAGTCCAGCTTGTATCACTGTATAATAGAATGGGTCAAGGTGTTCGTCGTTTATTGAAGCTTCACGTCGAGCTTGCCACCAATCTTCTTCATCCATATTTACTACATGAAGAATATCGCCTTTCTTGAAAGCCAAACCAGCTTCTGGGCAAGGGTGACTAGGATCCTGTGATGGGTAATAATCAAACAATGCTTTCAATCTAACATTCAGTTCTCCTCTGGAGTGACTAGAGGAACCATAATAACCAGGAAGGAGTTTGAATGAGATAACACTGTTTCTACATTCATGTTCCAACATGGAAAGAATCTCCATGAAAGAGCGACCCTTAAGACTGTAGCCATTGACTTCATGAATACTATCACCGACATTGATCAGACCACTGCGGTGAGCAGCACCTCCGTGGATAACTCGAGAAATCACGATGTTGCCAGTTTGGTCCTCAAATTTAATTGTTGCACCTAATTTAAATATAAATATTAGTATAAGGAAATAATCTTAAGTATATTACAAAGGGTAGCTTACCTAATGGCTCCTGGTTTTTGATAACCTGGACAATTTTAACAGAAGCCAATTCATCATCAATCGAAGAAAAATCCATCGAAGAATTTTCATAATCTTCAGGAAGACAAGGTTCATATTGTTTATTAGCAACAATATCATGAATCCAGAGGAGGGCTTGAAAATGATCACTGTTAAGAATTGAACACAATCTTTGGGCTTCATCAATCCATTCTTTGGACAATGCATCTCTCACATCAATAGCTAAATTGAAGCTCTTGTCGAATATTGGTTTAGGTTTTCGTACTGAAGAATTACAATCGAAAAAAATCGAGCAAATAGAAAAAATAGATTTAATCTTTTGACTTGTCAAAAAATTGACCATATCCTCAATTTTATCATTATCACAGCTTAACTCCGAACTTGGCTTATTCGGAAGAAGACTCCTTAGATTTTGTAGTATTAACTCATAACCTGTAAATGACACAAGATAAGCAGATAAATTATACAATTTCTTGATCTTCAATAAACTAAAAGACAAAATAATGATAAAATAATAGATAATTACCTTCACTATTTGGATCAACCATTATGGGAAAAGATTATGTCAATATCTCCAAAGCAATGCATTATTCCAGAAGCAGTGAAAAAGGTCCTGATAAATCCATAGAAATCATATTTAATTCTGTACATTGATCCGTCATAATGACAATTATGAAGTAATTGATTTAACACATAAAATGTTCATGATGAAATTTGATAAAGACAATTGAGATCGAGCAAAAGAACCGGTAGTAAATAATTAATATCGAGTAAAAATCTACATTGTAGACTCTTCAGACCCATTTAAACATAGACAACGCAAGCGTCGAAGCCAGACAGGACTTACCCCTCATTACAGGAAATTTTCCCCTTAATTGATTTAACACATAAAATGTTCATGATGAAATTTGATAAAGACAATTGAGATCGAGCAAAAGAACCGGTAGTAAATAAACAATGTATATCACTCAGATACACTCTTGTAGTTTGCGCCTCAGCAAACACCAATTCCCCCTTATATTTTCAAATAAAAACACCCTCCGGTAGCTACACAAAGCTCGATAAGCTTAGCATTCAGTAATGCAAAAAGATGTTAAGAACAGATTTAAAGAAAAATAATCCTGGCTTTTATACTAGATATCCAAGTTTAAAATCCTCTCAGTCTTTCCAATGACCAGTCTGGGTCTGAAAAACATTTTGGTGTTCACCAAATACTGTTAATTAATAAAGAATTACATGATTCTGTTCATAAAAACTTGTCATTAAATCCTTCATTCAAATGAATTGAAATATCCTTTTCATCTGATTGTTTAGATCAAGAAATAGAGCTGGAAGTACAAACAACACGATACGGCGGTTCATCATTCTATTCATTCGATTGAAGTGTCTTTAGAAAAATTTTATGAGGTCATTCTCTTTTAGGAGCACATGGAACAAGGTCTAGTAGATCTTATCTCTTAGCATTGAGCTTAAAAATAGATGTAGGTTAAAAAGATTCAGAGCATAACATAAAGGTTCGAGTTTGATTATCAAGACATTGCAAAAAAATAAACACGAAAAACATTTGCATCGCTTTTCATTAGTTTCAAATATGAATAGACCAATAGCGGATAGTATTTTAATTTTGTTTAGTTTGTTTGTTAATGAGGTAAATATTAATTAATAAATGTCTTGATAGTTTACCTAAAACCAAAGTAAAAAAACCAGTAAATTCAAAGCCCATTAAACCTCGACTCAAGACGAACAGAGTAAAGTCATGAGAAAAGAAGACTCCAGCAAGCCAGAAAGTCCAGTGACTGTAAAAATAGCCATTGTAGTCGAAACTGGGCCAAACCTATCAGTAAAACAATTTCATTTAGTGAATAATTTTACTAAAAAGTTACATTTGTTGCTAAAAAGACACATTTGTAGCATTTATGCACAAATTGACACAAATTGAAACAAGTACTGCAAAACGACTGGATAAAAACGGGTAAAAAAGAATTTCTTTCAAAGTTTGACTTTTTATGTTTGTAAGGACATAAAAACTGAGCCTTGTCGTGCAATTTAAAGCTTTCTCAGATCAATAGTTTTCGAGAAAATCACGTTCAAAGTTGAAACTTCGATCGCTTTTTGTACCCTTACAGAAGCAGATTTTTTCGTGAAACTCATTTTGCTAATGTTAAACTTGATGATCAACTAGAAAATGAACTTATTTTGAGAAACAGAATTTTCCGTTTCTGCACAACTTCGATTTTTCGATTTCCATTTAAACTGACCTTTTTCGATGACGGATATAGTTAGAGAGCTGAAACTTCTAAACTGTCCATATAAATTGATGGATCATATCATGGATTGAATAGTTTTTCCAATTAATCCACAGTTCTCCTAATTTTGGCCATTGGCCTTAAAACTTTGTACCTAAATATTTCGAGACTGATAGCCCCTACAATGATCATTCTTCGATTCAACATTAGATTTTATTATGTGCTATAATATAATATGAAATAACACATCCATTAATGAATAACCTTCTAATAAACTTGATTCGCGTTTGAGTACCCAAATAACTTTATCAACCAAATCTAAAATCTGGTAACATAACAATGAAATGCTATAACTCTTTTTGTAGAATCTCAAATAATTTGATATTCCATTATATTTTAGACTACAATAAAATCTCATGTTTTTTCAAAGAATGATGTTTGTAAGTGATGCCATTCTCGAAATATTTAAACTTAAAGTTGCAAGGCTAATGGCCGAAAATAAGGCGAACTATCGATAAATTGGTCAAACTATTCAATCCATGATATGTAACATCAATTTTTATGGACGAATAATAAGTTTCATCTCGCTAACTTCATCGGTCACTGAAAAAGGTCAGTTTGAATAGAAATCGAAAAATCGAAGTTGTACAGAAATGACAAGTTTTATTCCTCAAAATAAAGGCATTTTATGGTTGGTAATTAGAATCAACATCAGCAAAATGAATTTCACGTAAAAATCTGCTTCCATAATGGTACAAAAGCCGATCAAAGTTTAAACTTTGAACACGATTTACTCGAGTGCTATCGACCAGAGAAACTTCTAAACCACGCAAATGGACTCTGTTTTCATTTCCCTACAAACTAGCAAAGTCTAAATTTGAATACAAATTGATTTTCGCCCGTTTTTGCCCATTTGTCTTCCAGCATTTGTCTCAATTTGCTCAGTTTGTGCATAAATGCAACAATTGTGTCTTTTTAGCAACAAATGTAACTTATTAGTGAAATTGTTGACCAAATTAAATTGGATTCCTTGTTTTATGGATAGTTTTGGACGATTTCCGACTACCATAACATTTAACTCGTCCAAAACTATCCGTTACATATCATGGATTGAATAGTTTTTCCAATTTATTTATAGTTCGCCTCATTTTTGGCCATTAGATTTATAACTAATATAACTCTTGTTTTTGACAGCATTTTTGTATTAAAAGCACTCTTTTCAACTTTTAGGACTTCAAGATGCATCTGGTTTTAAACAGATCGCTTTGGCATAACTTGAGTCGATGATGAGCTGATTTTCATCGACCAAACTATTTGTTAATTAAAGAAGTCAAATGATCAATTTATGAGCGAATGACGTGAAACATGATTTGATTGGAAATAATGCAATGAAAATAATGGAAATTATGAACAATCAATAACTAATTTAGAATGTCCAACAAAATGTTTCGAAACATTCTTTCAGTTAATCAATCAAAAAATGAACAATAGAACCGAAAGTTACATAGTAACAATGAAATCAGAAGTTGAGCAGAAAATAATTAATATTCATTAAATGTTGGAAAATTGTGAATGAAACCAGACTGATCAAGTTCTCAATATTTCCATGTAAAATGAATCTTTTAACCAAATGCAAAGAGTTGTTAACAATTTATACTTTGGTTCAAATTATTTGTTCAATTGGATGTTTCATGCAGATAGAATACGTTTTTACACGCTATTTTGCTCGTGAAATTACAATAGTTACAACCGTTGAGATTCCAGATGAAACCATATTACCAGATTTTGTCATTCGAGTTGAAGTTTTGCGTTTCATCAACTATACTCTGTTTTTCAAGCGATTTCCTCATGTTGGAACATTGGCATCTTTCAAATACAACAATATTCATGAGCTGAAAACGTCGCTGAAAAACTTGACTTTAACAAAGAGAATAAGCCAGTTGATTGAAAAGGAGTTGACCATCAAAGAGATGACCAGTTTACTTTATAAACCCAAAGACTTCATTAAAACCATTTACGTGCGATCAATAGAGACCATGAAGGCCGGATCATTCAATTCCGATTACGTAGATCGATGTCAATTCAAACAGTATTACCAATCTTCATTTTTTTACATTGTGATTGCTTGTTCCACTGAAGGTCCAATCATTGGAAGTTTCATTCTTAAAGATTTAAACCCTGGAATTGCAGACTTTTTTGCAGTGGTATTGACTCAAGCCATTGCGTTTACACAGGAAGGAATACAAATCGCTTTCATCGAATCAAACTCTCCACCAAATAGTCAAAAGATCCAATGGACAAGGTTACCATTACACGATGGAAATGCCGTTTATACAACTTCATTTAAACTCATTACCCTTTCATTTTTACCGGCACCATACTCGAGCTGTGTAAACTACAGCGATGAAGGATACGACAATCGATTTGAAAAGTTAGACGAATGCCTGAACAAACTGTCTCAAAAATGGTTCAATAGACCGTTTCACCAGTCCTTACATCGAGCTGATATTGATGAACCTTTTGTTGGCTTTGATCAAGACCTTAAGTTTGAAAATGAAACGTTTGCTAAGCTGAGTAATGACATACTGACAAAATGTGAGGCGGCAACTATGGGATTGGATTGTTATGAAAGACACTACAATGTCAAGGAACCAGATGCAGTGAGAAGTTTGTTTCCTTTAACAGCAATCATTTTAGGAATCAGCAATCAACCTTATATTGAAATGGTTGCTAAACCAAAATTAAATGTTCTTGACTGCATTGTCTCAGTTGGGAGTATTTTTGGGTTTTGGTTTGGATTTGCTTTGAATGTCCATGTACCTTGGATAACATGTTTAATCAAGTCTAAATTGATGCCTATTCGGAATAAAAAATTGACCAAAATAAATAAATATCCACCTAGAGATGGACCGATACATAAAATTAAACTAGCACAACTGAATGTGGAACTAAACAATAACTACTTTACACTTCGACCCAGAGAATCGAACAGGTTGACGATCAAAAATAGCAAAAGATTCACAATTAATTGATCTTTAATGTTGCCCAAAAGTTCAAACCGATTGGCGAAAAGTCACTTAACAAGTTTTGTACAATTCCACATCTCTATTCCTCCAAAACTAAATTGTGACCTTAATTTTAATTCTAAAGGGTACATTTTGTGGCCATCTAAGGGTCCAATAGCATTGACTTGAGCAATTCATGACTCTCTCAACAAGTGAAATTTTTTGATCTGTAAGATGAATTGACCCAATATCATGATCCAAAATTGAAAAAACACCTCAGATCTCCATGAAAGAGCGACCCTTAAGACTGTGGTCATTAACTTAATGAATACTATCACCGACATTGACCAGACCACTGCGGTGAGATGCACCTTCTTAAATAACTCGAGGAATCATGGTGTTGCCAGTTTGGTCGTCGAATTTAATTTGAATTTTAATATTTGATTTAAATATAAATATTACAATTGTTAGTACCAAGAAATTAGATAGTCTTGAATAAATTAAACAAAGAGTATTTTTATTATAATATCATTTATCATTTATTATTATAATACAGCTATTAATACAATATTTTAGCAAAAATATCAAAATTAATAGCGGATAGTATTTTAATTTTAATTTTGTTTGCATTATACAATATAAAAATAATATTTAGTCAATTTAATCTGTAGACCTTAATTTTTTTAGAGTGATAACAAAATTTATGGATAGACAGTAAATCCAATATCAATGAAATTGATCATTATATTTTCATCATTATCACACAAATAAATTGGGTAAAACTCATTTTTTTACTCCAATACATTTATGCATTTTTAGATTATTTTAATATAACGCTCTTGTTTTTGTCAGCATTTTGTATTGAAACACTCGTCTTCTCATTTAGTACTTCAAGATGTCTCTGGTTCAATGAATTCCCATAAATGGATAGATCCTTCAGCTGATGTTAAAATCTCATTTTTTGATGGATGACAACTTAATGAATGGACAACTCTATGATTCGCATGATACACTCTTTGAATGACTTTTTTCTACAAAAAAAAATAAAATTTAAGTTATTAGTAAATACTTCAAAGGTTAAGAAACGAAAAACTTTAGCATTCGATATAACATTGAAACTTACCTGAATGAGATCCCAGCAAACCAGATTAGCATCTTCAGAGCCAGAAACTACTATTGAATCATTATTGATTAAACCACTTTCTAGACGATATTTATTATTCACATGACCACGATACCTATTAAGATAATTGAAATGACCGATTATTGAAAAGCTTGTTAAAAAATGTTTTTAAATAAATTCATTTAAAAAAATAAAATATATATTTGATCACATTAACAGGGAATGATATTAAAATTTGAATACAACAAAAAAATAGATAAGCTATAAAATTCAATTGGGATCAATATCCATGATATCATCAAAATTGTTAGGAGCTGCTCTTGAATAAGCTTGACGATTTTGGAGTTGATCAAATTCATCTAAAAGTTCATCATTATCAAAAGAGCTTCCATCGACATTATTTTCTGAATTTAATCTGAAGGCATTCAAGATTCTTTCCTGGGCAATGTTTTCTCTTGCCAACCAAGCAAAATTTTCGATGTTTTGGACATCAGTTACAACACAGGCAGCACAACCAGTCCTACGTTTGATCAATTTAGTACCAAGAAGCCACCTTTTAGCTTTATCACACCATAGTTCAACAGTTCTAAGGCCACCAACTCCATTCCAACCTCCAATGACTAAAATTTTATCCTCAAGTACAACAGCTGCCGCTGAACATTTCTTTTCCAGCATTTCATTCTCCATCTTGTCCCATTTATTTTGGTACGGATCATATTTTTCACAGCTTGATAATAAACCATTTGATGTGAGTCCACCAATGACATGCAACTTTCCATTGAAGGCCACTACAGCCGGACTACTTCGGGGTTTTGACATGCTGCTAATTGGCATCCATTGATTAGAGATGGGATCATAAACTTCACCGGTATTCAAGTAGTTTGAATCGCGAAAACCACCGACCACATATATTTTACCATTAAGGACAGCGGCACCGGCACCACTGCGTCTCTCATTCATTGGTGAACAACTGGTCCATTGGTTTTGCTCAATATCATATCGTTCAACTGAATCAGTCCGACGAGCTCCATTATAACCTCCAATGGCATAAATGTGATTGTCAATTATTGCACTTGTATGAAAAGCTCGTTTCTCTTTCATTGGCGCTATCTCGGACCATGTCCAAGTTGTCAGGTCTAACTTGCGACATGAATTGAATACATTGAAAGGACCGTGATGACCACCAATAATAAATAAGTATTTACCAACGACACAGATTTGATGGTGATCCCGAGGACCAGAAGGGTCTTCTAAGTTGACTTGTCTCCAACGTTCTGCTCGATGATCATAGGCTTCAACAATGGGTTCAGGCGAGACAAATTCAACATCAAGAGATCGACCTCCAAAAACAAATATAATATCTTTTGGGTATCGAGGAGCCAGTTGGTGTTTGACGGTGTCATTTAAATAAATCACACTTGTAGGTTTATCACATGATTCTAGCATTTTACGTGTTTCTAACACTTCTTGGATAATTGATTGAATCCGGTTATTATTTATAACATAAGGATGGTTGAGAACATGATAAACAAGAGCATTGTCATCGATTAATCCAAAACGAATCAAACAAGCCAGTTGTTCAAAATGGTCAACTCTTAGGGGTGCATCATGATCAATCCATTTGATTAAACTATGCCAGACACTTAATTCATCCGACACGTAGAGAAAATGCGTTTTGAAGATTTCAATTAAAGATGTTAATGTTGTTAGATTAAGAAATTCGTCCGATTGTTGATAGATGGTTTCAAAATTTCCCAGGATATAATTTCGGGCCAGTCTCTCGAGTTCAAAACAGTTATAGAAGCTTGCAAATAAATGAATACCAATGCAATTGTCGGGATTGAGGCGAGTTTCGAGAAATCTGGTGCTCTCTTTGATCAATCCATAAATATTGTACTTATCAGCAGCGATAATTAGGTCTTGAATAAAATCTACGTCCAAGTCAACACGTCCTGTGTAAGCATATTGTAAAATGGTGGACAGAGTTTCTCTTTCGTTGATGTCTAATTGAATATAATCCACTGATCGGTCGATTCCAAATTCATCGGTGATTGTTGTCTTGATTTGATTCCGTGAATATTGAAACACCTTTTGAAAATAAGGGCTTATACACATCAATATAATACGATGAGCGCCATAATTTAAATCTGGACTCTGTCCTGAGACGATTAAATCTGGAGGTACATTGATTAGCTTTCTATCTCTCAGAATTGGAGGCTGGGGCATAGTTCATCACTCCATTTCATAGGATGAATTAATTTAATATATTACTGATTATAAAGGAGAGACTAATAAAAATATGATTTGTAAAAGTTCAACTTTCATTTACATTGTTGTCAGGTTGAATCAGAAACATTAAATAAACATAAACAACAATCCCCCTTAGTAAAAGTACAACAATTAAAATGTAAACAATCTCAATAATCACTTCCCCTTACAGTCATCTGTCAACAATCAACAATTGAATAATGTATCTTACTTCAAATTGATCAATCCTAGAAAAAATGCTCATAATTGAATTTTACTTACTCAGATAATATTTCTCCTGTTTCTTTCTCCAAGAGCTTGATCACTCCATTTCCGCAAGATATCAATAAACATTGACCGTCTTTAGTTAAGCTTACATAGTTAACTGGACCTGCAATACAAATGAGATTTAGACATTAGAAACGCAATTATTTTGATACAACTACTGGGCTAAATAATTGAATGACTCTACAGTTTAACGAATATTTTGTCAATTATTTCGATTAAGTTACAGTAGCATGATGAAAGATTGAAATACAGGGATTATTTACTATCAAATAAATAAAATACATCATTAACTTTTGTTAATTTCAGCAAATTGACTGATTCTGATAGTCTAACATATTTGACAGATGGCACCACATATTTGAAATGTTGTGACTATTACAGCTGATCTTTTCCACTTTTTTGCAATTGAAATTCAACTGCAATTCTGATTCATTTTATGTCAATCTAGTGCTTTTCGGATTAAGTTCTGAATTAATTTATAAGGATGGGTAAACACGAACCTATGACCCCGAAGGCCATTGGTAAAAGGATAAAAGCCAAAGGCCTACAAAAATTGAAGTTTTACTGTCAAATGTGTCAAAAACAATGTCGAGATGATAATGGTTTCAAATGTCATGTTGGAAGTGAAGCTCATCAGAGACAGCTTCTTCTGTTTGCTGAGAACCCCAATAAAATTCTTGACCAGTATTCTTCGGAATTTCTTCATGACTTTTTACAGCTTTTAAAAACTAGATTTGGTACCAGAAGAGTGGCTGCTAATATGGTTTACCAAGAATACATCAAGGATCGACACCATCAGCATATGAACTCTACAAGATGGTTTTCTTTGACTGGATTATGTAAATATCTTGGCCAGAAAAAGATATGTGAAGTTGATGAAACTGAAAAAGGTTTATTTATCACCTATATTGACAAGGAGGATATTGCTTCTAGAGAACAAGCGGCAAAAAAGGCTAAGCTGGAGAAAGATTCTGAGGATAAGATGCGAAAAATAATCCAACTACAAATCGAAAAGGCTAAAGCGGCTGAAAAACCAAAAGAGGAAGTTGCAAACCCAGTTGAGTACAAACCAAGTGAAACAACAGTGAAGTTTTCTTTTAAAGCGACAAAACCTACACTCAAACGACTTAAATAATCTTTCATTAAAGATTCAACAACTAAAAAGTATCATTTTCGGAATTTTGTTTCCTTTCTGACTTCTTGCGCTCTGAAGTTTGAAGTCTTTTCAATATTAATTGACTAACTTGTGAATATACTAAAAATAAAGCTGACCATTTATCTAAAATTGGAAAATATGCTTATTGAATTTAGATAACTTATAACTTGCTAAGTAAAATTGCACTTTTTGTGAAGCCCACAGAAAAGAGGAATTGCTAGAGACAGTGTCACGAGAAGAAAACTTTATTACTTCACGATAGATACTGATAATAATCATAATGAATACTTTACTTGACTGATCGTCGACGTTAAGTTGGCCTTTTCTCAAGTCATAACGTCTCACTTTTCCGTCCAATGATCCGGTAATAATTTCATAATTAGAAACAGCAATTGATGTTATACTGTCTTTGGCTTCATTGAATATTTGGATTGGATCTCTGCTTTTACTTTTGCAGTCCCAGGTTTTGACAGTACAGTCAACCGAACCAGATAATATCACAGTTGATTCTTCATTGAATTGAACACAGTTAATGAAAGCATGATGAGCACGATATCTTTTAACAACTTGTCCAGTCGAAACATCCCAGAGAAATATGCATTTATCCATCCCTCCAGAGGCAATATGAGAGCTATCACAAGATCCTCTAGCATCCATAACCTCATAGCCATGGCCTGAATAAGTTTTTAATAAAAGCGATTTTCTAGGATTCCATAATTTGATAGATTTATCACTTCCACATGTTATACAATAATCACCGTCAACTGTTCAAAAGAGAAACTGTTATCAAAAACGTAAATCATGAATTGAATCGATAAACATACCATTAAACCTGACAGCTCTGATAGCACCTTGCGAACAGGAAATACTTTTGATCAGTGTTGCGTTAAAAGTCATTTTAATCCTTGAACTCTCAAATATTTATTCAGTCGAGTATATTATTGTTTTGAAATATCTTGAGAGATTTTTGTATCGTTTACCGCCATCTATCATAATTTTTTTGAAAAAATTATTTCTCCATTTAAATGTCCCTCGTTATTCAATAAATGGCTAGCCGGTTGAAGAAAGCTTGCATTTCTTCCCACTTACCATAGTAACCTTATTTCAGGTGATTCAGTTTTATGTCATCTTACAATTCAATCAAGAATCATCATGATTAATCGCTTTCTTACATCATCTTATTAAGTTTAATTTACTGATTAAGATTACAAGTACTTCAAAATGGAGCCATTATCTCTTTGATGAATCTGCACTGTCTTCACAATGTTCAAGAAGTTGAAAGATGAACTTCAACAGAAGCAAGAGCAAATTCTTGCTTCCAATCTTTTTGAAACTGGTGCCGGACTTATTGACAATCTGGTAAATAATTAAAGTCTATTTATTTACTTTGTTAGATATCAACGTATACTTGTGTCCACTTTTGTTTTTCCAGATAGACCAGAGTTTGTTTCTCCTTTGAATCATTATTCAGATTGTATTCAATTTGGTTACTACACGTCATTAGCATAATTGACCGTGTTATTAGATTTATTATCTGCTCTACTTTCTACTTCGTTTGCTCTTTTGCTATCAGGTTTTGCCTGCTTGATATTTATAGTTTTATTACAATTATGCAGCATTCCAATTAAAATGAAATTCTAGCTCAAAGTAACCAAACTCATTCCATTCACTTTCATGATGTTTACCGTTATTCGTTTATCCATTAATTAGTTATATAGTTTTCAACATCTTGAAATAGAAAGTCTTCACTTACATTTTCGCAGTGTCGTTGAACATTTTTAATCAATAATTTTGTTTACCCACATTTTAACCTTTTTAACTGTTTAATCTGATATTGGTTGGAAGACAAACCTGGTTAATATTACTATAAGCTCTGGGACTCATCAATATTTATTTTTTATCACATTTTTTTTGTTCAGCAAACAAATCTAATTGCATGCTGCTTCGGTATCATTCCAGGTCTCAAACGTTAAGAACTTCGATGTCAACAATCCATCAGCTAACACATCTCGCATAAGTCGGAAGAGCGGACCCATATCCGAGAACATGGATCAACTAAATAATGCAAGCAGCAGTGTCATCGATGCTACTCAATTCAACTCATCGTTTAAGGAGGCTAGTATTGATGTACCTCCGAAGGAAAAGATCGTTGCTTTCGAAAGAGAAATCAATTCTCTGAAGAAGCTGTGTATTCAGAAAGATGGCCAGCTGACTGAATCCAAAGATCGCATTGAGGAACTGGAAGCTCAATTGAAAAGAAATGAAAAGGTAGAAAAGAAAATGAAAGCTCTCGAAGAACACTTGCAAGTTAAACAACAAGAAATCTCTGAACTTTTGGACACTGTTGATCGACTCAAGAAGGAATCTGACCAGTTCAAAAATCTCCAAGATGATGGTGCTCGAATCAAAAGCGAGTTGTCACAAAAAGATGAAGAAGTCAGACGTTTAACTAATTTATTAGAAGGATTACACGCTCTTGAAAGTGAAAATGCGGAACAGAAGGAGAAGATTAATTTACTGGAAAGTAAGGTCAACTCTTTAACCAGTGAAAATGAGTATAAGGATGCCTTGGTTTCAGATTTACAGGATCAAGTTAGAGCCAATTCTAGAGCTGGGCGAACAGAGTCAGAGGAAATGAAGCTTCAGATTGAATCATTCGAAAAAGAAATCCAGCGATCAAAAGATAAAATTGCCTCAAAAGACCTTCAAATTGAAGAACTGGGTAAAAACTTTGATTCTTTCAAGGAAAAAAATAAAGTTTTGGAAGCAGATTTGGCTGTAGTCAGAGAAGAATTAACATTTCTTAAAGACGAAATGAAGTTTAAAGATGAAGAACTCGCCAGTTATAAAGTTAATTCCGAAAACGTATGCCAAAAGTCGGAGGAAATTTCAACTTTACAAGCTAACCTTCGAAGTTTTGAATCGATAAAACAATCTCTTCAAGAAGAATTGGATCAAATTAAAAAAGAAAATGAAGTTTTAAATTCAAAGCTCATTACCAAAGATAAAGAATCAGTCAATGCAATCAATGAAAAATATGGTTCTCTGGAAAAAGCTCTAAGTGAATCAGAGAATAAACGCAGCGATCTAGAAAAGCAGTTGGCTGATTCTGCTGAAGAACTTCGTGCATTGAAAGAATCGTTAGCAAAAAGTGATACCGATCTAACAACTTTCATGAAAAGAGTTCAAGAACTTGAAAACTCAAAAGATAATCTAGCACAATTGTTAGAGGACCATGAGCCATTAAATAAAGAAATTTCAGACCTAAAAAAAGCGAAGAAGGCTCTTGAACACGAATTGGCATCAATCAAAGACCAGATACAAATTGATAACAATGAATTAGCTGATATAATTGCTCAAGCTCAAGAAAAAGACCAGGAGCTGAAAAACCTAGAACAAAGATGTTCTGAACTTGAAAATCATCTTTCTTCGGCGCAAAAAGCTTTGCAAATCAAGGAAGAGGAATATTTGGAGTCTAAAACAGAATTGGAAGCTACAAAATCAGAAAATTCAATCCTTAAAACTGAGATCCAGCATCATATTGGTAAACTAGAGGAACACGTTTTTATCGCATCACAAACTAAAGAAAGTGAAATGAAAGATTTAAAAGATAGATATGACCAACTAGAAAAGGAATGCAGCTCGATGAAGGACTTAATATCTAACAAGGATGCTGAATTAGCAAGCCTCAAAGACGAATCTGTTTCTAAAATTTCTCTAATCAAAAAATTAGAAGAAGAAATTTCTAAAATCGAAAAACAGAATCAGGTTATCTGTAAGGAATTGGAATCGACAAAACGAGATTTGGAAGAAAAGCAAAAGCAGATCGAATCATCCCACAACCTCACCAAAGAAAAAGATGATTTATTATCGCAAAAAGAATCCCAAATTAAAAAATTGGAAGAAGCTCTATCTTCACATAAAATGCAATCTGAAAAACTACAAAAATCCATCATAGAAAAAGATCAAGCTATGTCAGATCTAAAAGATAATTTAGACAAGACTGAAAAGAAATTAAACGCTAAAATCAACGAATTAGAAAAGTTAAAGGATAAGAAAAATGAGCAAATAAAGAAATTGGAAGCCGAAATCAAAAAGGTAAAAGACGCTCTCACGGAGAAATCTTCAGCTATAGATAAACTCGATCAGCTCTCATCATCTTCTAAAACTAAAATGGAAAAATTGGAAAAGGCTTTGGAAGAAAAATCTAAAAAAATTACCGAACTTAAAGGAAAACTCATCGTATCTGAAAGTGCGCTTACCGAGAAGTTGGAAGCAGTGAAAAAATTGGATGAAACAATATCATCATCAAAAAGCAAGTTATCTAAATTAGAAAAGTCGTGCAACGAAAAAGATGCAACTATAAATGAACTCAAACCGAAACTCGAATCAATAATGAAACAGCTTATGCAAAAAGAAGAAGAAATAAAAAAACTGATGAAAATTCAATCCATGAACGAAAACAAAGAAAAAATTATTGCTGTTAAAGATGCGCAAATTCAAAGATTAGAAGCAAAAATCTCTGAGATTGAAGAGCTGATGAAAAGCAAAGCCGAAGAGTTATCCCGATGTCAAAGTGGTAATTCAAAGGAAATCGAAAATATTCAAGAAGAGAATAGAAAAGAGTTGGCTCTTCTCGAGCAACAGTATGAAGACAAATTTTCTTCGCAAGCATCAATTCTGAAGCAATACCAACGAGAAAATAGTGATATGAAAAATGAATTAATATCGCTAAAAGATCAAATTAAAGATAGAGAAACTAGTCTAACCGAAAGAGATAATGAAATCAAAACTTGTAATCAAATGGTTAACAAATTGAAGAAAGAATTGAATGATCTAACGCAGAAACTCACGTCTAGCCAGGAATCATTGTTGCAAATTGATAATTTGAAGACTGAATTGAACGACAAAAAGAACGAACTGGAAAAGTTAACAAATACTATAACAAACCTAGAATTGAAAATTCGAGAAAAGGATGGTGAAATTGAAAACCTGATGGAACGATTCCATAGTTCAGAGGATAAAATTATCTATGATTACAAGAAAGAGATCGATCTTTTGGAAACTGAATTAGTGGAAAAGAATTCAGCATTAGAAGAAGTTCATCAGCATTACCAGAAAATACTTGACGAAAAAGAGACTGAATTGAAACAAATTCACAATGAGTTTAACTCATCCTCAGTCAATGAGCACTCATTTCAAGTAAAAGCCATGCAAAAATCGTTATTACAATATCAAGAAGAAAACTTGAGACTTAAAGAGTTGCTTGATATAAGACAGAAAAAGGATTCATCTAATAGTCTGGGCAATACATGTAATCTTCCCGAGCCAACAGAATATGAATATTTGCGGAATATTATATTTGAATATATGATGGGCCGAGAACCAATGGTTTGTATCTTTAATTTTACTTACAATCAAAAAATTAATTGCAAGTCTATTATATTAACATTGTTTATTTATCTTTCTTTCCAGACTCTGGCTAAAGTGATTGCGGCTGTTTTGAGATTCAGTAACGACCAGACTGAACAGTTAATACGTAGACAAGAACATATTCTTAATACAACTAGTTTAATGCCATTGAGATAGTTGATGAATAATTTACCACAACCAGATATAGTTAAATTATATTTATCAAATTTGTATCAATATTTTTAATATATTTATGTCAAATGAAAATCTGCAGAAGAAGGAAAAAATTGCTGAAAAACTAAACCTGAAAATGCCGTTCAATTTTGTTACATTATGATTCTTTTATCACAATCATTTGATTTCAGCTTTTCTATTCACCAATCTCTTTATTAAAATCCATCCTTGTTTGTAAACATTCATTTCCAATGAGTTGATTAAGATTATTATTGAATAATAAAATGAATCTCGTTGGAATCTCGTCATTACTTAAACTCAATTAAACTGTTAATCAAACTGACTATGCAAGTGTATTATTTGATATCGAGAAAAGGCAAAGCTTTCCCAATCAAATGAACGGAACAATCGGAAAAAAAAAGTAAAAATGAGCTCAATTATTGAAAAATGATTAAACAGAAACCTGATTAAGTTGATTAATGAGGAAATTTAATTAGACTAAAATCCTAATTACATTGGCTGGAAAGTTGTGGGTGGAAGGTGAATGATAAACAAAAACAAAAAAGGTTAGTTACTTTGTGTTTAAAAAAAGATAATCACATTTTGGGTTGAATCCATTTTGGATTGATGAATCTAATGATGTCAATTAAACCAATTGTTTCTAAATATAACACAATCATCGCCGGACATTTGTTAACAAAGTTACAAATGTTAAATGATAATTGCGTTAATATTACAATAATAGTTACAACAAAATTTGAGCAATCTTCGCCTACGAGATGAAAGAATCTGTGAAAGAGTTGAAACAAGGACAATGATTGAACATTGCTAAAGTAACTGAGAAAACAATGAAACGAGTTAATTAAATTAAAGCATAACCAGATTAAAAATCGTCTTCCCAATATTTCAAATAATCAATATTTTCCCCTGCATTTGATGAATCCAATGTTGAGTAGTAAAAAAAAGTAGAGTTAAATTGTCGATTTATCAAGTGATTTATTGAAACTCTTTTTTTTCCTTCGCCAGATTTTCAACTCTTGAAAAATTAACTTTTGGCCAAAAATTTGATTATAAGTTAATCATTTCTAGATGACAATTGTAATATATTATTTTTGAAAGCCATTTAGGTCTTTGAAAGGAAAACACATTTAAGCCTTTCTTTGCCATACGAACAACAAATACATAAATTATGAAGGCCTTAAAAAGGTGACATTTGAGGCAAAGAAAAGTGTTGAATGTTGAAAAGCTGCTTCTAACAAAAAGAGTCATCCCGATTGAATACAGGGTGACAACAAGACTACTAAAACATGAGCTATTACTGAGCTATTATTGAGCTATTACTGGGCTGTTACTCGAGTTGTTAGCTATTGCTTTAGCTATTCACTGGTTCAACCAGATCTTTATCTTTAAATTGCGTTCAGCTCATAAATTGAATCCATTGAGAATGGATTTCATCTGTAAAACGTCTCTTCTCAATCAAATGATAGCTAATAAACTAATGTTACATCAGTTGTATAAGCTAATCATAAATCCTGTAACGAATAAATTGATATTTCATTTTCATTCAACAGTTCACTGTTTAACTCGGATTCTGTATCAAATTTAAATTTATATCACTCCATCTTATTAATTTAAAGTTTAGATATCATTATGTCTAGAATTGATTTTGACTTTGCTTCAACAGATGCAAGTTGGACATTTTCAATTGAAATTTGTCTAAAGATGGTTCCATTATTGAAAGCTGCTTTGAAAAGTATGAGCGACAAGAGTTGTTCAAACAATCTAGACAAAAATTAACATTAAACTCTATCATTTACAATCAGCTAAAAACATTTAACACTTCAACTGACATTTTTCGCTGGATTGCAATCAACTTTAGCAGGACAATCAAACTCGTCAAACTAACCAACAATAAAAGGAGTTAATGACTTTTGTCCACTTTCACCTCAACCTTTTAAAAGGCAATTCACATTTTAGGGCCTTTTGTGATCATTAAATCAATTGCAGATGTAAAAATTGTGTCCAACTGCGCTTAAGCCTACAAAATTTAATGACTTGATTAGCCGTTATCAATGTCCATGTAAATGTTATACTCAACAAAAACACTTCCCATATTATCTTGATTGAAAATTTAATTGAAATCATTAAAAACTAAATTCAACTGTAAATAAAACTGCTTTTACTGTCCATCAACAATTGAAATAATGTTTACAACAATATCAATAAATCAACTTAAACTATCAGCTGAAAATAATATAACAGCGATGAAATTGAAGCATATTTTCATTTCTTCTGCTGATTCTGAGTGAAATTTTCATAAATCTATCTGCTGTTACTACATTAAATAACTCCTTTTTCATAAAATCAATGTATTTCAATTCAAATTGAGGATAAAACAACAACAAAATGAATTTAAATTAAGCTAACTCCACTCATTAATGGATTTTTTTCTCAATCTAAAATTGAAACAAAGCTCACAAATCAACAACTTGATCGACAATCGTTTTAAGCATTCAATAAAGATTGCTACAATTTTTTATATTAAAATGTATTTTTAATTTTTGTAAAAAATATACAAAACATAACATTTGAATAAATAATTTGCCGATTTTGATTTCAAGTTTATCTCAATTGAAACCTTTTGTTTCTTCCAGAAACCTTTATCTCAAACCTATGAATTATGAGATGATTTTCATGAGCTAAATTTAAAATAAAATCAATCGCGATAATAAACTTTGTACATTTTCATTGTCATTTGTCATAATTGTATTTTTTGATGACGATTTGCCAAAAAAAAGTAAAGTGTTAAACTACAAAAGTGAATGAATAAAAGGGAAGCGAGTTGAAAGCAGACTTGTTACTTGTTTTTCCTGGTTTACTGGTTAAAGTGTAAATTGATACATTGATTATCAACGTTTGAATAATTGATCAGCATTGAAATTGAATAGATTGGTGATTAAAGATGAGAAGACAATTCGACATTTTCTTATTTTCTTTCAAAGATGGCGTTTGCTGGTAACAGTAACAGTGTACTGTGTAGTGTGTAGTGACTACACTTTAGTTGAGCTACAGTAGTTGATCTGATTAGGTTGCCTTTGGTTGTGCGCATAAACCCATCCCAGTGAAAAGTTTACCCAAAGTAATGTTAATAGATCGAGAGTCAGTTTGACTTTTGAGGCGAGACACACGACTGTCGGTGTTACATAGAGTTAACTTTTACTCGCCTTTATGTCTTCAGACAATTATTATATAACTTTATTGTACAATCTTTTTAACTTAATGCTGTTGGCCTCATCACCAAGTCAATGCCATGTAAATGAGGGCCATGCTTACCTAGCATCAAGCCTGAACGATAACAATCAAAAATGTCCTCAAGGTTTTCCTAGTGAATTAGATGCTGCTTCAAAGGCTTACCTTTCACCAATTGTCTTCAATGGTAAATTGGTTTCCCTCTCAGAGGATTACGGTGGTAAAATTGCGGCCACTTTTCGTATCCGTAAACTAATCAAAAACACTTCATCTTCCAGATCATTGACTGGATCACCAACTTCCGATACTGTTTCAGTAGACTTAATTTCGGGTTCAAAAGTAACTCTTTATTTTGTGCGAACCAAAAAGGGTAAATCAGTTCCTCCTTACTGTCCAGTTCATCTAAATGAAACCTCAATTGGACATTTAAGGCCACAACAGAGATACTTTGTGTTTGCTGCAGCACCTTTAAAATCTTTAGTTTTACTTCAAAAACAGCAATTTGCTGATAGTGATTGTTCCAATTTAAGGACTTCTAAGTCATCCAGTTCATCCTCACCATTAACATTATCATCAACCTCATCATCAACCTCATCATCATCATCACTGTGTTTTAATTATTTAACTTCATTAACATCTCCTGAGCTTCACAATAAACGATCAGCTCGAGCTGTTCGTAAAATATTATCGGATCCAAATTGGGGTAAGTAACCATTGTAATTGTTCATTTTGTTCATTAATTTGCATCTCATCAAGTATTTTAACCTCTTCTAAAAACTCAATCTTTTTGCCTTTTTACTTCAGTTTTTTTACCATCTTCAATAGTTGAGTTGAGTTAGCCAAAAAGATGAACATGAAAAGTGAACATTAGAAGGGAAAGAAAGTGAAAAAAAGATGAAGATTAGGATGAGCTGGGTGAAGGAGGAAGAGGATGAATGAGAGCAAGATTTTGTTACAAAAGTCTCTCTACCAGAGACAGAATCAAAAATCATACTTGAACCATTTTTTTCAGGATAAACTTTCCAAATCTTTTCAGTTTATTCTTTTGTTTTTTTTCTCTTCTCTTCTTCTACTTCTTGTAGACCAAAGTTAAAGCTTTATTTGGACATGAAAATGAATGTCACCAAAAAGCACAATTAATATGGCAAGTGTAAAGTACGCAACTTCAACGTTATGTTTCAACTCTCAAGTTTACAGTTTGATCTAACAGGAGAGAAAGCAAATGAAAGAGTAAAAATAAACTTTAAATTTCATTATTAAATTGTGATTAAACAATTTGTAATTGAGATTGAGACTAAAAAATGGTTCAAAAGAGTAAAGAAATTAAAGGTTGAAATGAAGTCTGATGAATAACCATAGAGTTTGCATTGAAAATTTAATGTGATTGTTGGAGCCAATTGAATATAATGGTTAATTTTTGAGCCAAAGTTAATCATTGAGTAAAGAAGCAAGAAAAGTGTTCACAGTTTTGAGTCTTGTCGACCTGTAAGTGTGATTAAAGAGGAAAAAAAGGCATTTTTCTCGTTGAAAAGTTGCGATGAAAAAGCTTTTCTTGCTGGATGATGAGAGGGATGAGGATGTTCATCTGCTATTTTTACCTCGCCAAATGAGTCGTATGTTGATGAGGGGATTGAAGATGGTTGTGTAGTTAGTAGACAAGAAACTGGAAAAGAAATAAAATGAACCCAAAAAGATGAGGATGTTGAGACTGAAAAGTTACACAGGGAACGATGATGAGGAAGACGATGGTTAAAAGATGAAGATGAGAATGAAAATGAATGAAAATGATGAGCCAGATATATTTATATTTTCATTTGCAAACACATTCAACAACATTATTAGTTGAAGTTTAAAGTAATTATATTTTTCTTCTTCTTTTTTCTTCCCTTTCTCCTCACACTTGGTCATCGCCTTTGCTGTTCACCTCTTTGACCCTTTTCTCTCTCTTTCTCTCTGGCCAATTGTGACCCTTTCCCGATCCTTATTATCATCTTTATTATTTACTTTTAGCCCGCGCACCGGAAGTTAAAGGTCTTAATGGTGATCTAAAAATACAATTAAAGAGCAAATTGCGCCTTAAATGCAAAGTAAACGGTAACCCTTTACCATGGATTGAATGGTTTAAGAATGGTAAAAGCTTGAAAAGCAAAGGACGCATTAGTATTAGATCTTTAAGAAGGTAAGAAGTTGTTTCGCGTTGTAAGTCCAAATACCTTTAGTGTGTGTGTTGTGTGTGTGTGTGAGCTTCTCTGTCATCTTGTTGGTCCTTTTGTTACTCTAACCCTCTTTGACCCTTAACCCTTGTTACCTTTACTCTCTAACCAGCGAACCTAGAAATTATCAAGAGCGGCCTCCCATGTTTATGGAGCGGGGGAGGCTTCAAAACTTATGGCCTCAGGTCACAATATACTTTTAACTGCAAAAGGAACCGACTTCTCTCTTCTTCTTTTTCCTCCTCTTCTCACTCATCATCTCTTTCATCTTTTTTTTTCTTCCTTTTTCTCTCTTCTTCTTCTCTTAGGGATGTATCTTTATTAGAAATTAAACCAGTTTTGCCAATGGACACTGGATATTATGAATGTAAAGCAATAAATGTGATTGCCCATGAACCTTCCATTGGTAAAGTACGTGTCATTGTTACTTCACTTCATCGAAACCGTACATTGTCATTAACACCATCATCTTCACAAGTATCAACTCAACAACCTTCTCAACTATCATCTTTATCTTCACCACCATCGACCTTCTCGTCTAAAACATCCTTTAAACTTTCACCGTCCAAAGTACCACCTTACTTGGGCTCTTCATTGTCATCCCAATTGCCGTCACAATTGTCATCACACTCATCCTCCCTATCACCAGGCCAATCAACATCAACACCATCATCAACACTTTCCTCATCACCTTCTTCTTCTTCCTTCTCCTCCTTACCTCTCTCACCATCATCATCAACAACACCATCGTCATCCGACCTAGCCAATCCTTGGCATGCCAAAGGTCGGCCCTGTCCACACAATGCTTATTGTCTCAATGGAGGAACTTGTACTTTCTACGAGAGTGTCGGTGAATACGCTTGCCAGTACGTTATTATCTTTTCCCTTTTGCCTTTCCTCTTCTTCTTTCCTTCGCCATTCCCCTCTTTCTTTATCTTCCTACACCCGAATATTGTCTTCATTCTTCTCTTTCGCATTTTTACTTGGACCTGGAGCCTCCCGCTGTGCTCATCTCTGATCTTTCTTGAGTTCTTTCAACTTTTCAAGGCCACTTCAGTTTCAATAATAAATATTTTATAGGTCAAAGGAAGAAGAAAGAGCAAGAAGAAACTGAAAGATGAGAGTAAAAAGATGAGAAGAAGAAGAAGAAAAGAATAGAAAGAAGAAGAAGAAGGAGAAAGCTTTTTGTATTTGCCATTACAATGTCTTTTATTTTTCATCGTTTTCCCGTTAATTCTGTGTGAACCCGAAAGAAGATGAAAAAGAAGAAGAAGAAGAAAAGCAGAATAAGAGAACTTTTTGCTTACTTTACCTTTCTTTTGACCTACCAAAGAGAAATAGATCTAATTGAGTCGAGGCCACACGGATAGTTGGGCTTCAGGTCAGTTTTAGGTTGGGCTTGGCCACGCCAACTTACCATTTACTTTACCTTATAAATATATCGCTTATAAGCGGTACTAAACTAAAAAGGGGTCTTTCTCAATATCTTCATCATCATCTTCTTCTTCATCATTTTCTTCTTCCTTTCTTCTTCTTTCTCTTTTTCTTCTCTCTCTTCTTCTACTTCTTATCACTTTGAATAGTTAACCCTGAACCAGACTGATGAATGTATCTAAAAATCGAAATTGACTAAAACAGTAGAAACAGTATTGATGGATGACCCGAGCCCGGTTTCAGTGACCTGACCTCACCCGAAAAATGATGAACCAATAAGAGTCTATTTTACTTTCCATTCTTGCTTCATTAACTTTATCAATTATCATAATGACTCTCTCTCTTGTTCATCTCATCTAGTTTAGTTGTTGTTCATGTTGTTGATGCTAATCATGATGTTGTCATCTTTTACTTTCTTGATACATCTTTATTATCATCAACAACATCATTACCTATTATTATTATTATTATTATTATTATCATCATCATCATTATTATTATGATTATTGCATTACATTATTCTCGTTCTGACATTCATTTTTCTTACCTTCAACGTTGGTCTAAACCCAAGAAACAATTTCATTAATTTCCTTCACCTTTTAAACATGTTCACATTATCACATTGCTCCATGTCAATCTAATTAAATGTAATTTGTTGAACCTTTTCAGATGCGCTGAGGGATTTAGGGGCCAACGTTGTGAAAATAAGCACGTCTTCAGTTTCTTTGGATGTATGTTTACCTTTTTCATTTTCATTATTCTCAATGAAACAATTCACCATTCAAACCAAATCAAGCTTCACTTTAAACAATCCAGATAATTAGATATCAAACCAAAATCACAAATCGTCTCCATTGACATTTAAAACCTAAACCTAAACCCAAATCTAAACCTAAATTGCAATACAAGTTGAAAGTGAACCCATAATTTCAACCAATACTGAAATCAAAAGCATAAAGCAACCTCACAGCTTTCACTTATCATTTCAAAAATTAGGCTTTTTTCAATCGCTAATCAGTAATACTAAATCTTGTTATAACTGTCTTCTCGTTGATTCACCTTTTCTTTACGTTTCCCTGTTTCCCGATTCCTTCATATCTAATTGCCACAAATTAATTTTAATTTTTAATTTTCTCCAACAGCTGTGCAGAAGGATTTATGGGGCTTCGATGCAATTTCAAAAATGCTTCTGTAAAAGGCAGAAATAGTGGATAATTATTGATTTGATATTAAATTAAATTATAACTCTCATGTTAACCTGATGTTTTGTTTTCTTTTTCTGCTTTTCAATACTCAACCAAATTGGAAAATTAAATTGAACTCAGTGATTTTTTTGTCTTTGCTCAACAATTAAACAATCATTCAATGATGATCAACCAAAGCAAATTTAAATTCATTTGTTTACCAATTTGTTCACCTGGTTGAGTTCAACATCTCATCATCAATCAATCTACCAAAATTAACCATTAAAATTACCATCGAAAGTTATCTCATTTGAAACAATCACCGAAATCATCATGAACCACCAAAATCAACCAACCAACCAACCAACAAAAATCATCGCCATAACCATCATATTCATCATCAAACTTTCATCTGGATTAACTTAATGCTTCTCAATCGACATACAAAAATTTACCTTTACTAATCTTCACCTTGAAATAATTCACTTTCTCGTTACCAAAACCAAAATTGTTTTAATTATTAATTAATTGACTAAAAATCAAAGCTACTTAACCTTACCTTTGCTTTTACAACTTTTTTTCCTGTTTTTTTCATCTTTTCACTCTCATTCAATTTCATTGAAGGCAATGAATTTTGCTGTAAAACTGATTGAGTTTGAGGTTAATTATAACAATTATGTTCGTACAAACAACCTGATTGAGCACAATGTTCATTCGAGTCATTTTTTGTCAACGGCTTTTCGATACTTAATTTTCAATTGATTTATAAAAATCAATTTATTTCTCTCTCTCCTTTTGCATAATTATGATTTAAAAAGGTGTCCAAGCCGCCATCATCTTAAAGTTGATAATAAAATTTTAAATTGACATTGAAATTGGTTTCATCTTTTCTTTCTTTATTTAAATTGTTGGACAAACTTTCAATCCTAATCAATCATGGAAATGGCCTAATCGTAATCCTCTTTGTAAGCATGGTTAATTGCTAGTTTGATTATGGTGAAAACGCCAAACACAAAGCAGGACAAAATGGCAACCAAAAGGATTAAAGGTATAAATCCAATGAGCGTATCGGAAGTTGAACAGCTTTTTTTACCTTGAAAAGAGCAGGTTGACTGTTGCTTTGAATGGTTATTTTCATAGGTTGGTGAGTTTGATGAATATGTTGATCTATTGTTGTGATCATCGTTTCTTTCACCATAATCATCATCAGCAATGATTCGCCTTTTTATTTCAAAATCATCTCCTTTGACAGACGAGTATGATGAGGATGATGTTGATGAGGTTAGATGAGCTTTTGAGGATGAATTTGTAACAATGCGTTGGTGAATCCCTTTAGACTCATTCTTGATCTTCATCACTATTGACTGGCAATCACAAATCAATGATTTCAACAGATTTACAACAACAATTTAGATGACAATTTAATTGACTAATGAAAGAAATCACAAATAACAAAAATGGTTCTCTTGGTGTTTCAATGACTTCACTTCTGATGATGGATTCAGGTATTTAGTATAGTTGCGCAAGTTCGCCTATTGATTGCTTGAAAAAATGAACAAGGATGAGGATAAAGATGCTGAAGAAGGCTGAGGATGCTCCGATGATATTGTTTAATACAGAAGATTGTTTTAAACTTTGGCTACTGATGGCTTTAATAACAGGTTAATCAGCTCATCCACTTGTATTAGCCATTACTTGTCATTGGAAAATTGTCAAGGATTGAAACCAAATTAACCTGATTTTAATCTTTTTCAGCTCCTTTTGTTGTTTCATTGTGAATAGCTTAGTTTTAGTTTTACAATGAGCTTGTCGATTCAATTGTAAGCTTTTGCAAAAATTCATAGCCACAAAAATAGGTTAGTTTCATTTGTGACTGTTTACGGTTTGGGTTTAAACGTTTCACCAGTTTTTGACAGAATGAACATTAAAGTTGATGATTTTTGTTATAAACATGTTAATTGCTGCGAGTCCATGGAAAGGAAAAGATCAAGATGGAAACCTGTCTGGCCCAAGGTAAATTGTATTGATTGTTTTGATTGTTGTTATTTTTTGTATCTAATGTCTTCATGCTTTGGCCGAAGGAACGTCCACCAAAAGAACCAAAAGTCCTATCAAGAGTTGAATTTTCTCGATTACAGCCATCAACGGGAATTTAATCAGCTAAATATTACATTAAACACCTTTTCCACCAGCTCATTGAATTGTTGCGATCCATTTGAAAGTTGACTTGAGTATGAAAAATGTAACAAGTCGGTTGAAAATAAAAACAGTTTATCCATAATAAAATGTTTTGCTTCTTATTGTGTTCAGCTTTAATTCAACCTTTTCATAGGTGTTTGTCAAAAGGATGTGAACTCCGCAAAAAGACAACAATTGATAGTAAATCATAAATGTGATCAATCTTTAAATTGTCTTATTCTCTTGGAAAGAAATCGGCAAGGAGAAGGATTCCAACTTATCCAAGAAAAACATCAAGGTCTTTGAAAATTAGCACAGCTAAGTTAAATCGTAACTTGAGACTGATGATGACAATCTAGATTTGATGAGCAAATGTTAACTCTTTTGTAGTTATAACAGCATTACAGATGAAAAGAGTAACTGGCTGATGATTAAGAAATTGGTGGAAGATGAATAACAGCCGTAATCAATTTTATTTTCAAACTGTGACTCGCCTGAGAGTCGCAATGATCCTTGACGAGTAAACAAAAGGCAATTAATTGAATAATCCATGAAATTAAAAATGTGTTTTGTCTCGGAGCCAAATAATTGTTTACATTTGTTTAGGGTAACCGTTGATTTTATTTCATTCATCATAGACTTATCCAACTTTCAGAGCACCACCACGAGGCTTATTATATAATTAATTTCCAATGTGATTGTAGTTTACAGTTGATCAAAGGAGATATTTTAAAGCCAAAAAAATGTAAAACAGGTTAAGGTAAAGAGAACAGGAAGACATTTTCGACTTCTAAGAAATCGAAGAGATGGAACAGCTTTTGTTTTAAAATGTCTTTACAGAGATCTCGTGACACTAATCAGGTCAAATAAGCTTGATATTTCACTCTTTGAGTTCAATAATGTTTTTATCGTTTGCCTTTGAAGATCCATAAAAATGGTTGAAACATTTCTTCATAAATCTGTGGATAAATCAAAGAAAAAATTCAAGTGAAAGAATAAGATTTAAGGCAATTTAAAGTCTCATCTATGATTATTAAATGAGTCCAATGGCTACTTTTGCTTTGCTTGAAGTAAAATAATTCCAAGTCCTTATTTTGTTTCCTAATTGTTTTTGCTTCGCTCCAGTTTAAGTTTTTCCATATTCAATTTTTGGCTTTGGTTTTAGTCAGCAAATTTAGGACAAGTATTTCCATATAATCAGCCGAACCAGATCTATATGATGTAATAAGTGTTTATCATTGCTAAGATTTAACATAGAGAAAAAGAGAGTTAACTAAAAGCTATGGATGACTTTCGGCTGCTTCTGTGATTAAAGCTTTCGCATTTGATAAATTAAGTTAGCAGAACTTACCTTTATTATACCAAATGAGGGAAAGTCAAGCTATCATGGAATCTTTGGGCACTCGAATCATTAAAACATTCACCAAATCAAAATAAATAAAAAAATTGTTGTTTTTAGTTTAATTTGATTAAAATTGAGAATTTGTTTTCAAAAAAATTGTTATTGAGAGACTTGTGTTGCCGTCTTGTGGTGAGTAAAATTACTAGCGTTTTTTTTATGTTCAAACATTTTATCATTAATATTATCAAAATTGATTAGCATCATCTACATCTGTTATTGCTATTGAACAATTTCAGTGTATTTTTACAATTGTGACATAAGTACTTCCACAACTGTGTCAATTATTACATTATTTATTACTTTGTTCTTGTTTTGCTCTAACGTACATCATATTGTAAGCAAGCATATTGCTTCCTGTGCTAACTAATTGGTTTCAGTTCATCTTTCTGGATCTTTCACCATTTAGCGACATTAGAATTGACAACAATGTTGAATCCATCTACTATTGACACCCGATTCAAGTCCTTGACTGACAAAACAGATCAATTGAACTAAACAAGACAAAGAAAGAAACTTCATTACCCATTCAGTTTTACCCATTAAAGAAGGTCAAGGTTATTGATATAATCTGATTTTTTACTTTTTAATTTGAATTCTGCATTTTCTCCGTGTTCAACTCTTTCACCAGACTTGAATGACAAACTATTCAAGGTTTTGTTCAGCTTAGAAACCAGTTAACCCATCAACTGTTCCTAAGGAAGTTTAATGAAGTTATTCCGTTTAAATGATAGATCAGCAACATCAAAATACAAATTAATCGTAATTTGATGATATCCATAAGCCAAGTGTAATTTTAACCAAATGTTTGGTTTCAGATTTGATTACAATCAACATAAGGATCATGATTTTAACATCAACAGAAAAAAGGTAAGACTTCAATTTTTGCAAATTTTTCTCATAATTTTCGCTGTTTTGAGTAGTTCCGAGACGATTTAACCAATTTATCATTAAAAATGGTAAAAATTACAGTCTTTACCTTTCGATGAAACAAATCTTTATAGATTTCGGCAATTGTCAGCTTGAGCTGTTAACAGAATCTCTGTAAACCCTTAGACTATCAAGTGACAATACATTGCGAAAATTAGTCTCAAATTAATCTCAGCTTAGAATCAATTTTATCAATGAATCGTTAAATATTTATGTTCACATCAAATTGCTACTTATAGTGAGTAAACCTTGCTTTTTAATATCGTCTCCAGTTGCTATTTGCTACTTTAGTCTGGCTTTAATGCGTACTTTACAGATAGCTACAGAAAAATGTTTTTATTTGAACAGAAATAATGATTGCTTTAAGTTTACTTTGATTTTTCTTGAGTCTAGTTTAATTTTCCGAGTATTCTTATTATTTTGTTTCATATTACTCATCATATTAATACAATTTAACTCGAATATTTCTTTTTTGCTTATATTTTGAATCACGCGCTAAATTTTCGTGTGTTTCCTTTCCCCTCTTTGCACAATAAAAAAGATTTACATTTTGTAAGATTCTTCAATTGTTTTTCTCATCACACTATAAAGTTTATCATGAATCTTAATCACCATCTTGTTTAACAACAATTGAGTTTATTTATTTGTTTATGGATTACTTCCTGGTGACCAAGGATGGTGAATCTTTACTTTGTATTACTAACTTCTTTGCTGATTTAATGTTGTGGTTCAAATACATTGGTAACTAATAGGAGCCTCTCTCTCTTGATGTGAAGAAATAAAAGGTAGAGAGAAGAGAGAGAGTGTATGTGAGAAAGACAACAATAATAAAGAAATCTACTTCAACCATCGTATAATTTTTTTAAGAACCGTGATTTGACCACTCTATGACTGTGATTCCCATTTGGCTGGTCTGATTTTTCTGGTTTTTCACGTGGTCCATTCATCTATCTGGAGCCAGTTGCACCTGGCCTTTGAAAGTCTGTCACAATACGCGACACAACACACACTTACGTGCATAAGCAAATTAGCTCTCTCTTTCTTGCCGTCAATCTAATAGGAAATGTCCTCTGCAAAAGGACAGAGTATATTGGAAAAATGGTTACAAGATATGCCAAACAGCAATCAAAGATCGGTGAAAAGAGAAAGACGAGACTGTGATGATCTGTTGGCAAGTAAAACGAGTAGCTCATCCAACCTATTCCTTAACCAGTTTCTACCATCAGTATCAGCTTTACCCTCAATACCATCATCATCATTGTCTTCAGCAGCATCAAGCTCAACAGGACCGTCAAATAATGGACTAAGAGCCCAAGATTTATCTAAACTACCTAAGGTAAATTATTGAGTTGAAAGAAAGGAGATTTACAAGTAAAACAAGATACGAAATCAGAACGCATCTCTTTAAGTGTTGAAACTCATATTTGGTTCACTTGTACGAGCTATTTTGGATCGTTCTTACTCTCATTTAACTTAAATTATGCTGTCAAGAATTCGTATCAATTAATGTCCGGAAATATCTCCTTTCTTCCAAAAATGTTTACTCTGTATTAATCTATTCCATGCTCTCTTTCTCTCTCTTACAGAAAATACCTGAAAGTGTACAAGATTTAAGTAATTGTATAGATGCTAAAAGTATTAAGGGTATATTTGGCTGGTCTACGGTTAATGATATCCCATTGCCTGTAATTCTCCGTGAAGATCAAAAATTGGTACCAGTCAGGGTAGTCGAATCAAAGGTAACGTTAATACTAGATTTTTACGACTTTAGATAGTACCTTTTGCTTGAAATATGATGGACCTAAATAAATAGGTGCACCATCGCCTAACAACGTTCCAGTTACTTCATTATTCAAGATTAATGAGTTTGGTCTGCAGTTTTTCTTTATAATATCACATCTACATTTGGTTCAACCGACTAAAATTCTTTTCTATTCATTACAGGTCATTGGTAAATACAGGGAATCCTTACCATGGACAGTATTCTCTTGCATAAATGTCCGGAGTTACTACATTACGGAAAACGAGGCAAAATTACTAAATGAAATAAATGGATTCCACTGTGATTATCATTATGGCTATAGGCTATTTACCTCAAAAGACGTAGTAGTTTGTCTGTCAGATGTTGTAACTCTTAGTAAATTTTTGGAGCAAAGTGAACTAATCTTTAATCAAGGTCTTTCCAAAGCTGATGTCGATGGCCTCGGTTTTGTCAATATTTCGGGATATGTGATGTTGCCTTATATTAGCAAGAAAACTGTCTGTAATACTAAGAATAAAACATCAACTTCATCTCCGCCGCCTGAAGCCACCACTACACCACCTCCAACGCCGACTAATAGTAATAATAATAATACTTCAACAAATACTAATAATGAAAATGAATCATCAGATGAAAATGTCAGTGGTTTACAACCTAGTGAATCTAAACCGGAAGACGAGGACGATTCTAGTAATTTGGTACAAAAGTATGTCCCGGAGTCGTTGATCACCAAATTTTTTCTCTTGGTTAAAGCTGATAAAGTTGATATGACTGAATGGGATGCATCCTATTTAAAAATGTTGTATATATATGCAGGTATCGACCACTGTCAGATTCCTCCAAATGATAAACTGTGTTTACTTAGTGAACTTAAATGGGATTCGCCTCTGTGTCCATTGCAAATAGAAGAGTGTGATCCTAGAGCGGGTCAAAATTACCCTCCACCTAAAAACTATCTTACCTCATCTTTTTCACACCGTGGAGCTGAAAGGGTAGCCATGGACCTGGATTCTCATCTCAATCACCATCTTCACTTACATTCTCATTTGAACCCGCATCCTCATGCTCACTCTCATACCCATTCTCATTCCCATTCTCAACCTGTTCTTCAACCTCATCATCAGACCCGATCTGTGTTTTCGATGCAGAACTCAAGTAAACAAAATACCAACAACCATCATAACAACCATAGCCATTCTCATAACTCCCACCACCATCAAACACTCAACTCTAGCAATTGTATCAATCATAATCAATCTTGGCATCTTTCTTCGGCCAATCGTAAAATATCCAGATTATAGATTGTAATAAATTTAAAATTCAAGCTAATTACAAACGTTGAAATTCAAAACGGTACACAAATATTTTATTTCACTCAATCTAATATATATTTGATTTTGCACGTGTGGCTGTTTCTTTATTTTCGTCTTCTAGAGTTTAAATAGAAAGAGCATGGTTTGATTTCGGGCGAAATGCGAGTTCAAAATAGAAAAGGCAAAACAACGCAAATTTAATATGCTTTATCATTGATGATGAAATTCATCAGATGTATTTCTCACGGTGAACAGTCTTAATAATTTACTAATAGGTGCCTTGTTTATTTAAGCTACAGGTTTCCATAATTAAGAAATGTGATTAAAGCTGATAAGAAAATAATTTTACTTTAATAGATAAATAAACAACAGTGACTGATTTTAACTGCTCGTTTAATAAACTTGAAAGATTCATAATTCTGAAAGCCGATTTACTATTTAGACAGTTTGTAATTTGCCCAATCACCGATTGTTAATTCGATGACTTAAATATTGATAAAATGAAATTCGATAGAACAATTGGTTGATAATCAAAATGTTTTAATATTTTAATCCGAATATTGACATTACTGAAAATTTAACTTAGTCGCTTAAGAGCCAAACGCTTATCTCTTTCTTCAGCAACAGTCAGACGGATACCACGACCCTTAGGAAGTGAGATGTATGGCTTAGAGCCCTTTCCAATAACGAAGATATAATTCAACCTGCAAAGACAAAGATAACAATTAAAATTTGAGCCAAAAGACGTATGAAATTATTTTAAATCATTTTTTCAGTAAGACTAATCAAACTATCATAGAGTTCAAGATTTAGGACAAAAGCTCATCATCTATTAGAAATATGACTAGGAAAGGGAAAGGGTAATAAAAAAATTACCGAGTGGCGAAACTGTGTCCATGAGAATCCTTGACATGAACAATGTCAAAACTACCAGGATGTCTCTCCCTAGAAGTGATGGTACCAATTCGACCTAAATTGTGTCCTCCAGTAACCATGCATAAATTACCAGTTTCGAACTTCAAGAAATCCAAGATTTTACCAGTAGCGATATCAATTCTAACAGAGTCATTGGGCTTGATCAAAGGATCAGGGTATCGAATGGTTCGTGCATCGTGTGTAACAATGAATGGAACTCCTTTAGGTCCAGTTTGAACTCTCTTAACCTTACATAATTTGTACTGAAGAAGAAACGGAAGAGTGAATAAGACACGTGGTTATAACAAGCATTTATGTTAACTTACAGTAGCCTCTTCGGGTCTAATCCTGTGGAGTGTGAATCGACCCTTAACATCGTAGAGAATCCTGTAGAAGTCCTTAGTACGATCAATGGTCAAAACATCTAAAAAGAAAGAAAAAAATTAGCATTGTATCTCAAATGGGTAATTCCCAAAGATAATTGACAAAGTACACAACGAGAGACCTTATTGAGAGTCATTTCTTTATGCCTTATTTTGAACGATTAACAAATAAAAGGTTGTTAAACGTCTTCGATGAAAGGCTCTCAAGTTAAAATTAAATAGATAATTACCCATGAATCCAGCTGGATAGTTGGTATCAGTCCTAACTTTACCATCAACTTTGATTGTACGCTGCATAACAATCTTGGTAACTTCAGCGTTGGTTAAAGCGAATTTGAGTCGATTTCGTAAAATGATTACGAGAGGGATTGATTCTCGTAGTTTGTGAGGTCCAGTAGATGGACGAGGGGCAAACACACCACCTAATTTGTCTAACATCCATGATTTAGGAGCTGCTAACCGCTTCAAGTGCTTCTTCAAGCCACGAGCCTTTAGTTAAAAGGAAAGAATATAAATAAGAAATGATGATTAAAGAATTTAAGTAATAGGAAATCAGGAAAGAAGTAAAGTTTAAAATCTAAGAATTAAATTAACTTACCATGATTAAACTATTAAATTACTATGAACAATTAGTAACCAACTAAATGAACCGGCCAGATAGATATAAAATTTGCTGCAATAACCAGGAAACGGAAGAGTCAATGCTATAGTTTAAATGTACTTACCTGAAGATGGCAGCACATTTGATATTTTTAGTAGCTATAAGGCGGTAAATACAATAATATCCATGCTGAAGTCTCGTTGTCTGAAGTTCAGACTCTGAACTCACAACTTATCAAAAATATAATTAGAGTGCTTCTATGCAATTAATCTTCACAATTTGATTTTTTGCTTGAAAAATTAATTAATAACTAGACTTTCAGTGAATCGAAGATTTTAAATTATATTCTTCTTGTTGGCTAATGATTAATGCACTTTTTACATCTGACTGTAGTTTATTCTCGTAGTTAATATTGATTAATTACTTGCTTGCCATAATCAGATATATTTATTTTCTGTCAATCAGAATTTCTAATTTTCAGATTGACAAGTAAATTTCGATTCAAAATGCCATTAATCGATTAATGAAAAGAGAAATAGTTGCAAAATCTAATCAAATTCACTTCCCTGCTGAAACAAATGAGTGAGAAATGATAATTGTTCTGAACCCGAAAGGTTGATTGTAATGCTACACTAACCGAACAGCTGTAAATATTCGGATTAATCTAATCAGATTTAATCAACTTGATTCAAGTTAAAATCGCTGTTACACAATTCAATGCATGATGTCTCCAAGGCAACAACAGCTGTTTTTTAACTACAGACCATGCTGAGTGATTAATTTAATTTTTCATTGTTTACTATTAGATTTAACCATGTTTATATTCAAAAACTTAACTTATAGAAATTGTAAATTGAGTTATACAAAGTGCTTACGTTTATATACACAAGGTCCTGGTGAAAAATGGGTATGTAGCTCAAAAACTATTAATATTGACAGTCTATCATTGTTATGATTTCTAAAAATTGATTTTATTTCTTTTTAGCTGAACCTGCGAAATAAAAAGTTTCCGAAAGATTACGCTCTTCAACATTTTGATTCGTTCTATCCAAATGTCTACGCAGAAAAATGGCTTTCAAGTAGAATAGCCATGCATTGGCCAAATAAATATGTTGCTGTAGTCAATCCTTTCGTTAAAGATCCTGATGAAATTGGTGCTTCTTTTCTCATAAATGGTGCTACCGAATTGAGCCACTTTTACAGCAAATATAAAAAACACTACGAAAGGCAAAAGCTTCGTAAAAAAATGCTAGAGGATAAAAAGTAAGTCATCTTGAACCTCAATCGTTTCATCTGGTATATGTTTCAAGTTTTTGTTTATATTTCTAGGGCAGCTAAACTTGACCAAATAGCCAAAGAAAGAGGAGTTGATGTATCTGAAATCGAAACAGACATCGAAGTATCTGATATCAGTGACGCAGAACTTGATGGAAACCTTTCAGCCATCAGTGATCCTGAGAATATTCTTGAGATGTTCCAAACCGACATTGAATCACTGAAAGATAAAGAAGGATTCATGGAAAATTTATCCAGCAATATTGATCTGAACGATTTTATACCTTCAACTGAAATGAGATATGAAGAAAATGTCACCGATAAAGATACTTATTATCGTTTTTATGACACTAGTCGTGAAGTTAATGTAGAAAGAGTTGAAGCTCCGGAATTGGAATTTCCAGAAACGCCTAAAATCTTCAGCTTTCCAAGACAATCATTAGAAAGTTTCCCGAGTCCAGATGAAACAGATTATCAAGGAATGATGGAATACTTCCTCATTGATGCTGCAGCTGTATTACCCGTGTTAGCATTAGATATTCAGGTTAATGATCGTGTCGCTGATTTGTGTGCTGCTCCTGGAGGTAAAACTTTGCTGATGCTGTCAACTCTTCGCCCATCATTTTTATTCGCCTGTGACCCATCAAATGAATTTTTCCCTTTATTAGAACAAAAAGTTAAAGAATTTTTTCCCAAATCAGATGCTTTAGCATCCACTTATCATTTGGAGCATTGCGCTGCTGAGGATATTGATTTAGAGAGTGTTTTTGATAAAGTTTTGGTTGATGTTCCCTCTACAAATGACAGACTAGCTATACAAGACAATCATGATAATCTTTTCAAATCATCTAACCTTTCAGACAGAATTGAATTACCGAACAAACAAAAATCAATTTTACTCAGAGGATTGCAATTATTGAAACCCGGAGGTTCATTGGTTTATACAACAAATACTTTATCACCGATTCAGAATGATGGTGTAATTCACATGTCATTGCATGAAATGTCGGAAACATCAGACATGGTATTCAATATTATGGAATTGAAAGAAGCACTCAGACCCTTGCGAGGTCTTTATCGTTTTCATACATTCAATTATGGAATTCAAGTTTTACCGTCTATAATCAACAACTGTGGACCTATTTATATTTGTAAAATAAAAAGAGTTAAATAATTAAAGTCTTTATTATAATTGTTTCTTTGTAGTCTTCATCTACTCATCACATCTTAAAAGTAAAAAGAAAAATGCTTAAAAGCCCCGATTCAAGAATAAATCAGTTGTGACTTGTAATAGCAATTGTTAGTTGTATTGTAGTTAATTGTAATGTAATTTCAAATATTCTAATCCATTTATTCTCAAAAAATTATCTTGATTTAATGAAATTTCACTTGATTTGCACCTCTTTAAGCAACATCAGAGATTAATGTTAGTCATTTAAGAAATTACATTGATCCGTTGAAAAATACTGTGTTTGAATGAATCAATTTTTGACTCTGAATTGTTTTTGAATTTAATTTAATTTAATATTCTGTGTAATCGAAAAATAAAGAATTGTAGAATGAAACATCAAATTATCAAGAATAACTATTGAGTTTACTTAATTGAGCTAAAAATTGAGCTGAGATTCGGAATGTACTCAGTGTAGCAATTTAACGAGACCCATTATCAAATTGATTGAGAAGGTCGACAACAGCAGTTATGGATGACCGATGGTGGATATTAACTCCAGCTGCAGCAGCATCCTTTCCAACTTCAAATAGCTTATCCCAAATTGATTTATCCAGGAATTGATGGCATTGATCAAGATTTTTATACTTTCCACAAGCATAGTCAATGGCTTCAGTAACCTGTAAACGATAAGCAGAGTTAAGTAAAAAGAAAGCTCAAAGTTGAACCGAAATATAGTTAAGATGGAATTATAAATTACTTACGGTTGATTCTAGAACTTCATCAAGGAACTCCTTTGTTCCTGAACCAGTGATTGGATGACAAACCTCTTCAATCTTCGCACCAAAGCAATCATGAGCTTGATGAAAAGCACAACAAGCAGCCACTGTTTGATCCTCCTTTTTAACATTACCAGTAATCCATTCAAGTTGACCAATGAAGTTATTTTTACATTGAACAATTGGTCCAAGCTTATCTTTGTGACGAAGACATTCAGCATGTTTCAAGAACTCTATCAAGATACAAGACATGATTAGAAACCAGAAAATGATTGATAACAGTTGAATGCTTACGAGCTCGCCCTTCTGGTTTGTCACATCGGTGTTTCAATTCCTTCCTTAAATCATGACCAAACATTCCAAATAGCGTCTTTGGGAATGGCTTTAAGCATTTCTTGTTGAAATCACGAATACAGTCAAGATTGGTGAACATTTTCCTATCATTAATCACACAAATTAATCACTGTTTTCTTCGATTCCTTTCTCATGTAAACTTACGAGCAATGGTCTTTCATTTCATCGTCATTACTTGGAATCGGTATTTCCTTGTCATCAATCATAGACAAGTGAAGACCACAGTTATCGAGTATTTCTTCAGCTTGTTGACATTCATCGGCATAAGTTGTCATAAAAACTATTGAAATGTTGAGATTGAAAAAAGTTAATAAATCACAGAATAGAGTTAATTTTGATGTTCTTACCCGTTGATAAAAGCACAACAATTGATAGTAAAGAAACCATTTTAACTTGAAACTCTTGAATCTATTGGAAGTGATCAATACGAAGACAGAAATCACAATGAATTTTGATTGTTGCGATCGGTTAATTTATACTGGTTTATGGTGATGCGATGTTTGGTTTAATTTAAATTATAGTTGTTACTTCATGGTGATCAATGGTTGATGGGCTTGATTGAGTTTTACCATGAGTGAAAGCAATAGATTCATTTGTTTATATTTTAATACCAATCACAATGGTAATGACGGGTATTTTTCCTGCTATAAAAATTTAAAATTGATAAAAGAATCCAAAATGATTTAATAATTCAAAGACTTCTCCAGTAGTTAATTAAAATTACCTAGAGAGAAACATTTGACAACAATGGCTAATTACCCTTGAATAATAAGGGAATCCCAGTTGATTAACTTTGAATACTTTGATTTGGGTCGATAATTGGTTTAAATTGAGGTTACAGTAATGTTTAGCAATAACAACTTCATTATTAGACTGATTTAGCATCAAAAGTGCAAAGATAATTTATTAATAAAACCATTGTTTTTAGTTAAATCAATAAGAATCACAGTAAATTAGATGTTATGAAGCCACACACCTGATAATAATGAATATTTGCGAGTCAAACATTTACCCTTTATTAACTGTTGAACGAACGGGAATTTGAGTTAAAAAATTCAGATCTTTAATGGAAGATTATTGTGATTAGAGAAAGTACAAAAATGAAAGTAAAAATGGAGTTAATTGTGGAAGATCTTGTGAATATTAGAAAATGATTAAATTATTGTTAAAATTGTCATCTTGATATCAAAAAGTGTAACCAGCTGAGATACTTTTCAGTTAACCTTTTTTATGTGCTTTCAAAAACCGACGACTGTTGCATTTGTAAAGCTTATTGATTTTTGTGATATCAGTGGCACTCAATCCTCGTCTTTGTCCTATTGTAACACCATCCTTAAGTGGACTAATTGTGGCACCAAAGCCTTTAGCGAAAGCATGACTTCCATAATGCATTACACTTCCATAGTCATATGGTTCACCAAGATGGGTTATTTCACGTAAGCTCAATTTAGCAAAATTGTATTCCATTCCTGAAAGAAATAACAAAATCTTTAATCTTAACCAACAATCTTTTTTTTTCTTCATTTGCTTACCTCTTTCAATATTGTCCCAGTTGATTTTAACATAACTGTCTCGATCAGCGCGACTTTGTTCATGCCAAAATCCTGTTGCATGCATCAATTCATGTTCAACAATACCCGAGTAAACACACCCGCGACCCAATAATACTGGCTGCATCCGTCCAACTCGACCAACTAATGAAGCACAACCAAGTCCAGGATAAATGTAAATGTAATCAGTGTCATCATTGGTTCGAGGTTCAAATTTAATACAAGTGCTGTTATGGTAGGTTGCCATTGCTCTAGCAATCACTGCTCTATCACGTTCAGAAAATTTACGGGACAATACATAAGGAATCCGTCCTTTAGGCCATACGTTGCTTCCTTCCAATACTGCGTTTCTTTCGCTCTACCAGATCAACAACAAATAACACACAATTAAACATGACCAATATTTTGAAAGATTTGTCAATTAAAGGGACAATTAACTTCCTTTTAGTCATTGCCTAACTCTCATTGTTTAACAAAATGCGACATAAGAATTAAAGAGAAGGAAAAGGTTTACTAATTACAAGAGATAGACTCAAATCTGTTGAAATTGTTTAAATTATAATTATTTCACCGTCTTATTAATTTTAACCATTCACCATTCAAAGGCAAGTGAACAAACCTCAAAACCTTCGATATTTGTTTGGGTCAAGTCCAACCTTTGCGGGGTTTTACTCTATTCATGAATATTGGTTGAATTTTATTTCAATGTTTTAATACTTACGAGATCTTCGACAATATCACCTTCAAAATACTCGGATGAATATAAAATGCTATCGTTTCCAACGATGTCATGTTCAGAAAGTATTGATCCTTTTTCAAAATCAGCATCAGTCAATGGATAAATTGTATCTTGTTTAATCTCATTTGAATAAAATTCCTAGCAAAAAAATTGATTACTTTGATTGTTTTACATTTACTATTTTGTTATTTTACTTACAGGGTCGTAAATGAATCCATGTTTTTGATCCCTGGCTAATTGATAGCGTTTAATGATCAAGTCTTCATTATCGGCACTATTGTCATTCACTAAATCATTTTCAAAATTTCCATCACTATAACGTATAACTCTGGCTGAAGCAATCAAAACCAGTGAAAAACAAAATAAATACATAAACATTGTTGACATTTGATGATTTTGATGATGATGATCTGTTACAACTAGGAGGACAAGAGAACGACTGAGATACAGTTTGGCTATTGAATATCTATTTATCATCTCCCGACTCGACTCATTCAATCATTAACCCGCATCATGATTCAACAAGTCAATCATTTTGATCATCATCTTGTAGACCTAAACAATATGAACCTTGATCTTCGCACGATAATTTTCATGGTTAACTAAAATTACATATGCTCAAGTTAGGCTACATAAGTTAATTTAAATAGATCATTAACATAGGGTGGCAACATTATGGCCATTGATGAGGGATAAAAGATTGAAGACTGGATGGAAATTATCATCTAAGTGTAATAACCTTTGATTTATATTAAATTTATTCTAAATACATTGGCTTAGTTACGAAATATTGAATAAATGATGATTTGAAGCCTTAATAATCACGCAATTAAGATCCATATTTGTCTTCTTCCTCTTCTCGCACAACCATACTTTCAAATGGATGGAGACTATAGTTTTCGATTGTCAAACTTGGCCATCGTCGAATCTTGAATTTAACTCGATCCTTGGCAGTTTTGTATTCAGGAACTGAAAGCAACTTTACTCTTTTGATTTCCAACAGTTTTGAGTTTTGACGACTACGACCGTAAATTAAATCGATCACATCTCCTTCTCCAACTTCCATTGCTCTTTTTTGCACTCTTTCTCCATTAACTCTTATTTTATCCTCAGCGTGAACTTCTTCGATCTTTCTTCTTTGAATAGGCAATGCTGTCTTCATAACAGTATCCAACCTTAAACTTCCCGTTTCTACGTCTAAATCAACATAATCAACTGGAACAATTTCGTCATCATCATCATCGTCGTCATCGCCATCGTCCTCATCGTCGCTTTTATCATCTCTATCTTGTGCTTTGTCTTTAGATCGACGTTTCCCTTTTTTTGGAGCACACGATTTAGGGGAAAATTCTGGAACTTTTTCTTCGAGTGCAGGGTAAAGTTGATTTGATGAACCACATGGTAATAAGAATGCTTTTTTAAGAGGTGACAACATCAGTAAAGTTTTACCTTCATGACCATCACACAAATCTTTAATTTCAGATGCAGCAACATTTCTTTCCTTGGCTTTTTGATCGAATTTCATTGACAACCATTTATCTGTATACACACTTGAATTCAAAGAATCAAAATGTTGAAGTGCGTACTCTTTTGGAAACTTTTCATGCCGCAGATTCACCTAAAAAAGAAATATCAATTTTTAGTAATCATAACAAGGATAAATAGACTGTCAATATTGATAGTTTTTGAATTACATACCCATTTTTCACCATGAATTTGCATACATAAACGCTGACAATTTATGTAGCTTAATTTACAATTTCTATTGATGAAGTTTTTTAATATGAACATGGTTAATTTCTAATTGTAAACAATGAAAAATTAAATTAATCAATAAGCATGGCTTGTAGTTAAAAAAACAGCTGTTGTTGTCTTGGAAACAATCATTGGCGATTTTTTTGAAATCATTTCAGCGTCTTCTGATTATTCATGGCATGAATTTCATGCTTGATGCCACAGTTACACCAAAAATAAATACGACTGTTGATTATATACACAGAAGATCATATAAATATCACCAAAAAATATATTTTCAAAGCAAAAAAAACTAATTTTAACCATTTTTTGTAAACTATTTCATCAGCCATGCTCGATAACATGGCTACAAAACAAGTAAAAGTGCTTCTACGGTTTTAGACCGTCAGTTCTTAGTTTTTGGCCCTTTTCGTCTCTTATCTTGGAATTTATTCGCGCCTGAGAAAAATGGATTGCATTTTGAAACCAACTAACAAATCGTTAAAAGGTATGTTTTAAAAATGTCGAGAATATAACATCCTCCTTGTTCATTTAATTGATCAAATTTGCTTTAATAGTCCCAAGATTACCATTGATTCTAATATTTGCTTTGCTTTTTGTTAATAATTAGTTACCACTACAGGATTGTACGCATTGTTAATCAAGTGCAACTTAAGTTCAAAATCTTAATTTTAATTTAATCAAGATTAATCATTATCCATCAATTTTTAGATTCAATGTATTGAGTTTCTGATGATACTTGTAATTAATTGGAACCAGTCAACCAACTCTGTGTAAAGACTCACGGATGGGTCCATCAGAAACCGTACTAAACAGTTGTGATTGAAAGGGAAATCAAAAAGTAAACAATTTTACTTTTTAAGCGAAAAACGCTGACAGAATAATTAATCTAAATTTTCAATGTCAGTTTCATTGACAGTTTCGGTTAATCGTGGCAATTAATGGCTTCAGTTTGGATAGTTTGGAGTCAAGTTGAAGCCAAGAATGGACAACAATCGACAACAATCAAGTGTTACATTAATATTTAATCCTGTAAAGTGGTGATTAGAAAGACCTTGAGCTTTACGTAGTCTGGTTCAATCAACTCTCTGATCCGTGATAATTATTTGCTAAAGAAGACGATAATCAGCCGAGTGTAACCGGAAATGTACAGAATCAAAGGGAGTTGAATAAATATTTTATGGGCTGAACTTGGAAAGAAACGCAATCCAAAAAAAAAACGGAAACCCAAAAATGTCCAAGGTCCGTACAAATTCAATTGTCTCTCATTGAGCCACCATACAATCAGGTTATTACTTGAGGCTCATCAGAACCTTATTATTCACCTTCTTTTGTCTATTATCAACCAAGATAATTAGTATTATTATTGATATTTAGGTTTCTCTTAATTGTGTAAATAACATCATCGGAGGAAAATGTGGCAATTGACGTTGACATTGTGTTTATTTGGTTGTGCTACCCTTGTGACTGGACAATACTTCAATCCATCTGGATATAGATTTGATAATTCACCTGATTTTATGGGATCACCTTATGGAAATGGCCTGAATGGTTTAATGGGTATCGATGATGATGGTTTATTTGGTAGACGACAATATGGACAGCCAGCTGATTTTGCTCATTCCCATGATAATTTTGACCGTGAAAAGACTTCGGATGAAATAATTTCAGCTCGTATCAACCCATTGCCACACATATTCAACCCAGGATTGCGAAGAGGGTTAACAGGATTACAACATATCGAAGCCCGTTACCACCAAAAACCAGCTCCTCAACGTGAATTGCTCAGGCCACTTTTACTTCTAACTAATCCTTCAAAAAAGTGATCTAATCTTGATGTAAATCACTTTCTAATCTCCCGTTAAGTGTTAAATGCTCTTTTGTTATTAGTATGAAAATGTAAATTACCTTTATATTCATCGTTAATCGATGAGAAACCATGTTTTTATTAAAAATTACAGCAATCAACTCTAATTTAGTTCACTTTGAAAATACTGATTTCGCTGATTAACTAAACTATAAGCAATTCAGGTGAACTTCAAACAAATACTTATTTCATCTTCCAACATGAAAATTGGTTTCAATACCAGTTGAGATAAACTCGCTATTTATAGTTAAAACCTATGATAACAATCAATGATAGATTCGCAAGTGACAGTCACAAAAACAAAGATCAAATCGGTGAAAAAAATGAAAAACACTTTTACTTGCCATTTCTCATCAGTTTGTTAACAATTAAACCATTGAAATGAACAAAATGGATGAATTTTTTCTATTCAAGTTAATTTACTTGTTAATAAGTTACTCAAATTTCTGTGAAACATTAAATTTAGTGCCAAAATCAGCGTCAAACCTACGATTGATACAAAAACGTTTTCCCAATTCACCTTTACTTGATCAACCCAAAACCAGGCGCTTTGATGAGTTTCCAATAACACCAATAATAACATATTATCCTGTTGAAAGGCCAATTGTGAAGCAAATTAATGAACCTCCAAAACTAATATTCATTCCAATTAATGAAATGATCATTCCACCAACATTAATCAATTTGAATGGTAAAGGGAAAGTCAAACAGTGGCCAAAGTATAAGGTACCCAAGGAAAAGGTCCCTAATTATAGTTTATTTGGTCCGTATCGATCATCAATCAACCATCCTAAATCTGGTCATTATTTTGGTCAACCTCGAGACAATTCACATTCTCATGATTATTTTGATCGTGAAAGGACCCCAGAAGAGATTGAATCATCTGAAACTCATCCTGTTTACATGGCTAATGCATACATTGCTGAATGGGTTAGTAGATTTAATCGACTTGAATATGATTATGCCAGGAAACCGGACCAAGAAAGGCGTTCAATTACAATGCTTTTAAGAGCGACTCTTCATCCAGTTGGATAACCATTTGATTAACTTTGATGATCAGTGTTGTTGTTAATTATTTAATTGACACACACACAGTAAGTAGAGTTAAATATGTATGTTAACATGATTTGATGATTGAGATAATCAAAAGATTGATGATTTTGTTTTTCCCTTTGACTTGTTTACAACATCAAATTAACATAAAAACTCAATTGAAAAACTATTAATATAGAAATGAATAAATTTGATTGAAATGTTTGATAACAAATTTGTTGCCTTTAAATGACCGATTGATTGTAACTCTAAAAATCACAATTAAAGATGTTAATATTTCATGATAATTTTCATAATTACAATTAAATGTCACTTTGAATTTGAATTGATTTTCAAGTTGTTTTATGTATCCGTTTCAATAAGCAACACTAGATGCCACCACTTGTGCATCTTTGTTTGCGCTCGTTTGGCTAACTCGAGACAAAAATTAACTGTTAATGTTTGAAATTTTATCGTATTTTAATAATTTTTATTAATTGTTTTTTCTCTCCACCTTTTTTTTATTTTTTTCTGAAACCTTCAATTCTTCATGGCATAATTCATGTTTAAGTTAAAATCTTACGTGTTGACTTCTCTTCGAAAACATTTATTTTAATTAAAAGGAAGTTGCTTTGGAGTGAAAATACAAAGCAGAAGCAACAAGTTTTAACATAAATAGAAACAGGTAAGTTGAAAGTGTTAATTTTATTTTCATTAGACTTATATATTTTATTATGCTTCTTTTTTTCCATTACTAGCCTTACTGAGAAACCATTTCACAGCCTTGCTGAAATTTGCCAAGAAATCCATTTAGTTCCATCTTCTCTCAACTTTAATTAACTTAATGATGTAAGCCTTTTTTGCTTCTCTGTTTCTTATTTCCCTCCTTTTCATCTTTGTTTCATTTGAAACATCTTTCTCTTCATAATATATTATGTTTCAATCATTCTCACTCTGAAACCCTTTATTTTCTTTAAAGATATGGGACCTTGTCACATCAACATGATGTTCATCTTGTAAGCTGTCAATGTAGATTAGGTCAACCTCAATGCAGATGACATTAACGTGCAATAAATATAATGGTCAGTTTTGTCTTAACACATAAAAAGAGTAATTTGATCACACTAAGTTATAATATAAGAACTATCATTAAATTTAATCAGACATTTCCATCTTAATTTAAGCAGCTCAAGAAAATGGGGATGACAACGCTTTCAGTTCGCATAATCAACGTATCCAAACAGACGCCTTGGAAATTTTCAAGTATTAATATAAATGTAGATCTAACAAAAATCTCGTAAGTCTATTTTCTTTTGAGAGTCTTTACCTAATATTTCTTTTCTTTCTTTCTTATTTGTTAGGTTGTTTAACAGTGAAAAGAAAGGAGCAAAAGGGAAATGGAAAGTGCTAAAAGTGTATTGATAATGATGGTTAAAAAATGAAGATTTGAAGAGCAATGATGAGCCAAGGAAGCTGGAAAAAAAGGCCAAAACAAGGCGAAAAAAGCAATGAAATAGAAATCATCTTTTACATCAAGATGAGAAGGGAGATGAAGTTGAATGCCGCTAACTGATGATGATAATGACGATGAAGATGATTGTAATCATGATGATGGAGGATATATAATTTTTCTTTCTTTACGCGTAACATGTTTATACAAAAGAAAAACTATCAAATAACTTGATAGAGCGACCTAACGACTTGTAGCTACTCTTCCTTCTGTTAATAACAACTTGCAGGTTAAATTTTTAGACTTAAAATGAAGGCCTTTCTCTCTCTTTCCTCTCTTTTTATCCTTTTTCTTTCTTCTCTTTCTCTTTCTATCTCTCACTCTCTCCATCTCTGAAGACAAGATACCCTCTACCTGAATACTTTGGGCAATTGCATTCCAAACGAAAAAAGCAGAAGCTGGTTCGACAAGTTTCCTCTCTCTTTCTCCATCTTCTTTCATTTTTTTCTTTTTTCTCTTTCTCATTCTTAGACCGGCTTAATTTTTACCTTATTTTTTCTCTCTTTCTTCTTCTAATTCAATCTTACCTTAGACTCTTCATTCTTCGTTGTTTTCCTTCTTTTTTCTTTTTTTTCTTCTCCATCATCATATCAATAGCCCCTTGCTTTTTTACCCCCAAGACCCCTAGGGCTATTGAATGGGAGAGAGAAAGAAAAGAAGAAAACAGAGAGAGAGAGAGCATAGGTAAACGTTTACCTGTACATTGAATGGAAGAGGCAGAGAGCAAAAAAGAGAGAGTCCTTCTGGCCTGAAAGCCGTAGTAGCTCCCGTGTTCAGTTGAAAACACGGTCTCAATGTTAATGTTTTTAAACTTGACTAGACTCGGTTACCTTTTTTCAGCATTTTTCTCTTTTAGCTTCTTTATTTCATCTTTTTACCTTAACATTTGATCAAGTTAAGCAACCAAAATATTTTTGAAAGTTACTGTTTTCTTGGCTTCTTCAACCTATTTTACACATTCTTCCATCCAATTTTAACCTTTGTGATTACAAGCCATCTTTTCATCATCAGTAAATTGTGCTTCAGCTCCATTTACGGATTTAATTGTTTCTTCTCAATTCACGTGCTTGGTTTATCTTGTTGTGAAAATGCCCATTGCCATGTTTATAATTATTTACCTTCTTCAACTTTTTGGATAACCATGTCACAAGCTTATGATCAAAAGTTTTCCTGACACCGATCAATATGTTGGATTTACAGTGCCCAATGTTCACCATTTCAACTGTTCAATTCTAATCATTGAGTTGCTTTTCCTAACCGATACACACAACCTTCAAAACAATTGATTTCAATCAATTGCTTTTATCAATATATTTTGATTTGATGACAAAAATGCTGTCATCCTAATTTTAATGATCAACAATGAAGTCTATATCTTGACAAAATTAAAATGAGCGCAAACAAACCAGAATGTTAACAACAAGATTAACAAGGAAAGCAACAGAAAACATGACAAGAGATTCTTGTCATGTTAATTATATTCAGTCGATCAGTCTAAATAGACATCGACTGAAGATAAAACAATATAATTGCTGGTTACCTAGTTTATTAACAATTTATATTGCTTTTAGTGTTCAGATCATTCCTTTTGTAGTTTCTAGTTTAACTTCACCTTCACCTTCACCTTCACCATCATCATCATCATTTTCTTCATCTTCACTTACATCCTTCTCTCCACTTATCAACAAAAGATGGTCTCGATCAACATTTTTATCTTCAAACAGCAATCAACTGGATTTAAAATTTGAAATAACTGAAAACTCGCCAGCAGGAACCTTGATCGGTGTAATTCGTAGTCCATCCGGTTACCAACCATGTCAACCACCATTTTTAATTGTGCCCATTCGAAGTGGCACATCAGAATCATCGCCTCTATCCTCATCTTCATCATCACTTTCAAATTTACGGAGTGGAGTTGACACTGATTTAAGCATTGATCAAGCTTCAGGAGAGATTCGCAATTCTGTTGTTCTTGATCGTGAACAAACATCTTATTATACCTTCATTGCAATTCCCTTTGTTGGACCCAATATCAAAGTTACCATCACTGTTTTGGATGCAAATGATAATGCACCATTATTTCCAGTTCCTAGTATTCATCTTGAATTTCCTGAAAACAGTAAAGTTCGAGATGTTAAACGTACTTTACCACCAGCTCGTGATCGTGATTTAGGTAAGTGAATCTAAATCTAATTGAGCTATCAGTGATCAATTTTCCCGTTGATTCGTTGTCTCATTGAATAATTAATCACCAGAAACAAGTAAAACCTTTTCCTAAATGAACAAATTAAAAGCAAAGTATAATAGTTACATCAGTTTGTAACTTCAGAATAATTTGGATTTCATTTATTTTCTGATCAAACCTTTTTTTTCCTTCCTTCAACTGTTGGATTCAATTGAAAAGTTGAATCTTAAATCTTTTTCTCGTTTCTCTTTTTTAATTTACTCCATCATTAAACGATATACTAATTAATTAACTGAACGTTGACATCTACATTAAATGTTTCTAACCAAAGCTTTAGCAAAACTTAATTCAACCTGATTGTTGATATGTTTCATTTTTCCCTATCATAGTCTATAATCTTGAAAAGATCTTAACCATCATGATTATCAGTTCCAAAACATGTTCTTTCCATCGTTTTTTTTTCATAAATTTACTCCAACTTTTCAATAATTTAAGGAAACATTGACAATCAATTTACCTTTATTTGTTGACATTATAACAACATCACCAACAGAGTTTCTCAGAACATCTCAGAATAAACCTGAGCTTATCTTGATTTTTCAAGGTAAGATGAGCTGATGAAAAGGTTTTTCTTGAAATCTTTCATTTTTTTATCAAAATTTAATCGAAACCATTTTCATTATGAAACTTACTCTTCTCAACTTGTTGGTTTCAAGTTACCGCAAATTTATAGCCTCATGGTTATAAGATGTTTTTAAATACAACAAAACTCAACCCAAATGACAAAAATAATAATGTTAATAATAAATTTTGGTGTAAGTTATGAACAGGCAAGATTGGTGGTGACATTATGAATCCATGAAGATACGGTATCAGCATGAGGTGAACAATAATCATGAATGAATTAGAATAAAAGTGATTTTATTCGCAACATAAATTTAATTTTCAACTTTGTTTGACTTTTCCTAATTTTCCAACTCCAATTGCTCCTTTTTTCAAGCTAATTCAACCTTTTTTATTATCAGTTTGTTTAACCTTACCTTTTCTCAATCTTTCTCAATAGTAAATCATAAAAATCATTGATTTTTTCATTCCAATTGCACTTTATATTCACTATTTAACCATCAAAATGTTATCTCCATTCATGTCAGAATTGTTATCATTATCAAATTTACGAGTTATTTGATCACATTAAACATTCATAGAATCACATTTATAATTTTTACGCTTTTCATTTTCAAGTTTATCTTAATTTGATTATTCAAGGAAATCGTCCAGAGAGTTGAACTTGAGTTGAAACCATTTGCATTAATTGTCATCTGTGTTTAATTCAGAGTTACTTTTTCATTGACGATTTCATTCCATTCTGACAGTCTTTTTAATTTAAATTTTTACCTAACCTCTAACATGAAACATCAAATGTCAACTTTGATTTCTATTAATGAAGAAACATTCCTTCACAGGTTGTCTCTTCACCAAGACTAATTAACTTTCTTCCTTAAGGCAAACTGTTTTTTTTCAAACAACAACATCAACAAAAGCTGACCAGTAATTGCTTCTCTACCTTTCCTAATCATCCTCATCCCCATCTTATCCAGAGTTTTCGCCATTTTTAATACTTCAAAGGCATCACCAGTTACACCCGAACGTGTTACTGTGCTTTTCTCAATTGAAACATTTACCTTCCGATAATTTCAATTTAATAACACTTACCATTGACAAATGTCCAATCAACTAACTTTCAATCAGCTAACCTTTCATGTTTCAAAAACTGATTCCAATCAATTGTTTTTTCCTCCATCATCATGTATTTATATTCATTCATTTCTTTCATTTGAATAATCTATTTGATTTATAATGAAATGTCAATCTTTTGATAACATTTACGATAGTCTTTATTTGATTGATTTGAAATTGTAAACTTGATCATAAACTAAGAATGACAATGAGAAAGCATGAGATTTAGATGATTCGGATTATTCTATTCAAATTATCTCTAATCATTTGTGAATCAATTTGACTTTTTATCTTCTGAAATATTCAATGCATTCCATGATAAAGAACTTTTCTTTCAGAAAACATTGAATGTAATCAGTTTTGTTATAGTTTTGTAATTTGAAATCTTGTAATCAATCTCCATTTTCATCCTTTCCTATTTCATTTGTCATAATAATGTGCTTTTTATGTGACTTTAAATGTGTGAGCAAATGTTCCCAACTATTAAACTGAAGAAAAAGGCTCATCATGATAGTGCAAGTAATTTTCATTGGCTGATTCCAGGCCGATATATGGCCTTGTTCAGGTCATTTTAAAGCCTTCAGATTGTCAAGCAAATACCATTACCTCCTACTCTGTGTGATGATTTTATAAAGATGAGCAAAAAACATCAAAAGCCCGATAGCAATGAAAGATAGAAGACAGAGATAAAAAACCAATAACGATTATCTGAGGCCATTCGATGGGCTATAAATCGATCGTTGACACCTTGACTCATCTTTATCTTTTTTACTCAACAACCATTTCAACTGAATCCATGATTTTTGAATATGATATCAAAAATGTTAGCCAAAATTGTTGCCAAATGTTCAACATTATCTCAAAGTATAACCATTTGACAAAAGATATCAATATTTTCCTTCATCTCTTCCCAATAGCAACATTAATTATCAGTATTTTAAACGTGAATTGCTATGAAAAATGATCAATTTAATGAAGATATTCAAGAAATACCTTTAATCATTTTGTCTCCTCATCACGAAATGCTAACATGCAAAACAAGTTTACCTTTTTTGTTCATCTTTTGTTCATTCGATCTCCTCTCTCTCTCTCTTATATAATTAATATTGATTGATATTAAATTTAGTTTCTCCAAGATAATGATATAAATAAATAAATAACTTTTATTTGTTAAAGGTATAAAGCTGTTGATACATATTAATGATTCAGGCTAATTCCTATTACTAGGAAAGGTATGTAATTTAAATTAAATTAAACGTTTTCTAAAATAATAGCGCTAGCGCATTAACATTTCAATAAACAATTAACAATCAGAGGAAAGACTAGGAATGGTAATGATTGAAAATTAATACTTAATATCGTTGAACATACCTAAAGGGTCTAATTATATCACCTATTGATCGTCGTCGTCGTACATAGGTTTCAGCCAGTGATTCATTCATTGAATCATCTTCCCCATCACCAGCATACTCAGTGTAACCCTCATCACCACCATCATCTTCAGCTTCTTCATCGTTTTGAGCTCCATCCATGGGCACCATTCCCGGCATTCCTCCACCAGGGCCCATTCCTCCTCCCGGCATGGCAGGCATACTGAATGATCCCATTCCACCTCCACCATACATTTGACCACCCATTTGTCCCCCCATCGGTCCACCCATGGGTCCTCCCATAGGTCCAGACATTGGGTTGTAAGGCATGTATTGAGCCAGAATGGATCCGACTGAGGATAAGACAATGACTATGAGTGATGTTAGATGCTTTGGATAAACCATTTTGTTCACTTGTTCACTTTACACTTAAACTGTTGATCTGAAAGTTTGGTGAATGATTGAAAATCTGATTGGAAACTGCGATCTTTATACTCAATTTCATCTCAATTAACTTTTCAATTTGCGCTCTTTCGTCTAGTTTTTTTGTCGTCGTCACTTCGTTCAACTTAAACATCAATTAGTCTCTTCCGTTTCAATTGGTTTCAAAATGACCTGATCAAATTGCTGTCTTCTTCATTCGTTGCCATTTTCATTAATTTGTTTCACAAAACAATCCAATGTTTTTTTGTAGACATTTTCATCATTCCAATCATGAATTCCCTTCTTAACCATCCTCATTAGTTTTTCATTGAATGCTACAACTACAATCGATTAAATGGAGATAATTTTCTGACAATTTTGTTGAAAACAAAATCTTTTGAACCTGAACAGCAAAAGTGAAACATCGAATTATAATAGTCTTCATGATAATCAACCTTAACAAAGTAACTATAATTACCTTTTAATTATCGTTTACCTTTTCTCTCTTTTTGGTTTTACGTTAAGAAGAAAAAAATAAACTAAAAGGTTTTTCGTTAAAAGGAAACAAAAGGCCAATGGGAATACATTGAGGTCATTATAAGGTCACCATAATCCAGTCCAGTTGTCTCTATCGGTTTAAAGGAGTAAAATTTCAACAATGACAACTCAAAGTAGAACCTTTTATTATCATTTTTTACAATTTTCTTGAAGAGAAACGAGGCGGTAACATGTCATATTGGCCTTAACTCGTCGAGTTTTTATTCAACACATTTTGTTGCCGTTGTAAAGTTTCTTCTTCAGGGAAGAGAGAAAATTATATATTCGTAAAAAAAGGTAAAATGGATTAGTAATTATGACCCAGGCTGATGACCTGATCTCAAGTTCGCATTGCCTCGTAAAGTAAAGTAATAAGAAGGTGATTATTGAAGGTATGCATACTTGAAACAAGCCTGTTGTCACTAATTTTTCATCCTCAATCACAATTAAAACTCACTTTTGCCGGGTGTGGACCTCCCATCCCATATTGAATGGTTGAAAGTCTTGAAATTATTTTTGTGGTTTCAAGAAATTCTTAAAACAATCGTCTAATCATTAAACGATAATCAGTCCTACCCAATACACATGATGAATTAAATTAAATTCATACTGTACACTTGCATTTCAATCGATCATCGAAAATTGAAACCTGTAAAAATTGCCTCAAAATTTCCTATCATCTTGATCCATCCTCTTCTTCCTCTTCTTATCCTCATCTTCCTATTCATCTTAAGTGGTAATACAATCTAATTTAACACTAAATTGTTAACATTAGAATCACATTTAACTTTCAATCCCAGGTTCAATGATCATTCTGCGCTTTTTTCTTGTTGATTATCCACAAATAGCACATTTTTTTCACCTTAATTGTTGATCTTTCCTTGCCTTTCCAAATGGTCAAGTTTTACCGATGATTTAAGT